TGTCAGTAAGCTTCTGGTCATTACGAGATCATGAACCTTAGAAGTAAACCTGTAAACCTTCAAAAGTCTGCAAAGAAACTGATATTGCCAAAAAGAAATGGACAGTCTTGGAACTGTCTGTTTAAATTCAGTGCCGCTTGGTTTGACATCCTAACACAATAAACTTGTCGCTTTGTCACACACTGAGTATGGCGCATATGCCCAAATACTTTCTGGGGCCACTGTACAGTTCTAGAAAATCCTTTGATTGATGCAGAACCTTTACATTATGTGAAGGTTCTTCACACTCTCATTTGATTTACAAAAAATGTTCTTTAAAGCACCATCCATTTAAAGGTACACTAGGGAACCAAATGTAGTTCCTCTATGGCATCATTCCAAAGAATCTTCTTTTTGGCACCTTTATTTGTAAGAGTGTGTTTTTATGGTGTCTTTATGTCCCAACTTGGACAAGTCAAAGTGACCCAGTGCCTTGCGAAAGAATTCAACCCCCTTAAAAGTCATCAGATTCATCTGGATTACAATGACCAATAGGACCAAAGAGCATTTTAAGGAAATTAGTTATTTATATTTATATTTTAGTTAAAGAAAATAAATTTATAGATATGCACAAGATAGGAAAAGGCCACAGAATAGCATCCAAGTGTCTGGATATCCCAGTGAGCACTGTTGAGCAAGAACGGGAGTTGAGAGAGGAAAACCACAGAAAGGCCAACAAGCACTTTGAAGGAGATACAGAGTTTAGTTTCTGAAACTGGACTGAAGGTGCACCAACCGCAAGAGCTTTGCATACAACTGACCTGTTTGGGAGGACGGCTAGAAAGAAGCATCTAGAGTTTGCCAGAAAGCATCAGTGACCCATCTAAAATGCTGGATAAGGTTTTGTGGTCTGATGAGACAAAAATTTAGCTTTTTGGTCAAAATTTAAATGCCAGCAGAGAAATATGGGGGTGGCAGTGTCATGTTGTGGGAATGCTTTTCCTCAGCAGCAACTGGTTATCTTGTTGAAACTAAAATACAGATGGATGGTGAAAATACAGGGAGATATGTCATGACAACCTGCTTCAGTCTGCTAAAAAACTACAGCTTGCTTCATCTTTCAGCAGGGCAATGATCCCAAGGACAAGGCCAAAGAAGTGGTAGACCAACAAAAAGAATGTACTATAAAGGCCATGTCAAAGTCCAAATTTCTGAATCTGTGCCACTATTTGAAAACTGTGGTCCAAAAGAGTCATCACGCCAACCTGAACAGCCTGGAGAAAACCTGCCAAGAAGAATGAGCAAAAATCACTCCCAAACAGTGTGCAAAGCTGGTAGAGACCTACCAGACTTAACAGACTTAAAGCTGTCATTGCCATAAAAGGTGGTTTTACCATGTACTAGTCTTAAGGTGCTGAACACTTATACAAGTAGAATTTATTTTTGTAAAAGATACTGACAAATAATGAATCTTGACTTTGAAAATTTACTTTAAGACCATAATGGTTTGCAATAAAAAACTGGCTGAAACAATCTGTAATCCAGAGGAATCTCATGACTTTAAATTGGGTTGAATAACTGTGCAAGGCACTGCATGCTGCATATGAATTCCAACGCAAATTAAACCCACAAATATCTAAACACATAATTTATGTTCATTAATATATGCACGTATAACTCATTCACCATTTGAGACTGAACATATGAAAGTGTATAAATGGTATTCAAACTATGAAATATGGTTTTCACAAACTTTTTCAAAGGTAGGTTTAGAGCTGCACATATATTTAAACCGAAATGGCTTGTCTAACTAAAATGTTAATGATCTTGCGTTGATTCTGCAGAAGAGGCATGGCTGTATAGCGCAGCATCCTAGAAAACAACATCGGTTTCATTAACCAGAGAGTTCAATAAACTGATATGGTTATCAACATTCAGACACCTATCAGTTCAGAGACACTTTTTTGGTTTAAATCAAATACCTTTAACATGAAATGATGAACCTCTGAGCGCATTTTTGATTCACATCTGAAATAAATGATTAAAATGTAACCTCTTTCAGCAAACATAAATAGGTGACTTGCATTCATACATCAGGACTGTGCGAAAATGTGCATAACCAGCTTTCCCAATACAGTCCAATGTGATAGTCACATGTTGTGTGAACAGACAAACTGTCAACCAGAACAGTTAAAACAATCTTACTGGTGAAATAAGATGCAGTTTGTAAAACATTTATCCAAAAAACGAAAGCAAAACAGAAAATTATAGACCGGGTGCTGGATGCAACCAACAGTCAATGACAAACACTAAGATTTATATATTCACTATATGTCCAAAAGTATCCAGACAGCCCTTCTAATCAGTGAATTCAGTTATGTTAAGGTACATCCACCACTGATACCAGTGCTCAGTTTCAACTAGACCTACACCTGCTAACAATGAACCACCTGTTACGGTGTACATTTAAAAACATCCTCACACCACAGTGTCAGGTCTCAAACATCAGACAAAACAGCTCCAGATCTCGGAAAAAAACGTCATGTCTCAGCTCTTGCATAATCGTGCTAAGCTCAGCGGCTACCGATGCTATGGCATTGTGAAGTTCTTTCTTACTAAAGTAATCACAGTTTTGTAGCCAAATTAAAGACAGCATCATACTACTACAACTTTTACTGAACTCTTACTGGAAGAACTCTTACTGCTATTATTATTATTATTATTATTATTAGCAGTAGTAGTAGTAGTAGTAGTAGCAGCAATAGTAGTAGTGATAGTATTAGTAGCAGTAGCAGTAATAGTAGTACAAGTAGTATGTAAGTACATCTGCTGATACATCTGGATACAATCAGATACACTTACCAAGATAATAATAATAATAATAATAATAATAATAATAACGATGACAACAATAATAACAATAATAACAACATCACTTTCCTTCCAAATAAATGTTAAAGCAAAAACAAGCCACTGCCCCGCCCCCCAAACCCAGTTTAAGCATTTATCATGATTATTTTCCGTGCGGTTATCCAAAAAAAGAATAGCATCACAGGCCTAATTTCAATAGCTTGTATAAGCTCCGGTAAAAAGCACTGCCAGTAGAATACCCTGAAGCAGCCACACATGAACCTATAGACACCATGACCAATGTCAAGCATCTGCTTGAGGAGTATAAAGACCCTCAGCATTTGGCTGTGCAGCAGTGAAACTGCATTCTCTGGAGTGAAGCTCCATCTAACACCTTTGGGATGGAGTGGCAGAACTAGTCATCCAACATCATCACACAGCGTCACCAATTGTATTGTGGCTGAACGCAATCGAATCCTCACAGCAATGTTCCAACATCTAGTGCTGCCTTTCCAGAAGAGTAAAGACTGTTACTGTAGTAAAGGGGGGGGACAAACTCCCTATTAAAACCCTTGAATTCTGAAGAAACGCTGGATGTGACGGTGTCTACAAACATTTGGACATACAGTGCATGATGCAGAACCAGGTTTAAATGGCTTCTGACATGCCAAACTGTGGCTGTGTTTTTGCCCTCTTGTAAAGTTACCATTTTGTAGATGATGATATTTGAAATGTCTTCTAGTGGTCTCTCTCAGAGTGAGAAAAGCCTTTTCAGTCATTGTGTAGTTAAACTCAATATTTAAGATGCAATTTAGAGCCTAATGGAGTTAAAATCATACAGAACTAAAAACTATTTGAAGCATGAAATTTTGCATTGCTGTATGAATTAAACTAAGTTTTTAGTTGACTTTTTAAATTGAAATCCATGATGTGATAGGGCAGGTTAGTGGAATGATCCTTAAGCATTTTCAAAGGATTTCTTTATTAATGTTTAAAGCATTATGAAATCTTATGAAGACACTGCATAGTATGTCATTGCTCAGTTAGGCCTATGTTTTGTGGTCAAAATAATCAGTATATTACTTGCTTACTAATATAATTGATGGTGACACCCATTAAAACAATTTGGTGGGAAGCTGGCTGCATTAGTGTTATGTAGCTACTTGGATGAAATACTTCTGCCATTATTTGCAGTGCAACCACCTGTAAAGGCTTACATACTGTTTAGTGTGAAAACAAACCACCACTTAAGGCATTAACAGCAAAAATTATAGTAGAATGGAAAATATTTCTCTTATACCAAATGTGCTTATGTAGTAACCTAATTCAGTAAATGCACTAATAAGAGGTGAAGTCTGGCACAACTGCCACGCAAATTTCTATATGAAACTGGAAGACACTGAATGTGAAGACAATGTAAAAATGTTGTATGTTTAGTCAGTAAAGAAACACACATTATACAAACACAAATAAACACTCACGCTCAAACAAGCTACTGCAGTGTAGTGTAAAGTCCTCGTCATAGAAGTCAATTTATGTCAAGTCAATTTATGTTCTCGAGTTTCTAGAGTGTGAATCAAGTCTTGCTTCAATAGTATTTGTTTAGCATCATTATTAGCTACGGGCACTGCACTTTACAGAGGTAAACTCATAATAAAAAAAACCTGTCAGGTTTGACGTGGCTTCAATAACAAGCCTTTTATTATAGAAAAACTGAAAACTGAAGCGCTACACCCAGTAAATACAGTTTTTAAAGGAAAGAAGCAAAACAACCTGAAACAGTTGGTTAGTCTGTAATTTATGGAGCATGTAGGCTAGCTAGCTAGCTAGCTATCACAATAACTAACCAAGCTGAAACTTATAATCTGAAATGTCATCTTTCAGCTTACCACAACATGCTAGCTAGCGTACTTGCTATTAAAATGACTTGCTAGCCAACAGTTTCAAGTTCTTTTCCCTCTTTCCTTCATACATTGCATTTACTGCATGTAGCACTTTGTTCTGTCCATCAGACATCAGGTTCTTCTGTAATAAAAGGTTCATTATTTGATCCATACAGAACCTGACTCCACTGTGAGCTGCAGGAGAACAGCATTGCAGTCTGAGCTACTTATGACCATAGCAAAACTGACAAGCAAAGTCACATACATTAGGTTATCAACTAAAGGCTTTATTCATTTACTGCGTTAAGGTTGTCCTAATTTAATGTGCTTTGTTTGTGCATTTTTTCAGGCTGAAATTTCATGAGTTGCATGAGTCTCAAGTCTTTAGTAGAGTGTTCTAGTTTAGCATCATTATTAGCTACAAGCATTGACAGGTTTTTAGATAAAACCCTACTAAAAATCTGTCAGGTTCAAAACTAGCTTTTAATCATAGAAAACCTTCAGTCTGACAGAACTGAAGCCCTATATGTGCTAAATGCAGTATTTGAAGGAATGTAGCAAAAATAGTTTGAAACGTTTGGTCAGACTGTAGTTTAGCCCATAGTTCAGCCTTCCAGCACAGAATCTAGCTAGTTAGCACACTAACTAATCCAGCTGAAACTTACGTTTTAAAGGAACGTAATCTGTAACTTATTAAAACTTCAAATATAAGAGCTACTGTGCTAGTTAGCATCCTTGCTATCAAAGCTACTTGCTAGCCAACACTTACTGCAGCATTTACTGTACGTAGTGCTCGTTACTTGACGTACAGAACCTCCACTGTGAGCTGCAGGAGAACGGATCTGGTACAATGTCTACTAATGACTGCAGCAAAGTCACACATATTAGATTAGAAACTAAATGATCCACTCATTTACTGCATTAACAGAACAGTGTGTAACCTATAACAGTGAGGCTGCAGACTGCAACCAACTGTACCTGCCCCCCTTTTCAAAAGCCTATGGTGGTCATGTTTTCTCAGTTTCATTTGTCTATGTGTTTTCGCTTCTTTGACATCAAGACGTCAGCATATATGCTAAATAATGAGCATGATCCTTAAATTTGGGTTCTAAAACCAAGCATTAGTACAGCATAGTACAGCACTCAGTGTTTTAATGCGTGTTTAATGTTGATTCAGCACAGACTCAGTTTAATATCACTATTTACCCCCCTGATAAGGTGATTTAGGCTATTAAAATATACTCAACATTCTTTTAACGCTGGTAACATTTTCTGATAAGGACATTCGCCAGCTTCTTGCTTGAATTGTCCTGTTCCACCTTAAATGGTTCAGCAGTTACATTCTGGTGCCTGAGGCATTATAATGACCATTTAAGGTGGAATGGGAGAATTTGAACAAGAGGCTGATGAATAAAAAGCTGAATGTCAGTGCTAGAATGTCGATACTGCACCACATAAGTTTCAAACAAGAAGCAGTCGAATAAGAAGCCGTCGTGAATCGCTGGTCTTGAGTCAGAGTCAAGTCGAGTCACTAGTCAATTACGTGCGAGTCCCAGTCGAGTCATGATGCCCCATCTCAAAACCTTGTGTAACATCTTGACACCTGTTGCATCATTGCTAAACGGAATAGGCGGGTATACATAAATAACAAATATACTTCATATTCTTTAAAGCAGCAAGAGAAATTTTCCTTATAGCACTGTCTCCTCCAAAACAATAAGTAGCCACTGAGGGTCTAGTGTTGCATGTGTAGAGTTAACTTCACGTCCTTTTACCGTGTATAAGTAGCTGATACAGCTGAACAGGGCTGAGTCTCGTCTTGTGGAATCACTTGAGGAATAAATAACTGACATGATGAAAGTGTGCAACTAATTACTGTTGGTGCATTGTAAACTTGCACAGCTGAAAACAGTAAAGATAAGAGCGAGATGAAAGGGTTTCAATGAAGAAAAGTGAAATCAGAAAAGCTGGAATGATACAGACAAGGACCCAGGCATGGCTTGATCTGACCGTCATCTTGGTACTGAAAAGCGAACCCTGGTTGGGCTGTTGAAGTCCTACAGTTCCTCGTAGTCTCCTCCCTCACTCTTGCCTCCTGCAAGGAAGGCCTCCAGATCATCCATGTTTCCAGATTTCTTGCTTTTCGATTTCTTCTTCTTCTTTTCTTTCTCATCACTTGTCCCAGACTCCTCCCTGTCCTTTTTCTTGTGTTTGTGTCGTTTTTTACTGCTTTTCTCATCCTCCTAGAAAAAATAAAATAAAATAATAATAATAAACATATTTTTGGATCTCTAGGTTATTCAGCATTCTGTAGTGCAGCACTGGTATCACTGAGCCTCAACATAGTCCAATTTTTTATATTGCTTTCATGTTTCCATTCTTTAATATTCTCTCACTACAATACCCAGCATGCATTACACAAATACATTCAACACTGGGACTGCAGTGCTCAACAGTTACACAGTTGCAATAACATGTTCAGTATTCTATGTTCTGCATTCACCAGCTAGGGAGGAGAATCATCATCAGATTATTCGTTTAACCAGAAAACCTTACTCTAGAGACTACAGAGGCAAGCAGGCATGTTTACAATAAATGCAGAGATAGGTAAACTTCTCATTTTGGCTGGAGTGCCCCTTTAAATGATAAGACACTGGCATATTAAGACCTCATTTACACTTGGTTAGTCCAATGCTACGTGTATCTGGATTTTATCCTGATAATATGTGGTTGTCAAATGTGGCTTGGGACAGTATGTACAATGATGTACAGTACTGTGCTAAAGTCAGAAACCATCCTTCATTTAAATAATCTCCAGTCAAACAGTTATTAAGTAAAAGCTATTCATTTTTCAGCATCGGGATATAAAGCTTCCATTCTTTTCAGGAGACTTGCTTTCAGTTATTCAATTCAGTTTGCTTCAGTTTTCCCATTCAGTCCTAGAAGCATTTTCTGCTTCTTACCATGCAAACAATATCACATGCATTTATTCAGTGATGTTAAGGGCTGGACTTTAGGGTGGTCAGTCCATTGTTCTGAGTACAACAGCCGCTTCTTTCTTTGATTTTCAAATTTTCCTTTTTTTTTGCCTGTTTCCTTTTCTCAGTAACTGCTTCTTGACAGCCACACATCCTTTCAGATCCACAGCGTTGAGTTGTCTTCTCACAGTGGAAGGATGGACAGGAGCACATGTGGATTTATTCAGATCTGAAGCAAAATTGAAGTTTGATTTTCCTCCTCTTCCTCAAAGATGAAAGCTTTAAGTTCTGTTTATCTGATGGCGACAGTTTTGGTGGTTTATGAGGCCTTGCACTATGGTTAGCAGTTCCTGAGTTCTCAACATCTTTTAATATTTTTTAAACGAATCCTGTTTTCTTCACTTATTTTCCTTTGCCTCCCCCCTTCCTTATGAAAGTGAATGTATTTAACATCCATTTAAACTGATTATTTAGTAAATAATTTATGGTCTCTGACTTTTCCTCAGGACTGTATTTAGGCTTGTACATCTGGCTAAAATGTGTCCAGTGCACTTCCTGAAGTGGTCTGACTAAGCAGATTTAAATCTGTTTTTGAGGCATCTTAGGTGCAATCCTGATACTCAAGACATATGTGTAAAAAGACCAGGTGTAAAAAGGTCTAAGACCAGGTGTAAAAAGGTCTAAGATTCCATTGCTTATTCATCCTTACCTCTTTGCCTTTCTTTTTCTTCTTCTTCTTGTCCTTTGAGAAGTGCCTGCTGTCATTGTCTGCAAAGGATAACACTGGCTCAGAAGTGTGTAGAACCCATGCAATTTCACTATAGAGTACAGAGAAGGTGGACCCTACCTTCCTGGTCCTCACTGCTGTCTTTGCCCTTCGGTGTACTCTCTTCAAACCCCAGGTCAAACAGGTCGATGTCACTGTTGAGGCTCTTGAAAGGGGAAGGAGTAATTTTCGGGGGATCCACGAGCCCAGCTAATACAAAACCATCATCTGACTTCTCGGAAATGTCATCTCGTGCTGGAATTGACTGAGACTGCTTGGAAATGGAATCATGTAGCGAGAACAAAAAAAAGAGTGAAACTGATTACTTCATCACTGTCAAAATAAGCAGTAATGTAGAAAAAAAAGACTACAGCAGCAATCCAATCACAAGCTTATCATGGATCCTGGGCTGTAATTGTTATAATGGAATAGTCTTCTGCAAAGCTTTGTGCTTTCAGAAAGAAAAACTACGCTTTTTGTCCAAAAGTATCCAGACCCCCTCCTAATGAGAGAATTCAACTACTTTAAGGTGTTCCCACTGCTGACACAGGCATTCAACTGCACACACACAGCTTGTATAATCTCCATAGCAAAGCATTGACATTAGAAAGGAACGCTCTTGAGCAGCCACACATAAGCCTAGAGTCACCATGCCCAATGCCAAGCGTCAGCTGGACGGGTATAAAGCCCCCCAGCTTTGGGCTGAGGAGCGGTACTCCAGTTCTAGGGAGTGATGACGCTCCGTCAAACATCTTTGTGATGAGTTGGAGTGGCAGAATTAATCAACCAACATTAGTACCTGACCTAACTAATGCTCTTGTGGCTGAACACAATCAAATCCTCACAGCAAATGTTCCAACATCTAGTGTAAAGCCTTCCCAGAAGAGTAGAGGCTGTTACTACAGCAAGCAATGCATGTAGTGAGAGCTCTTTAACAGTTTCTGTTACCTTCTGCTTTGTAATAACACAAAGTTCCTTGCTCTCAAAGTCGAGGGTCATCCATAACAAAAGAAAGGATCTGCTGGGCCACAGGACCCTCCACATCAGAATCAGATGATTCTGCCTTGACTGTGCCCCCTGCCTTACGACCATGCTTTTGCCCTGGAGAGTGGGATGAAGTTTTCAAGCTGTGAGGCCTTTCGGTGGGTTTAGATTTGGTCGACTGCTGCTTGGCTGAATTCACTGTGAATCTTAGACCAAAAATAAACACATACAGGTTAGATTATCTAAGGAACCAGAACTATTTATATCCAGGGCCTACCTGCAGAGAAGTGTGACACAGGAGTAGTGTAATACAGAGGAATGAGATTGAAGGTTGGACAACATTGGTCAAGAGAAAACACTCATGCAATGACAAATATAGATTCAGAACATAATCACTTGAAACACTTTAAGATCTACTTCTTAAGAATTATTTAACAATAAACAGGCATTTAATAACGCAATAGTAAATAGAAACATATCATTTGTAGGCAAGTCTAGAAATATAATGTATTTATGATATGTTAACAAGGTCTCTTTAGAATTAGTTATTAACTGTTTGTTAACTAATGAGTTAAATGTTAATTAATTGTAATCTTTCAGTTGCAAGCACATTTAAATTTATTTTGCAGTAATCAAGGAATATGGACTGATAATAATTATCTGAATTCACAATGACCAAACATGAGGTAGTAAATGCAGTAGCACTGTAATTTTACACCATTTTCTTAAAATACAGTATTTCATTGTATTTTGCTACAAAGTCTGGAAGCTAATGTCCATTTTTAACTCTTTATGACCTGTAAATATTATTTGTAAGCACTTATTAAAGGTATGGCTATTAAGTGTGTTCCTTTTCAGTTATAGTCTTGCAAAGTCAACGATCTTTTAAATATAACTATTTTTTTGGAAGTTGTTTCCAGGTGATTTGTAAGCATTTACAAACAGAACAGTATTGATAATTAAGAATGAGTATGTTTTACTTTAGTCTTGGTCTTGAAATTCATTAATAAAGATCTTTTAAATGTATTGTATAATTTGCACACTAATTTTAACGAATTTGTAAACATCTGTAAGCATCTCTTCATCATATGATCATACTAAACAAAAAGTTTTACTAAGTTATATATACTTATATAAAGTTACATAAAAGCTGACAAATGCCTTCTTCAGATACTTTTCATTCTTCAGCTCACTTGATCTGCTTTTAAATATCCTCTTCATGTGTTACAGACCTCAGCGATTAATTATTATGTATATTACTATATACTTTTGAACACAGTAAAATTAGCTGTCAGTTGTTTATGAATTCTGATTAACAGGACATGCATTCAGAACACATAACATGTATGAGTATGCCTGCAACTGAAATGTGACCATATACTCGCATTTACTACCATGTGTAGTTATTGTGAATTCAGATCATTATTACCTGTTCATATTTCTTGATTAACGTCAAATTAAGACATTTCACACGTTTACAACTGAAAGGTTACAACATTCCTTCTAAGTTTGCTTACAAATGAAATGGTTTTATTTACTAGAGTATTACTAATAACTACCATTAAACTAATAGTTAAGAAACAGACCTTAAAATGAACCTAAACAATAATTTTTTGGAATCTTTACAAATATTCTTGGAATATTTTATAAATATTTTACTTTGTAAAGCTAATCCTACATCCATTAGAGAGCTCAGGTTAAGAATTGTACATAAAGACTAAAACATTTATTCAGCGTTTATAATATTACTTGGAACAGTATTGCTTATCACTAGACAAATGATAAAAGTTGTCCTGTAGAACAAAATAAAAGCCCCCTTTAGAACAACAAAAGCAGATCTTCTCCAGGCATATGTCCTTAACCTTAAGACCTGGGACAGGGTTGTTCACATTTGACTAATTAAAAAAGATTAATACATTTTAGCATAACTTGCTACTCAAACTGACAAGATGTTTTCTGACAAGATTACTATTCTAGGACATATTTCTAGACTCTTTCACACTTCTCTTACATTTTGCTTCATTTTCAACCCCAGCACAGGTTTAATTAACAAAGTAATTCATAATCATTTAAGAAACCTTCAAAAAAAAAAATAAATAAATAAATGAAATAAATAGCGTACCCTTTTGTGTCAAAGCTAGTGCTGAGGTCCTTATTGTGAGCGGCAGCAGACGTAGGCTTCTCATCTTCTTCATCACTAGTTAGGGTGATGCCCAAGCTTGGAGCTACTGCTTTAATCACAGGCCGGGATGGCTCTTGATCGTCTGGGTCCAAATCGTCCTGGAAACCTGAGACCAGTGGATTCCCGCCTCTCCCCTCTGCATCACTAAATTTAACATGAATAAGAAGTAAATTAACAATGCTTTATTTGGTGTATGTGTATGCCCTGGTCAAATTAAATGTTGACCAGGGGTGCTCTCTCTCTCCCTGTCAGTGTTCTCCTCCTATTTTAACTGTAAGGCACGCACACACACACACACACACACCTCCCAGTAACGGCATAGGCACTCACTTTTTTTCATCCTGCCATGATCTGACACTCTACAGTTATGGGTTTGGCTGCAATAATAATTATGAACAGTACTGTGAAAAGTCATGTTTAACAATCTGTGACAAACAGACAATATAACTTAACATTACTTTGCCAACGTAAATGCCTGGTGAACAAGCAAGCTAGCTTGCAAATTACGTAACGTTAGGTTAACGTTATTAACGTTAAATATTTTCCCAAGGTTGGCAGGTCCATGTTAAGTTAACTCAATTCACAATTTCAACGTTCCACATCCGCCTCAGCTAGGGCTGGGCGATAAAACGATAACGATAAGTATTGCGATATAACTTTTCCTCGATAGAGCGATACGACATGTTCGATATAATACACCTTTCTCACACTTCCACGTTTTAGCGAAAGCCCTGGTGGTGTTTTCTACTGCAAGGAAAGCGACACTACTCTGCTGTCGCCAGGAGAGGGCGCACTTCCGAGTTTTTCCTCCGACTTGATTAGAGAGGGAGGGGGCCATGAGTAAAAAAAGGGTCGCCAAATATACTTTAGCAACGGCTGAAACGCGGAGTTATACAGTCCCTGTTTGAGTGGAGCGACCGGCGATCTGTTCTCCTGTGACCGAGTGTGAGTGACGAGATCAGTGGTGTAACTGTACTGTCCTACAGTGAACTCACCTCTTTCTGTGCATCCTAACAACTTCAGCGGTGTTAAATCACGTCTCCAGCGCCGTGTTACAGCGCCAAACCGTCATATTTTAGTATTAGTCACCACTTTCAGTTTAAACATACCTAAAAGGAGGACTCTGTGACTGGTGTGAGAGATTCACATTGCAGATAATGCTTTTACACAGCGAACGTTTCACCCCTTAAACTACTGCAATAGCATAGAGAAACCCAGCCGTCGCTAGCTGGTGTCTGAATACTGTGATATGCTCTGACATGGATGTGGTAGGAGTGACAGCAGTGACCTACCGAACCGAGTTGACGTTGTTGAGAAACTAAAGAGTTTACCACTGTTGTTGGCCACTTGTTTAGCATTTGTAACGGGGTAGCCAAGTGCTCGTCACCAGACAGCTAAAAAGAATCTGTTTTCTTTCTTAAATCATGACTATTACAAAAATTGCAGCTGTGCTTTTCCAGCTGATAAAAACAGCTCAGAAACTTTCTCCCACTTTTCCATGACAGATTAGTGAAATGTTCCACTGTTTGCCGAGTGTTTGTCATAATCGGACCATAAGTGATAGTTTAAAACCACAGTTAACCACCCAGGAGCAAAATCAGCCTTCAAACGTGAAAGAAATCATGATTTGACATTTATCGCGATATGTATCGATATAGAACGATATGAATTTTGTTTATCGTGATAACGTTTTTGGCCATATCGCCCAGCTCTAGCCTCAGCCCATTTACCTATGCAAAGGAGTTAAAAAGCACCTTCCTCCCTTTTGGAATCAGCCAGGCGGAGTGAGAAGGCGAACAAGACGGATTAAAAACATGCTGTCGATTTGCTGTCTCTCGAAATTACTGACATTATGCATTTGTTGTCCCCAGGGAATGAACCCAGTGCTATGATTGGTCGCTGGGCTATGATTGGTCAAGCTCTTCTTACACTTTTCTAGAAGATGGAGGATGAGACGTTGCTTCCTCTTGCAGATTTGAGCACTGCACATGCACAACTGAACTCACAGGTGTCACCAGCTTTTTGCGTAGAGTGACAAATCGTATCAGTGTACTCTGATGTCAAAATGTGTACCTGCTACGCAAAATGCATAAAGGTTGGCAGGTCTGCGCTCGTACTAGCGCAACACACACTAACAAGCCACCACATTAGTGTCACTGCAGTGCTGAGAATGATCCACCATCCAAATAACACCTGCTCTGTGCTTCTATATATAAGTAGAACAGTCATAATAGTGTGTAAACACTTGCAATATATGTAAAAATGAACTGATGGCTTGCCTGTCACTGTCCTGAGCAGGAGCTGCTGCCGGAGCTTTTTTTCTGGATTTGTTTGCTTCTCCACTGTCCTCCAGAAAGCTCCGGTCCAGACCTACATCTGGCACAAAGTCATCCACATTTTGTACCTTCCCTGAGGGCTTAGGGGCCTCACAGGCTGCTGTTTCTACAGAGAACAGGGAGAGTACATGTTCATGCAAAACTCATCTTCAAGTATTATCTAACTACACTCTCAAGATTAAAGGTTCTTCAGTGGCACTGCTTCAAAAATCCTGTTTGGCTTCTTTTTTAAAGTGTCTGCCAAAGACATTCAGCCATAAAAGGTCAAGATGTATGACTTAATTTAAGAAACACTGTATATACACACAGGAACATCCAGAGGGAGATATCATGTTTGGCTGTGTCAGCAGTGTTGCTAAAGCCCATGATTTAATTACTAGACTCTTTTCCTCACCTACAGAGGACATCTTAATGCATAAATTGAGAAGAGGACCCAACAGGCTATCATGTGGGACATTTTTAAGAGTCAGTGTCAATCAAAACAACAGTGTCACCTCAGCACAGGACTGCACAGCTGTAAGTATCTCTACCCACTTAACTCCCCATTTCATAAGCGCATAGACAATACAGTAACATGACTAAATGCACAGTTACTTTACACAGTAGTCTGAATACAATTTGTATCCTGTTTATTTATTAATTTCTGATTTTTTTTTTTATTTATTCATTTCCATCAGAAAAGTTATACCAACCGCTATGATTGAATGATCCCAGTAATTAATTGAAAACTGATTAAGGCAAGTACAAGCACACAATATTAGTGGAACAAACATTAGTGTCTCTTTCCCTTAAAGTGGGTCAGTATTTAGTATTTTATGTAGGTCAGTATTTTGTTGCATATCTCAGCTTGAAGCCTTTTTTTCTATGCATATACACCCATTCTGAAACTGATGCCTCCAACACGCCCTCCGAAAAAGCTGGGACAGGGCCATTTAAGACTAGAAATTATGTGAAATGTTGTAAAAAAATGTCAAACAAGTGATGCAATTTCACTTTCAAAACTACAATTTGTGTCCTCAGTTCCTAAACATTTATTAGGTGTTGTTAAAAGTAAAGATGATGTAACACAGTGGCAAACATAAACACCTAAATACCTACAATGCAATACAGGTCAAAAAAATGTGCAAATCACTGCTTTCTGCTTTTATTGGCATTTGACCAACTGTTCCAACTGTTTTGGAATTGGATTTGTACATTCCTATTGTTTTTTTGTGATCTACACAATTTGTTTCAAATTTGATTAGATGACAAACAGAATGGGTGCGGGGGGTGGGATTTGAGGTCTCAGAAATTCCAAGACTTTTGCAGCACTTATTTTTCATACTCGTTCCAGGCCAGGAAAACTAAAATTCTATAATCCATTACTTTTCCTTTTTCATGGCCATCCAAACCCTGAAATAACGTGTCGGTTTGGCTTCCTGTTTGCACCTTTTGTAAGTTGCTCTGGATAAGAGTACCTGCACTGGTTGGGACCAGTGATAAAGCTAATTTGTGTACAGCCTTACCTGGTTTGTCTGGAGACTCTGGAGTTGAGGAGCCGAACAGGCGGGAAATGAAGCCTCGTTTCTGAGCAGGAGGAGCTGCTTGGGCAACATGGGTGGCAGCGGTGGGTTCCGAAGTCTGTGAGGGAGGGTGGCTCTTGGGTACTGGGGGTGCTGAGGACTGAAGTGGGAAGTGTGCAGGATGGGTGTCTGGTAGAGGATGGGGCTGAGGAGGGACAGGGAGAGGGGCCTGGGGGGTGCTAGGGCTGGAGTTACTGGGGGAGGCAGCACCAGGCAAGACGATGGGGGACTGGGAGCCTGAGGAAGGGCTCTGGCTGTTCGAGGGAGCAGGAGAGCCATAGGCTTTGCGTGCCTCCATCATTTCCATGAAACTGAAAACAGAACAGGGAAAAATCACTTGCATCATGTTGGCTACTATATGAAATTTCTGATGTATATGTAAAGTATAATTCAAAATTGGAATTGCAATTTGCTCCAATTAAAAGACTCATATTACGGAAAAACAAAATTTGACATAGTATATAAACATTATTACATGTACGGAAACCTTTCAAAGTGTGCCATTCACCTCCCAGTCCATATGGCCCACATATGCAAACTGAGCTGCAAAAATAGCAACTGAATTGAATTCATTGCTTTTGTGATAACACAAAAACCAACACATTTATACATACCTGTACGCAAAGGTTTAAATACCCCTGGTCAAATTACAGATTCTGTTGGATTTTCCAAACGAAGGTAAGTTAACACATTTTCTACTAAGAACACACTTATATGATTCGGGGCAGGGCACGTTTAGTTGGGTGATTGTGACCTAATTTGTCACAATAACAAATTTTTTGATGTTGCCTAGGTCTACTGTTTATAAAAGTATGTTTTACAGGTTTTAACTGCACATAACTATTATTTAAAACACAACTAATTGTGGCAGCCCCACTATGAAGTTAGTTATTTCCTCCACAAATTAATCACTAAATTAATTTAGTTAAAATTTTGAAAAGCATCAAAATTAGTTTCCCTAACATTTGGGATGTTTACATGCTTGCACCTTACATGTCATAGTTCTGGTCCTCGGTCTCCTGCTGAACATTAAGCTCCTCAAGGGTTGCATCAATGTCAAGCTGATTTGTCTCCAACTGCCGTAACAGCGTCTCCCTCTGCACACAGAAATGTGCATGTTTGCTGATAGTAAACAAAAAGCTACACTATACGGATAAAAGTATGTGAACACCTGACCATCACACCTATATGAGCTTGTAGGACATTCCGTTCCAAAACCATGGGCATTAATATGGAGTTGGTCCCCTTTGTGTCTGTAACAACCTCCATTTTTCTGGGAAGCTTTCTACAAGATTTTGCAGTGTGTTTGAGGGAATTTGTGCCATCAGCGCCATCATTCAAAAGAGCATTTGTGAGGTCAGGAAGTGATTTTGGACAAGAAGGCGTGGCTTGCAATCGACGTTCCAATTCATCCCAAACGTGTTAAGTGGAGTTGAGGTAAGGGCTCTGTGCAGGCCACTGAAGTTCCTTCACACCAAACTCATCAAACCATGTCTTTATGGACCTTGCTTTGTGCACTGGGGCACAGTCATGCTAGAACAGAAAATGGCCTTCTCCAAACTGTTCCCACAAAATTGGAAGCATATAATTGTCTAAAATGTCTTTGTATGCTGTTGTATTAATATTACCCTTCACTGAAACTAAGGGTGCTCGTCCAAAGCCTGAAAAACAGCCCCATTATCCCTCCCCCACCAAACTTTACTGTTGGCATTATGCATTTGGTAGCATCTGCCTGGAATCTGTTTAACCAAGATTCTTCCATCAGACTGTGAGACAGTGAAGTGTGATTCATCACTCCAGAGAACAAGTGTCCAATGCTGCAGAGCAGATACTTGGCACTGTGCATAGTGATCTTAGGCTTGTGTGCAGCTTCATGGCCATTGAAACCCATTTCATAAAGGTCCTGATGCACAGTTCTTGAGCTGATGTTGCCTCCTGAGGCAGTTTGGAAGAGGACAGGCAGTTTTTACATACTACACACTTCAGCATTTGGCTTCTCACTTTGCATGGTTTATTGCTTCGTGGCTAAGCTGTTGTTCCTAGAAGCTTCCATTTCACATACTAGCACTTACAGTTGATGGGGCAGGTCTAGCAAGCCAGAAAGTTCACTGAGCCCTTCAGTATGACCCACTCTACTGCCAATGTTTGTCTATGGAGATATATGGAGTATAGCTATGTGCTTGATTTTACACACTTGTTAGTAATGAATGTGGCTGAAAAACCTGAACTCCATAATTAAGAGGGGTGTCCACATAATTTTGGCCATATAATGTTTCAACACAATACACAGAGTATCAAACACATTTCTAGTGGATTTCATTGCTGCTTACCACTTTGCTTAAAAGCCGGTGTCCAATATAATCTGCATAAGGGTCAGTGCCTTAAAGTTTCAGTATTCTGAGATTCAGTTTGCTCTAGATCAGTGGCACACTGCTGTTGTCTGACCCACCTGAAAATACAAACGTTAAAGACACGACTCTTTCCTGACCTGCAACTGTAGAAAGGGAATGTTGAAGAAGCGGTGCAAGTATTTGAGACCGAAGCCGTTCTTCATGGAGGACTCTGCATAATGAATGTAGGAGGAGCCAGGAGGTCTGCAAGACAGGATGGCAGGGTCAGTGAGAGGTTGGGTGTAATATCAACCGCTGCTCCTCTGAACGACTGATTATAAATAGTTAACTTAAGTACGACTCAGACAGGATTAGTTTAACATGGGGAACTGCGGTCATGTAATTATTATCAGAGTATCTCTGTGATTTTAGTCCTGCCTGAATCTCCACTGTATCAGTAACCTGAAGTAACCTTTTATGGACTGAGCTCTACCACAGAAAAAACCCAGAGTAAAAACTATGGTAGCTTTTCACCTACTATAAAATGATGAACAGAAATATGGTTATACACATTAAAATGTGAAAATGCACACAGTAACGTTTTTTTACGTAAAGGGTAACAGTCTAGTTTCTCCAAAAGGCAGTCTTACTAACCAGAAAACCTGAACCAGTCACAGTAGTATATTTTTTATATAGAGTCTAGGAGCACGTTGACATTTTCAGAACTGATTCTGAAGCAACCATAAAACCATAGAAGTTCACAGTGGAAGAGAAACGACAGCACCTTTATGAGAGGTAAAGACACAGTGAAGTCTATGAAGACAGCTTATGAATGCAAAAAAATGTATCTTACTATATTTCAGGTACATGTCATTATGAAAGCACTCTTTCTAGCAGTTAGAGCAGTGTTATCTTAGTTATAACCTCTGGTTTTCTGTTTCTGCCGAGTGTCCACGGAGATACACAGAGTTCCAGTCTGGATTTTGAGTGCTTCTTAAAATTTACTGGATTAAAGTGTTTTGAACTCACGCAAATGTTTCTTGGAACAACTGTGTTTCACTGCAGTTTAGGTTGTTTACATGCAGGATTTGTGACCTCTGTCACAGTCTTTCAATGTTGCGCAATACCGACTGTCTTTTTTACTTGCATGTCATATTGACTGATTCAGAGTTAAACAAAAACAAAAATGTTCAATAATTCAACAAAAAACATAGGCCTTTACTAAAGATGCAATGCTAAAGAAATTGCGTGGCTATTTCAGCACTGCACATGCATTGCCATACCCCCACCAACTATACAGTACAAAGAAACTAAACCATATCTTTCAAACGCAACAAGGAGAATGCTATTTGCCAATTCTCTTACATTATTTAACAGATGCCTATGTTGGCTAGCATCACACTGAGTGATGGGAGGGTAAAAGGAGGGTACTCAGACAGAGAGGTCAATGATGCTCTTCTGAACTCATTAGCAGTAGCTAAGAGCATGTGTGTACCATACCTGGGTGCATGTGAATGAAGGATATCTTCTATTCTATTGACTGGGCATTTTATTACAATATTTTACACATTTACATGTTTCAAGAATTACCACTAATAGAAGAATAATACCGTGTATAACAAAAAAACTGCGTTGTTAGCAAGACTCACCTGTTAAGGCTGTTGATGAAGTCTCTGGTGTCATCGGGTAGGATGACACGGTGTTCACCCATGTCCCGCTGGTTACCCAGTACACATACAGGCACATGTGTGGGCACCTTGGGCAACTCTCTCAGGATGTAGTTGAATGTCCTTTTGAGGAGAGAGAAAGAGAGACATGTTTACTAAGGACTGTGCAAAACCTTTGACGCAGCACTGGTGTCACTGGTGAAGGTGCCAATATACAGATCCACCTCACATTTTAACCAGTTGTAGAAATTTAAAAGAAATCTTTTTAATCTCTTAAACTTAACTAAATTGGAAAGAAGGGTAGTTTACTTAAGGCTCCTTTAGCTCGGTGGTGGCCTCGTATTTGCATGTTTAATTGGTACGGCTATTAATGCATTACTAATTAAAAGAGAACTGTGAACGAATCAAAGTACAGCTTAGCCTTGGAACATCAGCGATACTGGATTTTTACATTTCTTCCTCCAGTATAACATGTAAATGTATGACAGCGAACATTCATTGTGCTTCCCTGTCCTCCTCCTCCTCCTTTCACAACAGTGCCAAGCTTCACTGAGATAGTAGCTCTGGTATCCTTACCACAAACAAATGGGATCAAATATACAGTAAGGAATAGACCAAAGAGGAAGGATAAAGGTAGAGGGAGAAAGGAGCTGGGGAAAGAAGATCAAAAATAAGATATAGTAAAAATATGCTGACAGACAGAGACAGAGGAAGCAAAGATAACATTAAGCAGGCAGGGAGGTAGAGGCACAATAAGAAAGAGAGCTAAATTCATCCTCACCACTGCTTGGTTATGTCAAACATCATGATCACCCCATTGCAGTTCTTATAAACATCCAGAAACTCAGCATCTAGAGCCATCTCTGTTTCTGACTGCATGAAGAAGAGAACAGTATTGATGTTATATATTTATTGGGTTAACACACATTTATGCAGTAGTGATACTACATCAATGAATTCTGGTCATCCAACAGTTTCTTAAAATGAGAGAGACAGCAAGGTGCTTGGTAAAGCTTTTAGCCATTAAGCTCCACTAATTTCACTATAAGGTGAGAGATTCCCTGGCAGTTCATTCTCTGAGGGTGATTCACACGAATGCTGAGTTTACAGGCTGGCAGTAGACAGTTGATGGCAAACCATATATTTCATTGTTTTTAAATGAACAGCAATGGAAAATTCTGCCACCGCCAGCAGAACTTATTCCATACGCAGTGGCAGAATAAACCGGAACTTAATTTTTTCGGAAACACAGATGCTGAGTGGTCATAGTTTAAGTTCCGAAGTTCAAAGAAAACACACTATTGGAAATGTTAGCATGTGTTCAAATTGGAATAAAACAGTGGTTCACACCACTGTGCCGCATACGGGCCAAAAAAAACAGTAATGCTATCACCATGGTAACATTTACACAAGCTTCATGCGGTCGTCAGCAACAATTCTGCTATGAGGCACAGAACAACAGCAATATGTAATAGCAGCATAACAATCAACCAGCACGAAACACTGCCAAATCAGTTTTGACACTGCCTCTGTTAGGGGTGGGAATCACTGGAGGCCCCATGATGCAATGTATTGTGATATGCAAAAATCTGTTATATGCTAAGAATTGTGATTTGACATCTTGCAATAAACTGCAATTTATTACTTTTTAATGCAAATTATACTTTTCATTAGAGCTGCAGCTATTGAACACTTTTTGAATATTATCTCTAAACTTGAAAATTTTAATCATTTATGAGATTAAGAAAAGCTTTTCTTGTTAATTATTAATATTATTCCTACTGTAATTATTGTCATTAACTAATGAAACATTAATATACTACTAAGATTACGGAAAAACAAACATCACTGATAAACGATTACTGTCATAGCAAGTAGTGTAAAATGCTATTCCAAGGGATCATGCCCAATCTGGCAACCCTGAGCAGGCTGCTGAGACGTTTAAGTGTGTCACTGGTGAGCGCTGCAGGACAACAGAGGAAACGCGATGTTATGAACACATTAAAAAAATTAAATCAGATTTTTGTTCAACTCGTCAGTGAACAAGGGGATGAGCGTGTTTTAGATTTTACATGACCAAATGTAGATGACCAAGCCCTCAGAAACAGCTTCATATCCGAGCATGTACTCAGCTGCACGAGTCGTAATGCCTAGTGAAGTTTTTTCTGCTTCAGATGGACAGCTTGCTAGCCAGCATGCTGTAGTTAGTTATCTGTGATAAATGTAGTGGCCAGCAGGCTAGCTAACAAGTTGAAAGAATTTGGACTGAAGGCATTATTGTCTCATTTCAGAGCTCTATTACAGACGGTTAGGAATGGAGTCTGACCTCTGACTACTACTGTGTCTTTGACAGGAAAGCACTACTTAACTCACATGAAAATAGGATAAATCACAGTGCTGTTTTTGTGTGGTGTACAGGCAGATTCTCTTGTCCTCTTTAAATGCACTGCTGTTGCATGCTACTAGAGACTTGCTAGCATTTAGCTTCTTAAAAAAAACTTTTTCTTGTCGAACTGATAAAAAAACGATGCAGTGAAGTGTGTGTTTTCATAAAAATCGATAAGTTTTCCATCTTCAAACATTTTAATTGTCAAATGTATCAAATTTGAATACTTTTACTACTTTTTATCTGATCAGTTTATACTTCATTTACTCACTTACTAAAGCAAAACACAATTCTAAATGTTTCATTTCTGAAACATTCACTCAAAATTCACCTACATTTATTTACTTAGCACACAATCCAGAGCATTTTATAATTACAGTCAAATGTAACATTAGGAGTCTAGTCCAAGGACTCTTATTACTGCAGCAGGGGTGTTCCTGCCTGAGCTGGGAATCGAATGCTGGTCTCCCATATTTATGGGTCAGAAGCAATAGTGTTATACCCTACATTTTAAGATATATGATATGATGTTTTAGGACATCACAGTCTCAACCATTTTCAGTTTCAGTTCAACAAGTTTCAGTGACTTTCTATGGTGAGACTGCCCTTTACTGGCTCTTCATAATCTCAGGAAATATCTTACCTCTTGAGGTTCGTTTTCCAGCTTCAAATTTTCTCCACGTCTTTTACCCTTGCCTATTTTGGGAAAGAAGTGCAGGTTAAAAGGAAATCACTGCACCACATCAAAAACATCTGAAAGCAATTAGCCGAGAGCAACTAGTGTGTAGTGCAGTCTGTTCCGTTTACACTGCTGATCAACAGGGCACTTTGGTATTAATGACACTGCATTGTAATGTGCTGTACAATGAACATTTTAAAAATTATTTGAATTTTACAACCAGGTTTTTGGAAGGCTGACAGCTACTCATATTTTCAAACAGATTACTGACCATTTTCCAGCCTTTCTTTATTCATTAAAATTAAACAAGCTGTTTTTGTTTCTGTGCCCGAAGACTGATATATGTAAATGAGCTCTGTTCTAACTGGCTGCCCTGTATTGTGCCTCATTCAAAAACCTGTGTGGGCTGAAACACTCTTTATATGAATAGTGGGCTTAAGGGTTTCAATAATCAGTCTTTAAAATTTGTAACCTGAGCAGCAGAGAGACTTCTTCAACCAATATGTAAGGCAATTCCACACACTCTTTAAAGGAATACTTCCATGTTTTCAACCTAGTTTCGAGTCAATGGGTTTGCAGTTCTTTTATTGAGTACTGAAATTACTGTCTGTGGTAATTAAACTACACATTTGGGAGGTAGGTTGAAAATGCTGGAGTACTCCTATACTGTCCTTCTATTGTCCTGTATGCTTATACTAGTGCACACCATAGCAAACAGCACAGTCCCTCTAGAGTTCAAACACAGTCACATCTGAGTGAAAGAGAAGGGAAGAGAAGTGGACACTGCAAATACAAGAGACCTATGTTTGTCTACTACACGACAGTCAGTGCTCACCTACGCCCTCCGGCAGAGAAATCTTTTGACCTATTGGTATTGCAGAGCAGGAACAAGATGACAACAGTAATATAGCTTATCAAACAAAGCAACATTTTAAGATTTTTAGTTATGTTCCATCAGCATAAGAATTTTGCATAAAACAGCATTCAGAATTTTATATTCTGATCACGGCTGGTTCTCGTTGTACTTAAAAATGTTCCTTATAAACGGACATTGGCTTCAGAGGGTTCATTAAAAGCTTACCTTTATCTACCACATCCCAGACCTCCACCTTCACTACATCATCTGTTGCTGAGGATAAAACAGAAAACAATGACAGCCTGTCAGGAAGAACAGTCCAAACCACAAATGTTTATTCTGACTAATTTTGATATTTGAGTATAAGTAAATATAAGTCAATGAACTCACATAATTTAAACTTACTCGCTTGATGTTAATGTATCGTGACAAGTTAACATAGAAAATTGGTTCACTGGTGCTAGCAGCCTTCAAAATCAGTAGCACAAAAAAAAAGCAGTTTACAGAGGTGCACTTTTGTATGTACGTGCAGGTGTATGTCTTATTATTCAAAAATAGCCACGGTCAATCTGTTTTGGTTACTGTGTCTCTGTAATAAAGGCTGCCTTGAATGAGCTAATAAGCAAATGCTAGCACCAACACTAGAGCTAAGCAGAGAAATAGTAGATGGTGATGATCTGGTATCTTGTACAGAAAGTTTTTTTTTCCTCAGCAGGTGTCGATATTGTCTGATGTGCCTGGCCAAAACATTTCATAATTCTGTCACATTACTTTTCACTCTTCTGCATGAGACTGAGAGCCTGACTGGTTGGACCTCAAACTAGCTGCACCAAATCAGATTTAATTGGAAATCAGCAACTGTAACATTAACATTACCACCATGATAGCTAACACGATGTCAGGTGACAACTCCTTTCAAGAACTCTGTCTGCCACAATGGCTGGGTTATTATAACAAGGCTTTGCTGTCAGCGGGTCTGCTACTTGTAAGCACATATTTTGGGTTTTGTGTCTCTATCTTGACAGGTGTGCCTACTTTCTGTCATCAGGGCCTTTGACTACCAATCCTGACTGGAGTAATTACGGGAGGAGCTTAAAAGCTGCATTTAAGATGGCTAAAGACAGAGAGGACTGTTACCACATGTGTGCTGTATTTTAGTTTGTGTTTTAAATCTTTTGTATTGGGAATGTGCTCATGTTTTAGGTATTTTACCAGAGTTCCCCTTAACTTGGTTAACTTGATCGTCTCTTGTGTTGGGAGAGTACTTCAGTTTGGAATGTTACCTGCACACTTTTAACTTTGTTTTACAAGAGATTGTTTGATTATTTGTCCCACCTGGGGTTTCAAACAGGTAAGAGGGGCATGCCCGTACATTCCCAGGTCAGAGCCACATGTAAGTTTAATGTAGGTAGCTTGTTGTTCCTTTTGTAGTTTAGCTAAGTACTTTTGTTTTGTCCTATTCTTTGCTGCCGTCTACAGTTTGATTCTTCCATTGTGGTGCCAGGTTTCATAGCACAGCATTTTTATTGTGGTTGGTTTTAATAAAATAGTGTCAAAAGCTCTTATGTATCTGTTCTGTGTGCTTTTATCCATTACTGGTTCACTATTTTAAATGCCACGTTACTGATCTCACAATGCCCTAGATACAACATGAGGTAGTAACAGGGTCAGATAGCCATGACAACAGTGGGGAAAAAACTAATTAGAAAATTCAGAGTCGAGCGGAAACAAGAATGTGCTGCTGGAGTATGATTTCAAGAAGGACGGGATGTTCTGTCAAGCATGTCGTCAATTTCCACAACAGCCAGACACCAAAAGCATTCTTGATCATTAAAGATGAACAAAAAGAGCTGTAAAAAGGTAGTATCAGCTTAATCTAGCACAGAAAAAATTAAGAATAAAATATCTGATTCAAACAAAAGCAGGACGCCATGAGATCAGCTACAATGTCTGGTAAATGACTGTTTAGTTGATGTGTGGGCCGTAGCCATTCTCTGCCCTCGACGTTATTGGCTATAATTATTCTAAAATACGAGATATGTATATGGACCAGTTTTTCAAATTAGTCCAAACTGCAAGACTATTGAGTATTCATACTAAGTATTAATACCTTAAGTATTTACAAGGTTTATTTTATGTTCTATTAAAACCCAAGGCATTAACCCCAACAGATCATAATAAGCTAGATGTATAGAAAATCATCATTTATGGGGTACTTTCTATTAGGAGTGTCTGTCTTAAAGCCTAACCCCTAAATTTCACCTTGTACAAATGATACTTACAGTTTTTACCAGTTTTTAACCTTTCTGATTCATTTCATTGAGTGATTTATAATAAGTTTAATTTAAAAACAAAAATGCCAAAAATGCTGTCCCATGTTTTCATGTCACTACTGAAACACAGTGTTTAGTCCCCTGCATTTTAGAGCAGAAAGTGAGACTGCATCCCTGTCCCTCATGGCCACATGGTGAGCAGTTAGATTTGTTTGTTTTGAAGTAAATGTGTCCCAAAGTCTGAAAATCAGTGTGTAACATTAAGAACTGTCACTATTGAAACATATTTCTTGCAATTTAGTAAACCCTTATGTGTGTACAGCTGTCTAAAGCTGTGTTTGCTGGTTATGTACTGGCTAGCATTTATGAAGAAAAAAAAAAAAGCAAAGATTGTCTCTACTGAAATATTTGGTAATGTTTCAGTAGTGTTATAACTGTTTTGTTTTACAAAATTGGAGCGTTCAATCATTTATTTTCATACATTAAACTCAATTAAAGCATAGAGCGACTCAAAGAAAAAGGATTTTAAAGTCCAAGTCAGCTAAAAGTTCAAAATACATTTTGAACTCTGACTTTGAGCCAATTGGGTAGAGTGATCCCTATATGTTTGAAATAAGCCAGCCAACATGCGTACACTTCTTTTTCCTTTGAAGTACTAACTTTTGTAGTTCCAGTGAATGCTGGTGACCTGGATCTCCTGCGTAGGGATGTACTCCTCAATAAATTTCTTCCCCTGGAGACGATGCCACAGCGCACTCTTTCCAGTGTTCCTGTCTCCACGGATTACTATTTTCACTGCGCGCATAAAAAGAAACAAAAATGATAAGACCCAGGCACACATAATTGTAATTATAAATCTATGACACCTGAAATGACTTAATGATGCTTACTAATTGTTATCAGTACAAGCACAGAAAGACAGACAGAAATATACTATAGTTTAGACAGCAGTGCTGAGATAAAAAAAGTACAAAGTGATGTGGGGTAAGTAACTTAATAAAGCATTTTGTTGCTTATGTTTCTGAACTGTGGTTGACTCTCTTCTTCATGTGCAGTTTCTCTTATGTAAGCTATTTTTGTCTGCAGGAGTTAAAATGACAATGACAGTGGTTAAAAAATATGTGTATGAGCCTTGTCATCTCAAGGCATGTGATACATTTAAATAACAAAAAAATCATTAAAATGCTAAGCAGACTAGTATAAATGTGCGGTTAGAATGATAAGGACATTACTAAGGCTTTATGAAACACTTTGAGGCATGTTACATTTTTACCATGCCAAAATCAACTGCTTCTTATGAGGTTCTGACTACAGGAAACCAGAGTGTGCTTCCTGAAGTGTCACTGGCTATTTCCCATCACCACTATTGTTATGCAAGGACAACAGTCATGATTTTTTTCTGAGAGTTATTTTAGGTAGATTTATAACGGCCTGTTACAAAAAAATCTACCCAAAATAAATACTGACCTTTTTCACCTTGTTATCTCAGGTACCCTGATCATACTAAGCACAACTTATCACATCATATTTAAAAGGTAAAATTCTTGTTTCCCTTAATCGTCCATCAAAATGTTAATGACTCTAAAATGTCTTATGAGTTTTGATTACATTACCCTGCACCTGTGTGGGCGGAGCATGATACTAATTTTCTCTACTGATGCCCCATGTATCGGTCGATACTGATACTGATCCGATATTTCTTCTTTTAAAACTACTAAGCTACATTTTTACAGTTGTATGTAAAAGTTTAAAAACCCAAGTCAAATAACATATTTTGTTGATATTCTAAGTAAAAATAAATTAACAAATCCACTACAGGGAATTTAAAGATGGAATTCTGCTAATTTTAGTGCATAGACTAATTTTATGTGCCATAACTTTTGCAACGGCCAAACGTTTTTTCTTACAACTGTAAGCAAAACCACAATGTTGCCGTGAAGGTATTCAAACAACGAATGCTGCCACTGAAGTAGCATCCAGGCAGCTAAGACAAAAACACCAGGTAGAAACTACAGGGGACTGGAAAAATAGGCCAGCAGGCCTGATCATATATCATTCATGCATTTTTTAGATCACCACATAGAGCAAACTGCTCTGCAAGTAACCCATTCAGTACAGGATCAATGAGAAGATACTGACGGGCCTATAGCTGTGAGGCAGCTATATCTGTGAGGCAGATCTATTTATGGATTCTATATTGTTACAAAACAATCTGAAGCTCACAGTAAACAGCACACCTTGCAGTTAGCTCTAAAGTTCTGGATATGATAAGTAAGGCAAAATATAATTAAAAAGCTAAAAACAACCTGGAACACTTATTCATGGGCATTACATCATGGATGTAATGCTCATTAGATATCTTTTAAAAACAAGTTGAGGGTTCAACATCACAGTATACCAGTACAGACGGTGCCAAGCCCTGTCTGGCAGGCACAGCGTTCGCTAAAGCTTTTATAGCAACTTGTTTCTGCAAAAGACAAAGTAAAGTGAAGTAAACCGAACGCTATACTCACTGTTGTACTGCACACCCTTGGCAAAGCGCCTCTGCAGACTCTGGTTCATGGACTGCAGACCAGCAGGTATGTTTTTGTCCCGGAACTGCCCTGCTTCAGATCCGACCAGCTTCTTCAGTGCGGTGAACATCTTGACCCAAAGTGTCTTAACAATGTCTTTGCAAAGTTAAAACCTAGTCTATTGTTATATGATCCTTGCAATGTCCCACTGACAAATGTTCAGCTTGTTAAGTCATATTGACGACCAATACGTTTTCATAAGGTGAGCTGGAGGTCACCTAAGCCAACCAAACTGTTGATTATACTGTTTACTGTAGCCAGTACAGATATGTACGAGCCATTCTTACTGCTGAAAACAGTTATATGGCTGTTTTACACCCTGCTGGTGTCATCTGGAACGAGAAAACACAAAATGATGAAATTTAGACAATTTCTGCCAGGTATTTATAAAATATTCCTGCGTAACTACACTGTCAAAAGGTGAACATAATCAGAGTGGTTTGATGTGAAATCAGCCTCTCTAGAGAAACTTACTGAGCCAGACGTGGAGGTAGGAACCAGACATCTAAAGCTTTTAATGCCTCTAACAGCTACCCCACAGAAAGTTATGAATATGTTGCCTGATACATTGTTTTACAACAGTTTTGAGAAGGTTTTTTTGCATAAAACACATTTTAATTCATTATTGGTGGTTACAAATAACCATTTATACAATAACAGAATAGCATTAGAATACATTAAAGCTCAACAATCACATATCAAACTGGATTTCTTTGTGAAATATCAACAGAGGAAAAAAGAAATACAGAATACGGAATATATTGTCCTAAATATATTTAGTAACATATTCCACTACAATATATAAAAATTACTTATTCAGAATACATTTAGGATACATACTGGTAAGGCACATGGCAAAAACTTTTTACTTAATCCACACTGTTCCTCACTATTACTAGTAAAGTAAATTTTTCATGAAACTTATTATCATTTAAATGAAGTTCCAAAAATTCTCAACATTTTTTTTTCTCATCACCTGCTTCAGTCCACTTCTCCTCCCATAATCCACATGAGTCCAGTACAACACCAGCGCTAAGCTTATTACTTGCAAACATGGCCACTATTGAGGAGAATGTTAGTTTGATCATCCCTCAGAAGAGCTCAGTAACACTGAGATTAATAACTGATCATCACATTGATTTATCAGTCTACTCAGGCTTTAGCAGAGCTCAGTAACACTGAGATTAATAACTGATCATCACATTGATTTATCAGTCTACTCAGGCTTTAGCAGAGCTCAGTAACACTGAGATTAATAACTGATCATCACATTGATTTATCAGTCTACTCAGGCTTTAGCAGAGCTCAGTAGCACTGAGATTAATAACTGATCATCACACTGATTTATCAGTCTACTCAGGCTTTAGCAGAGCTCAGTAACACTGAGATTAATAACTGATCATCACATCGATTTATCAGTCTACTCAGGCTCTAGTAGAAACTTCAGGGTTTGTACAGAAGCCGTTAATTGAGATCCTCTAACCGACAGAGTTTGTCTAACAGGCATGTCTTCTACACGCTGCGTGCTGATTTAAAATAGTTTATTTGATTTTTTATTATTTAGTGGGTAAGCAATCTAAAAGCATCCTTTTAAAATTTATTTATTTATTTTATTTACAACGGCCTACCGTGAACGTACAAAATATTGAAAGGGGAATGTCAGCCACATAGCTTTACTTACATACTTAAAGATGGTTCTTTAAGGGTTCCTTAACAAAGTCAATAGTACTATTTAGAACCATGCATTCTATATAGAACCAATTCATGCTTAATGGTTCTTTGCGTGGTGAAATGGTTCAGATTGATAGAGAATGTGTTGTATATGGTACTATACACAATCTTCTTGAAAAAGGTCCTATACAGCTCCAAAAAAGGGTTCTTCATTTATTAGCTTGACATCATAACAGCAGAACCCTTTTTAGTGGTATATAGAACCATTTTCACAAATGTTCTATCCAGAACCATACACAACACATTCTCCATCAATTTGAAGAACGATTTTACCATGCAAAGAACCATTTAAGCATGAAGTGGTTCTATATGGAACTCCTGGCTCAAAACAGAACCATTCCCTTTACTAAAGAACCCTTAAAGAACCATTTTTCAGTGTGTATCCCAGTATGCTAAACCAGACGTTATCATAAACACTTCTTGCAAGCCGTTCGCTTCGGAACTTAGCTAAAGCGAACCAAAGCATTCCGGCAGACAGGCAGAAAATTTAGCCGTGCCTTACATAACCTAAACAGCTAACCTACCTCTCTCTCTCTCCTCGGCTCTCCAACTATTTCCCTGTTTCTCAGCAGGAACCTATTCTGCTACTCAGAACATCAGCTACATCAGGTAGACACAGCTCTAACGGAGGTGCTAGCTATATGAGCTGGCTGCTCGGCTTCATAGCCCACTAACGTTACTGAGCTACGTGTCAGCGGCTTTAATTCAAACCAACAAGACAAACAACAATCCGGCCGAGCAATATCGGCTTTTTTTTTAAATATTACCTTACAGATTGTCTTCTTCCTCTCCATGAGTATTTGCGATTCGGCCCGAATGGTTCACAGCATCATTTACCTTTTACTTGTGTCCAGCATTTCCGTACTATCATCATTCCGAGTGCCTGCTGGAGAATCCAGTGATGAGAGACCGATTCATCTGTTTATGGAAGCCTCATGCTACAGCGCCTCTAGTGGCAAGGTGATGAAATGACTGCACCGTTGCCAACAAAGGGGATTTTCAAAATCTCTGAATAATTCAGTGATTGGGAGGTAAACACAGTCATTCAGAGTGTTTTGATGTGAGATGATGCATTGCAGAGAAACTAACAGATTCAGATTTCTTTACACCCTGCTAGAAAAACCAGCACAGACCAGCATGGCTGGTCACTAGCAACACCAGCATGTTGTGTTTTGGATAATGATATGCTGGTCACCCAGTATGACTATGCTGAGTGAGCTAAACCAGCACTAAACCAGCACTAGACCAACTTAGACCAGCATGGCATTTATGCTTGTCTATGCTGTTTTTTCAATGGGGTAGAGGTGGTGTTAAGTACCAAGGGTTGTGATGTCTTCAACCCTATACAAAAATCTGATATATGGATATATATATATATATATATATATATATATATATATATATATATATATATATGATATATAAATCTGATATATGGATCTCAAATGTGTCACACTCAACAAGCACATTATTAGGAACGCGTCTGTTTCTACACCGATTGTCTACTTTATCAGCTCCACTTACCATATAGATGCACTTTATATTTTACAATTACAGACTGTAGTCCATCTGTTGCTCTGCATACTTTGTTAGGTCCCTTTCACCCTGTGCTTCAATGGTTAGAGTATCAGACAGACATGTATGATCCATATATTATGCACATATGTCTAATTTTTGATACTTAGAAAAAGAAAAATGCCATATTTTTTATATTTACACACACACACACTTACACACACACACACACACACACACACACATATATATATATATATATATATATATATATATATTGCAACAAAAAGGTTTAAATGCATTTTAAGAATGATCCACTTTCAAAACAATGTGACTTTGGTAGCCAACAACCGTGTCTAAAAAGTAAGACCTGTGCTTGAGAGTGTTTAAGAAAACCTGTTCTCAATTACAGAACAGTCTTAAATCATCATTAGTGGGGGTTCAAGATCTTCATGCATGTTGGTTTCTAACATATCGTCAATGTCCAAAGAAAAACAAGTATCTCCAAATTGGCAAGTTTACAGGAGAAGGCAAAAATGTTCTTTACTTTTCATGTAAGTTAATGTGAAGAGATTTTATTCCAAGTAATTCTGAAGAACCTCTGTTCACCCATCATAAAATAATAATGCAATGAAAAAAACAGCTGCTGTGTTTAAATAATGCAGAAAAATAAAAATTGATAAAAAATAGAGATACATGTTTTTCTTCGGACAGCAACAATAGGTTTATGATTTCCTTACTTTTCCTGGCAAAACCACATTTGATAGTACAGCAGAAATGCCAATCAGAGATTTTGAGACAAACTGTTAACAAACAGAAGTATTTTAACTGTCAAAGTAAGGCAGCATAGGACATAGGATTTTTTGGATCTACCACAAAGTTACCATAATTACCATTACGTACAAAAAAATCTGAATTTGGTCCTTTAACAACACAGTAAAAAACAAAAATATTTTCACGGTCAAAGTACTGTAAAATGTAATGGAAAAGGGTTAAATTCATGTAAATAAACCATAAATATACTGTATTTTAACACAGCTGTTAATTTACAGTAATACAATGTAAATTCACATAAACAAATGATCCCCTTTATTTCACAGACCTTTGTGTTTATTTTAAAGATTGTTGCTGTTATTATTATAGTAAACACTGCATGTCAAAATAACTAGTTGAACTAGTGAAACTGCTGAATTACAGTAAAAGGCGGTATTTCTAAAAAAATACAGATTTTTTTCATCTTTAAAAAAACATGCTTTTACTGTTAATTAACAGCTTTTTTTTTACCTTTAACATATTTTTTTTTACAGTGTAGCATTTTAGCCCAAATCTGCAGGATCATTGATTATATTGTTTATTTTGACAACTTCTTTATTTCTCTAATCTTCATTACACATTTTAAACCGTCACTTGGCCTACTCAGATTGGATACCATCTGCAGAATTGATTACCTGAATTGAAATTCAGCTGCTATGCCTGCCCAGTTCCAGAAGGGGACACCAGAGCTATTTATAGTGGTTTGATGTGAAACGCTCCCTTCTAGAGAAACTTAAGAGTCAGAAGCTGTGGTAATAGGAACCAGAAGTCTGAGTTTAATTTTTCAAGTTTTTGGCCTAAAATCGATTTCTTTCAAACCGTTCATGCCAGAGATACAATTGATTTACTGAATTTAACAAAAACTAATACCCAAAATGGACTGTGCAAAAGTTATGGCATATTCTCTATTTTTATGACTTGTGTGTTTTATGTTTCATGTTTTATGTTCAACTCAGCAAATAAACAAAAATTATGCTGTAACATTTAAATGCCCCAGCTAGAATTTCTTTGTTCTAAAACATTCTCAGAATTACACACTTGTTCTATTAATATTTTTAATGGTAATTTTTTTTGCTCCTAGAATGTTCTTCTAAAACATCATCATGTATCAATCTGTGGCCCTGACAACATCCTCAAAACATCTCTGAATATTGCGGTTAAAACATCATCTTAGTTAACATGTAACCTTACAGGAACATGATTTTAAATGATAAACATCTTTAAAATGTTTTTTAAACGTTAGTTTAAAAGGTTTTCTTCAAACATTATTAGAACTTGTAGGTAATGTTAGCCAGTTATGTGAACGCCCACTGCTAGCTGGGGTGTTATCTGTAGAGGATGTATTAACTTATTTTCACTCAGAAAATCAACAAGACATAATTTGGCCAAAAGGGTGTTCAAACTTGTGCATACAGCTGTACATGAAGGTGTAAAGCAGCATAGTGCCCTTATTTTTTGGGATCTACCACAATGCACCATCAGCAACACTTCATATAAAAACTCAGAAGACATGTAGGTTCACTGGTGGTTTTGGAAGGTAAATAAAATGTCATTCAGAGTGGTTTGATGGGAAATCCTGAGTCAGAAACCTGCTGAGTCAGAATTATTCATAGTGTTGGTAATAGGAACCAAACATTTCAAGCATTTAATGACTCTAAAAGTTATTCACAAAGTTTTTACATCAGAAAAATGCATAAGATCTTCAACCAGTTATTCTCCAGGGTATATTTTGTTTTTTTCCATCTGAATTTACATGCACAAATTCTAAGGCAAATTATTCCCCTAAAATGAGCAGAAAATGTGTTTCATGATCATAAACATAATGTCATATGCTTACAATTTACTGCTGAAAGCCAAAAATCTTAGGTGCTCTTTGTATTTTTTTATAAAAATATTTTTTAACAGAGCAGATCACTGAAGAGACACCATCTGAGATCCAGTTTATAGCTCAGATTTGTGGGGGGTCAACTTTCAGTAGAAAAAAAAATTGTGAGTTCAGCTTCATTTTTTTTTTTTAATTTCAAGTTTTAAAATTACATTTCTCATCTACTGGACTGGAAAGAAGACAGTTACAGCTCTCATATGACACCCACCTTTTGAATAAAACTTATGAAATATGAAAGTTATGAAGAAAAGAATACAACGAAGTGCGTTTTGGAACCACCGGTGGTTCCAAGGAGTTAAAGAGGTTAAAGGCTTAAAATACATAGTAATTTCAAAAGAAATGTTTATTTTTATTTATTTGTTTTTGTTTTTTTGGTGTCAATTCATAGCAGATACAAAGTGTGGCTCACGCTATAGGCTTTGTGGTCGTAACACAACAATAACAACAATAGTGATAATGATAATCATTATATACATGACAGAAATATGCCCACTGTGCCAAATTTACAAACAAATTTTATTGTAACAAAGAAACTTAATTTTACCTCATTATCTATTCAGTTTCAGAAGCAACTGTGCAGATCATGTAAGGATGTTATATTTTGTAGTGTTGTGCTTGAATCGTACTCCAAATTATATTTTACAAGTTCAATTTTACACATTTCACTAGTAAGAATACATTTAAGATGCGTAGGAAGATAAACAATCAAACAGTTCATTCAATACAAAGGAATTAGAGGTTCTTTTGTTTAAAAAAATAAACATAAAACGTTCTGTTTTGGTCGGCTGAATAATGTCATGTGCAAAATGTTAGGAGGATGTACTGGGAAATTTATGAATGTTACACACAACTCCGCTACATATATAGGCTGAAGTAGTAGCTAATTACAGACCCCAAAAATGAGAACTGTTAGATATTCACCCGTTCCATTTCAAACAAGAATTTTATATGTGGATTTAAAGAATGTTTGGTATTATTGAGATTTGCCTTTGGTTGCATTAGTATTTAAAGATTTTAAGATTTCTTTTAATTATTTTAAATTATTCCTTTGTTCTTACATTTAAAAAACTACTTTGTAAATGCTTACACAACTTAGTTTTATTGTAAAGCTGCTACATGAGTGCAGTAAAATCCAATAAAATGTTTAGTATGTATGTTTTATATGTCCGAAAGTGCAAATCCATTGCCAAAAACAGAAAGCATTGATTTGTAAACTGTCTTTTGCAGCTATTTACAGCACAAAGAAGACATATTTTAAAGTGTACCTTAACAGCTATATTGATTTTTGTAAATATAAGCTGCTTCCAAATTTGATTCCTGCAACACATTCCAAAAAACCTGGTACGGGGTAAAAAATGACTGGGACGTTTGTGGTATGATCAAAAAACACCTGTTTTGGAACTTTCCACAGGTAAACAGGTGAATAGGTAACAGGTGATGCTATCATGTTTGGGTATAAAGGGAGCATTAACAAAAGGCTCAGTTGCCACTTTATGGTTATGTGGTCATATTTATTACAAACGCATGCCGTTTTTTAATGCAGCGCTGTCTGAGAGATAGAAGATCATAAGCATTCAATTTTGGGTATAACAATTGGGAAAGCCCTGGTCAGTAAACACAGTTCATGGTTGCATCTACAAATGCAAGTTAAGCCTCTACTGTGCAGAGTGTAAGCCATAAGTTTTCATCAACAACATCCAGAAACACCGCCGACTTCTCTGGGCTAAAGTTTATCTGAGATAGATTGATCATCAGTGGAAATGTGGGCTGTGGTTTGACGAATCCACCTTTGAAACTGCCTTTGGAAGAAATGGATGTTGTGTTCTCTGGGCCAAAAAGGAAAAGGACATCCCAATTGTTACCAAAGTTACCAAGTTCAAAAGCAAGCGTCTGACATGGTATAGTGCCAATGGCATAAGTAACTTGCACATCTTTAAAGCTGAGGGATACACAGGCAGCATGTGCTGCCGTCTAGACAACATCTTTTTCTGCTTGTTTCTGTAAGACAATGCTAAGCCACATTCTGCACATTTTACAACAGCATTTACAACATGCAAAGAGTGCAGGCGCTAGACTGGCCTGCCTGCAGACCAGATCTGTCTTCCCTTGAAAACATGTGGCACATTATAGAGCACAATATATGACAACGGTTACCCCAGACCATTGGGCGGCTGAAGTTTTATAACAACCAAAAATGGGGAAAAATTCTACTTCCACAACTACAACAATAGGAGTCATCAGGTCCCAAATGGTTACTGAATGTTGTTAAAAGGAAATGTGATGTTACACAACAGTAAACCTGCTCCTTTCCCAACTTCTTTGGAAAGTGTTGCAGGCATCAAATTGGTTGAAACACTAAATATCTTGTCTTTGTACTGTTTTCAATTGAATACACTTCAAATCATTGCTTTCTGTTTTTTTTTTTGCATTTTTCCTACTGTGCCAACTTTGTTAGCTGGGGTTTAACTAGATTGGTATTAAAAAATTCTTAAGCTAAAAAAAATTTGAGAGGAAAAAAAAGTGGAATAATTTGTCTTGTTTCCCTTTTTTAGTGAGAAAACAGATTAAATGAAAATAAAAAACTGTGCTATCTTCTGTAAAAGGAGACTCATAACAACAAAAAACAAACTATTTCTTTAAGTAGCCATTGGTAAAATAAAATTACATACGAAACATATGTGCCAGGTCAGGACAAGTCCCATTGCAATCAGTTATTGTTATTATTTTGGCATGAAAAAGCCTTAAAAGAAGTAAAAGAGCAACACTATCCTTCATTGATTTAATAAAGTTATCTCTGTGTCTGGTTATTGACCTTGTAAATCAACTGAGTTTCGTGATAAAGTCTATGACCGTTTCCGCCTGCCTTCCAAGTTCCGGAAGTTGACTGGTCGAATCTTCATCTCTGCGAATGGAATTGAATGCTCATGGCCTTTCCAGTGGAACCAGTTTATGCCCTGTACAAACGAACACAAAGTACATATTCATAAAAACAAATTGAGCCAGATATCAGACGTCTTTTATAAACAATAATAATATATAATCCATACAGATTCCCACCTTGCTGTGGCTGTTATCTCCATATCGTCCCATAAGGTTAACACGATGGCAGTTTTTGTACCAGAAAGCACCTTTATAGGACAGTGCGCAGTTTGTCACAGCAATGTCATTGTCGTTATCATAGGTGGAGAAGGGTCTGTTCTGATGATAGGTCATAGAGTCACCTTGGGATGGGATGAAAATGGAAAAGAAAATTTAAAAGAATGTGCTTTAAGAGAATCCCAAGAGAACCAACCAGTTTTATTTTCTTAACATGATAATTAGTTTGAAGTTTGTATTGTTTACATGCCATATAGTTTCAATTCAATTAAAATAATTATATTCCAGTATATAAGACAGCAGACTTGGACAAACGTAAGAACTATCTAAAGCAGAGTTCAATTTTACCCATAAAGGCTCTGTGGGGTTGCAGACAACTGATCACGTGTGCTCCTACTTTGATGGCCCTTTGTGGATAACATTGAACACTGCTGATCTAAAGTTTTTGACCTGAAAGTTACACTATGTAAGATTTGGGGATTTGGAGACCTCTCTGGTGGAAATGTGTAATTGCATGTAACATGTGGAAGAACATTTTGTAATGTCAGTTGTGCTTTGGACACCTACCCCCAGCAGATGCATCTGATATTTGTGAGTGCATTGAAAGAGTATTCAAGATAACTCAGTCAATCTTGGTGAAGGACATTCAAGTCTATAAAGGGGGACTTGCAGCAGTGCACCGACACCATATATTGTTGCATTGTCTCAGTAAGGCTACTTCAAAAACTTTAACAAAAAATCTTACATAGTGCAGTTTCATTTTTAGAGTGGCATCTCAGAGCTTAGCAGATTCAAGCAAGTTTTGCTCTGGGTCACTAATGTACCTGCAACTAGAGCCATAGACATTTAAAAGAAAAGTTTGATAGTAGGCAGATGGCTAAAGGCATCAAGTGGGTAGTAAATAGTTCTGTTTACACGTAGGCCAAAAAAGGTTCTTGGCATGGTGCCATAGTACAACCACTTTGAAATCATTCACCAACCGTTCTTAAGAAGACACCTCTTCTTTAAACACACGCAGTTTTCATGAAGATTCTGAAATTCACCAATCTATTCTTATTTGGGCTTTGTTCTTAGGTAAGAACAGAATCTATGCACACTCAAGAGCACAAAGGTGTGAACAGTTCTGTGCTTTAAGAACACGTCATAAATCTGACGTAGACTTCTTCTTAGGGCATTTCTTAAGAACACATTAAAGAAAAAACTTAGGAAGATATTGGTGAATGAGGCCCATTGTGCTTATACTTTACCATACACTGCCGAACAGAAGTTTGGAATCACTGTTCAAATGTTTGAAATCACCATTTTCAATGATATAAAACCAATGTGGTTCTAAATACTTGTATTAAATTCAAAACCGGTGACCAAATCTTTAGGCAAACATTCAATGTAAATAGATAATTAAACTATATTAGTTATCATTTAATTACTGTAAAACAACCTCTTGTTGTTCCCAAAATGCTTGAAATATAAAAAAACCTTCTAAAATACCATGGTATTTTTGTGTTTTTTCAGTTTTATTATTCTATTTATATTTACAATCTACACAAGTAATTGTTTTATATAAAATAAAAATGATTGGTCCCATTTCATTTAGATAGCTCCTACATATGATCTATAGATGTTCAAATTATTAACAACTCTCTAGTTGTATATAGTTAATTCCCAATAGCGTTTGGGTTGGGTTTAGGATTAGTTACCAGGTTTAGGTTAAGAGAGAGGGTTAGGCTTAGGTTTTGGGTTGAGGTTAAGGTTAGGGTTGAAGTTTGGGTCTGGGCTAGGAATAGAGAAAATTAAGATGAATTAAATGGACATTTAGTTGAATAAAAGTTAAATGCAAGACAAGCATCTACAAAGTATCTAGAGTGGTCTATCCATATAAAGTGATACCAAATTATTAACATGACAAATGATTGAACACTTTTGCATAGTATTGCGGTATGCAGAAGGTAACATTACACTCCTACTCAAACTTTTGCTACTACCCCAGTCATTATTTCAATGAGGTAACAATACTTGTATTTACAAACACATACAAACAGTAACTATTTAAAGATTAGTACCAAAAATGTGTTGAGTGAGGAACGAAATGCAGTTCTGCTGAAACACAGTCCTACCTTTAACATAAAACAGTAGCAGAAAAGTGGACAGATTACAACAGTACAAAATGATTTAGCAATACTGAACAGAAGCACTGTTCCTACCTGCAGTGCCACTGTAGGCACCAATCTGGACCTTGTATCGGCTGCGGGGTTCCGCAACAAAGAATCTGTCATATTGTGCATAAGCTGACTCCTGGCCGTCTCTCAGTTCCACTCGGAGCTCATACTGGCCTGATGCTGTGATTTTGTGGAGGTTGTTGAGTCCTGGCAGGAGGGAGCAGAGAAAGAAAAAATAACACAGTGACTCTCAACATCTTTCTGAAGGGGCAACTTACAGGACTCTGAACAAATATATCTAAACAGTGGGGCAGTGAATAACCACATTCTGTGTGTATGAATGCACTGATTAACCAGTGCATTTCCTGAAGAAACTGCAAAGTGATTCTCTAGCTTAGTATATTCCCAGTATTGCTAGTACTGTCACTAAATGGTTCTTATGGTGTTCTAAGAGCTTGTCAGGAGATTGCTCAGCAGGATGTGTAGTTTTCTGGGTGTTTGCAAAGGTGTTTCTAGTTGGTTTCTGTTTTATTCTGGTATTTTGGGAGGTTGCTTAGTTTTTGCTAAGTGGTTAGTATGGGGTTGCAGGTGGTTGCTAAGGTGTTGGTCGTTGGTTGCTGTGGTATCTCAGGCAGTTGTTGATAGAGTGTTCCAGGTGTTTGCTATGGTTTTGCTCGACAGTTGCTACAGTATTCAAGGTAGTTGAAGCATCCTGGGTGTTTCTGGCATACTATAGGTATATTACATATATATATATATAATATATAGGTGGATATATATAATATATATAATATATATAATATATATATAATATATATATGAGCTGTAAATTTGAATTAAATGACTGGGAAGTTGTAATAAATGTCTACATTAAATGCGACATATGCACTGAACCCATTCTTCTACAAACATCAAAATATATCAGTATTGTGGTCCCTATTTATCACATGCTGTTTACATTGTGCAGCCTGAGTTTGTATAGATTCAATGTAAGTTCATTTGAAAAGGATGCTCTTCCATAATTATGTTCAGATGCAAGAAAATTACCCACCTAGCCAGAACTCATCATTAACATCACCAAATCCACTGGTGTAATTCTTCCAGTTCCTGTAGAAGTCAACATTTCCATTCTGACGCCTCAGGAACACCTACAAGATATAAAGGCCACCCCAACAAGTATGGGAATCAACTTTTATCAAAGTACAGCTAATTTTCACTGCTTATTTGAATGAAATTAAAGCTTTAAAGCGTCATGCTCATATTACTGACCCTTTGAGAACTGTATGAACACCTTTTGCTTTAGAATCAGATAGTCATCCACTATTGTCGTGACACTACTCACCACCCAGCCACCTCCATCAGTGGTCATGTCACAGTAGACCTGCACTGGCAGCTTCTCATCTCCACCAGGATAGATGGTGTATAGACCTGAGGTGATCTCTCCATTCAGAAGTGTCTGTGAGCAGTCCTTTGGATTCTTGTAGAGCACTCCAACTATGCACACAATTTGGGAGAAACAGGAAGGAAAAATAATTGAAAAGATAAAAATGTATGATAATAAAGTGCCATGCTAACATATCTAAGGCCTGTCCAGTCGATCAAAGAATTAATTAAATTAATTTAAAATGATTCTGTTTCTAAAATGTATCTTACATAGTCAGTTTAACTGACTGACCTGAGCTGAAATATTAACTGGCTATATATACACACACAATGCTAAGAATAATATTTCACTTTAAAAGGCCACAACGAGTTAACTGCCTTTGATTATGCTTTCAATCATTTTTGCAAAGTATTTGCTTTATGTAGCATTTCTATATTTCAGCCAAAATCTTAGAATGATTAATTTCTGCATACAATATTTGTAGCTACACTTGGAGCTCAAAATAGCTTAAAATCAATTTTGTAGATTTTTCGACCCCATTTTTCTCAAGGGGGATTAATCTTATTTCCTTCACGCTTTTTTTTTTTTACGCTAAATAAGAACAGTCATGTTTCATTACTTTATAAAAAATACAGTTGTGCTATGACTCCTTTAAGACTGACAATTTTTTAAACAAAGTATTTGACACAGAAGCATAATGTGAAGGGTGAAATCAATGTAACAAAGCTGTCAATCTATTATGGCCCCACAGACATAATCTCAGCTAGAATAAACTGTGGTTTGTAGCCACTTTACAGCTGCCTCACATTTTGTCAGAAGCTTGTATGATCAAACTGGTAAACAACAACTATTCACTTTTTACAACAACCAAACTTTCATAGATTTTTTAGTTTTCTGGACAGCATTGTACCTCCTTCCTAAACAAATATAGGTCTCCATAAAAGTATCAAAACAGTGCATATGTGAGAGAATCCAAATTAACTCACCAGTGGTGAAATCAGTGCTGACTTTCTGGCTCTGGTGCTGGCTTCTGTCTGGCTCAACAAAAGCCTGTAGTCTGACAGAGTACGCAGTGGAGCCAATGAGCTTGGGCAGCCTGTGTGAAGTCACTGAAGGGTCCAGAATCTCTTCCTGATTGAACAGACAACAATTAGTGATTCACCAAGCTTGGCTTAAACAGGTTCTATGGTCTTTTGCTATTATACATTCAGAACTACTTGTGTGTAAACTGGTTCTTCTTATGTTCAACAGTACTAGTACTATCTATGACTGGTAAGAAAAATGAAATACAAGTGAGCAGAAGCTCATGTACTGCCCTCTGGAGATCAGGTTTAACCCTTTTACAGACAAAAGATGCAAACCTAGTGAAATGCTAAGAATGGCATTGCAAATGTGCCATGATGACTAACGATTAAAACATGACTCAACATGCAGCAAATGGATTGTGTCATATATTTACCTTTTCTGGTCCAAGTAGGAAGGATCTGCATGATTAACTGACACGATAGACTGCAAAAAGGCACTCACCTTGATAGTGCCATCAGGTGACTCAATGGTCAGCACATAGCCTTTGATGGGTGCCCTAGGTGGCTTCCAGGTGAGAACAGCACTATCAGTCTGAATATTACTGGCCACCAGATCCCGGGGAGGATCCACATCTTCAGAAAACAAATATTACAGTCAGAGTCAATGTTTAAGGAATTGTTATTCCATGCTTTATATCCAGCATCGTACTTGTTTATATGGCAAACAACATTTTTAGCAGTCACACCATACTTTTACATTATGCAGTTCTGAATATTTGCAGGATTTGTTCTCATACTGGCCTAGATCAGTGGTTCTTAATCCCAATGCTCTGAAGACTTTTGGTTTTGCTCATCTAGCTCACATGATTTAACTCTTTATCTAAACAGCAAACCCTAATGTGCTGGGTTGTTGAAATTAGTGAAAAAACAAAAATGTAGAGTCATGTCTAGATCAATTTTAGAGGGTGGGCCCTAAAGAGGCACAGAATCTGATGTGGGAAATAGACTGTCAGAAACATTCTCCATGTACATTTTAGTCCCCCAAGGTACAAACAATGTAATGTACCCTTATATAAAATGAACCTTAAGATCCAATTGTAGACCTTGTAGTTTTAAAGATACACTATGACTATTCCAACATTTCTGCCTGTTGATTTAGCACTGTCCAGCATAGTCTGCCAAAGGTATTGCTGTAAATGCCATTTAAAACCGTGAATACAGTTGTGGGTTCTATCAAAGCAACAAATCACATATAAGCAGTTGGGCTTCAGCCTGCACTACTACGGATGATGTGAAGGGTCAAACTACTCTTCTTTTCCAACCAGTGTCTTTGTTGGCGCTACTTGTTCTCTTTGCAGTTCATCTATGGCAGGGGTGCCCAAGCCTGGCCCTGGAAAACTACCACCCTGCAGAGTTTAGCTCCAACCCTAATCTATTACACCTGATCCAGGTAATGAGAGCCTTCAGGACCATCTGACTATTAGAGTCAGGTTTGTTGAATCAGAAATCAGAGTGGCAAACGTCCAGAATCAGGATTTGGCACCCCTGATCTATGGTGTTCTGATAGTGATCACACGATTCACTCTTGCTGGAGTCACAGGAGTGACACTTTTCTGTTTAAGTTCCTACACAGCTATCAGTGTATTAATGTAAACTGCAAAGTATCTGTAAATACACAAAAGTAAAGCATGGCATCACACAAGGCTCTGTTTTAAGACCGCTACTATTTTTGTAACATATGTTGCCACTGGGTGCAGTTGTCTGTAAACATGGCATCGGCTTCCACTGCTCTGCAGATAACACCCAACTGTATGCCACACTAGATAAACATCAATGTAAGAAGATTGTGAATTGTGTGAAAGCACAGGTTCCCAACCCTGGTCCTGAAGTACACTCTGTTCTGCACATTTTGATTTGCTACTTAAGCACATCCACTTAAACTGTAAAGCAGCTGGTGAATTAGCTGATTAGTTGGTTATGTCTGGTGGAAGTAGAGAAAGAGACCAAAAACACTCTCAGTTTTTAAGTTTATTCTGAAAATCTACCTGCTTAGCCATACTTTATTTAAGGCTCTAGTTCCTTTATTTGCACAGCAGGTGCAGATCTGGGGGTTCATCAAGCTCATAATTCTTTAATGAAAAGATTAATTAAATTATTATTACTAATACTGTGTATCAGTTTGGTGCAACTTTTAATGGAATTATTATTAAAAATAATTTTTACTATCTTCTATACTGGTAATAATTCACATAAGATCTCCTGTTCCAGAAACTTTGTGGGAAGGAAGCTATAATCTGCTAGGACAAGTATGGACTTGGCTTACCTGTGGTAAAATCAACAGTAGCAGGAGCACTCTTATGGCCGTCTTTCACGGCATGTACAGTAGCAGTGTATTGAGTGGCTGGTTCCAGATTATTCATCTCAAATTCTACAGTGTTGCCAGATACCTGTTCTGTCACTGGTGCCACTGCAAAGAAAATGGATTTTCTTTACAATAACTATACAAAATGTGTCCACAGGCAAAATATGTGATGTGTGATTCATAAAACAGAAATGCATATGACACTGAGAAGAGTATTAGTGCATACATAAATCAAGAAAGACAAATTTCCAACCTGTGTCTGCACTGTATGTGATGACATATCCATCAACAGTGGCTACAGCAGGTTGCCACAGCAGCAGTGCTTCTGTATCAGTGACATTGGCGGCAGTGAGACTCCGTGGCATGTCTACAGCTGCAAGTGCAGAAAACAAAATCAAGAAAAGATCTTTGGTTTCTGCACTGTTGATTCCCAACAGTTTTTGCTTGGTTTATATTGTGTTGATTCCTTAAACATGTTAACAGATTTGAACTACATACAGATTTGTTAACCCTTTAAGATGCCACCCTTATTACATAATAAGGCTTATTATTCAGTAACTACTGTAGAAACTGCTATGGGGACTTCAGTACAAACTGGCTGAGCTATTCTTAGGTTATACAAGTGTGTAATAAAACTTTTGGCCCTGGCCATTTAAGAGGTTAAGCCCAGACTGTTAAATCAGCATGTTACAACACAAAAAATTCCTCCTCCCCCTGGTACTACAATAATATATTTTCAATTCCAAAAAAGTTGGGACAACTTGGAATGCAATTAAAACAGAATGCAGTGATTTGTACATCCTCAATGGTTTTTATAAACATATCCTCTTTCAGAAATTAACGCTTGCAACATGCTCGGGACAGGGGCAGTTCAAGACTAGGAATTTTGTGAGATGTTCAAAAATCTTAAAAAGGTGATTCAATCATGCTTGAGTGTAAAAGGAGCATCCAGGAAAGACCTTGCCCCATTAGCATTCTCCTTCAAGCACATTAAGCTGTCCAATGACATGAGTAGTTGGAAAAGATGCAGTGGCGGTTCAGTGTCTTGAAGGAAGGAAGCCCTCACCCTGCCAGCTTGGTAGCATCACATAAAAGGGGGAGACCTAGTTAGCAGGTGGTACTGACCTTGACTAAAGTGGGAATAATATTGGGTATTCCAAAAATTGTATTGGATGATGTTCTCAGTTATGAAAATTCCCAGCCATCGGTCAGTGTTTCTATACATTACAGTCAGCCACAGGACCTACCTGCAGTGACAATGCCAGTTATTGGATCGCTCTCCTCCAGACCCTTCATTGCAATGGCTGTTACTTGATATGATTCACCAGGTGTCAGGTTGGTCAGAGGCGTCTGAGACTGTGAACCGTCCACTTCAGTCACTCTTGCAGGGCCACCTTTGGCAAAACATTGCAGAGAAATGTTAACTTAGTTAACTTCTTCATTAATTTCTTTATTAACTAAGTTGAAGTGAATATGTTAAAATGCTGTGGTACAAAGAGAAGTTAGATGTAATTTCTTCGTGACTACTTAACGACAGAACAATAGCTGCTGGTATGCACTGTTACGCAGTTAAGTACAATATATTTTAGTACTTCTTCTCTGTCAGTTTTTGCATCAAAATCATATCAAGATATCTTGTTTTTCTTTTGAGACAAAGACAAAAGTCAAACTTAAACCTCTGTGCAACACTTAACTGCCAAGTGTTCAATGCCATCCAATCAGACTTGGAAACATGCTTCTCAAACTACTGAACACTCCAATATAACTAACCAACTTGATTCTAATTAACAAGCAACATCAAACTACAGACACTGTTAGCAAGCCAGCTAGGTGAGAATTTATACTTTTCAATACATTTAACAGCAGCCAGTTTGCTGTCAAGTTTAGTAAAAACCCCCTTTTACAGGAGACACACCAAATGTATAGCCAAATGTTTGAATTAGCTTCATCAGTTGTGAAAGCATCTGTCAATGCAAACTCAGCTATGTGACAGAATTACTTCAGATTTAACAGGAGAAATAATGTTTGAATAATCTAGGCTACATGTTGGTATAATGAAATTAAAAAAAATCTATTTACCAAGTTAAAATAGCATGAAACAAAAGAAAGGAACCCATAAATACTTTTGGGTATGTGACACTGTTTAGAGGTTATTTTTTAGTGTGGTTTATCACATGCACTAGTTAAACAGATTTCATAAAGTGATCAAGTTACAGTACCAGAGCTCAGCTCTGTTTGAGCTCTGGCCCAATTTAACCCCTGCTGTTACCACTTTATGTGTTACCTCCATAACAGTGCATGACTGTATTGTGCTCAAAGACACAAACACACACAAAGAAGTAAATAGATATGAACATATGCTTTATAATAGGATTTACAACAGGCGGGTGAGCTTTTACCTCCCTGGAGTGGCACGTAAGTGATGCGGTAGGTGTCAATCGTATCATGAGGGACATTCCAGTGGACAACGGCAGAGGTGTCCGTAATGTCAGAGAAGTGAATGGACCGCGGAGCTCCAAGGCCTAGTATAAACATATGGAATGTAGGTATTTTATTTAAGAATAATGAGAGCTTAGGTAACGCCACACTGGTTCAGTGCATCTGGATTTGGAAAATAAGATAAGAGAAGTAGGATGACAAAAACATTCCCGGAAAAAAAAGTTTCTGGTTATCAGGCTGAGAACAAAACCTAGAGGGAGCAATCTTTGGAGACAAAAGGACACTTTTTCATAACAGATACGATCAGATGAAAGTCATTTCACAACATTCAGCAAATCAACCGGCATGACAAGTAAGTCTGGCTGAAAGGAAATTTGCATATGATAGACAGATGTACAGTTGTGTGCAAAAGTTTGAACATCCCAAGTCAAATCGCATGTTTTGTTGATTTTCTAAGTTAAAACAGATCAAACAGAACAAACATCTACCGTTTTATGTACCCCCCCCATATGTTCAATTCAGCAAATAAGCAGAAACTTTGCAGTAAAATGTGTTCTCTGCAGAGCATGTGTCCTTATGCTTCACTCAGAACAGCAACAAAACGTCATTTGACAAGGGGTGCCAACACTTTAGCACACAACAGTATGAAAAATCATTAGTTTGCATGCTGAGGAACAAAAAATGCTTAGTTAAAAGTTTCCTTTTAGAATCATAACCATGGTTTAGTAGTCAAAGGTATACAAGGAACTTGTTCCTGTTTAAATCAACATTCATTCATTACAAACACTTTCTTAGTGATGCATAATCACATGCAAAGTTCAAACCCAGAATGAAATGCATCTTCAAGTCATCAGTGTGAGTAGCAAACTGACACATCTGTAACATGTTTTAGGACAAAACTAAATCATATTTCCACAGAGCATAACCGTCTGTTCAGGCCCAGAAACAATGCAGGTTAAAAGTGGAGAGACTGTAGAGATGCACAACATTTCATTGGCCAATACATTATTGACAGATAAATGGGAAATTTCATTTATCACCAATATTGAAATTACAGCTGATAATTACAACCGATAATTTAACACCTCTTCTTTCACACATATGCTGAGCATTTTCAGGTTTGATTCAATCGAATGGATAAGAAGAGTAATGTAGAGCCTCACACATGGAAGGCTGGAGAGGTTCGATTCCCTGTTCAGGCAGGAACACAACTGCTACACCAATAAGAGAACTATCATACGTTTAGGGGCAGATTTACTACTGTTGTAACTGCTATTTCCTAATACCTTTGTATATTTTGCAACTCCATCAGAGTGGTTTGATATGAAGTGCACCATTCTAGAAAAACTTGCCAACTGTTCATAAGTGGTAGTGAATGATTTTACATCTGAACAAGTGATTGATACGACAAGATTTGAGGATTTGATAGTTTTCTTTTTCGAATGATTGAAGTTCAAAATCATACAGTTCCCAAACAACTAGGATGCACACAGTAAAATTAAACAGGGAATTTACAATATTACATGGTTCCCTGATGCACTAGGCACAAATCTCATGTTCAGTTTATCCTTTAAATGAAAAATGAACGAGTTTTGAAAAAAAAGGTTAAAATGATCACTTATTTTCTCTAATTTCTGACGAAATATGTTGAAATAGCTTATTATATATAATGTATATATGTATATTATATATGTATTATATATAATGACTTATGTAGAGATAATCACCTTCATTCAAATTAGTCATCATTTTGAGTTACTAAGAAAATACATCATTATTTCGATCAAATCACAATTTGACCTAAAACCAGAGAAGAATAAAAAAAATGTTTCTTTCTCCTACCTGGCTGAACTGTGCTTTCAAAAAATTTTAGCCAAACATATATTGCTGGTCATATGTTAATTACAAAACTGCAGCTGTAGGAATTTGCGTAGAAGTTCTTAGAAGACCAGCTACATTGGCCACACCCACCAGCACAAAGTGTTGGTAGACTGTCACAAATAAGAGCTTCTTTTAGTAAATCTGCCCCCAAACTGTCTTACGCATATAGCACATACATGGCTTTTGATGGGAACTATCTGTGGGATAATGGGTGGTAACAATAGGAAATGATCAGTTATCAGTATCAGCCATAACATGGTGTCCATTATCGGTTACTGTATCGGCCCAGAAATTCCATATCGTTGCATCACTAACACATTGTAGTTTTAAAATGGACTAGAAGAGTAGGATGTAAAATGGTACCTGTTCTGGCAACAGCTGTTATGGGCTGGGAGCGACGTTCCAAAGTGACACCATATAACTCAATTTCATACTCAGTCCCCCCAGTAAGTGCTGTCAAAACTTTGGTTCTTTCATCCCCAGGGACACTGAACTCTTGTGGGTAGGTAAGCTTTTTGGAATCCCTGACTTTAATCACAAATCGATCAAAGATGTCGTCTGCTGTCCAAGAAAGGCGGAAGCTCTCCGGAGTGATATCCGACACAAAAAGGTGCTCGATCTCAGGCTCAGCCTCTGGTTTGACAAGGGAAAACGTATCTTTTTTTTTTCTTTCCTTTCTTTCAATGTGCAAGGACACAATCAGCAGCCTGAAGACTTGTTTTAATTCACATCCCACAGCCTTTTCCCCCATTTGGCCATGCCTTACAATGCAAGCACTGGAGGTCCCTGTTTTCAGCTCACAGAGGAGCGACTTGGCATTCCTTCATTCGGGCACACATGCAACCACAGTTCATCCACAAATACATGAGATGCAAAGTGCATCAGAATTGGGAAGAATGATGGTTCAGACCATGCCCCTGTGTTAAAATCACAATAGATTAAAAAATGCTAAGTGTTAACATTTACTGATGTCAGGTCAATGTGTATAAAGTTCAAATTTCAAATTGGACACTATGTGTTGCTTAGATATACATATAACTAGCCTGTTAGCAAGTGTTGAAAGTGTAAGTATAGCCTAACAATATTTAATTTGTGTATATGGATGGAGCATAGGCTTGTGTTGTGAAGTGGGGGGGCAAAATTATGTTTCACCTGTAGGGGCGAACTGGCACGCACCCCGATTGTAAATGTACCATGTAATTATTATGTAACTTTAACATTTAAACATAACATTTAATTTGATCACATTTGAAGCAGATTGAATGTAATAACTCTTGGCTTTCAAGAGTCAAGACCTTCATACTCAGTTTATATAAGTAGGACAGTGGTGCAATGAATATCTAAACAGTTGCACTGGAACCTCCAGGACTAGAGCTGTAAAACAATGGCGTACACACTTCTTTTTTAGATCCTGACATCAATAAAGATGTAAACCTGCAAGCTTCTTTGACTATGTTTACCTGTTTTCTAGAATCTCATGTTTAGTATTCACTGCAATCCGGGGTCTAAATGGGAAGAGTTTAGCAATTCTTCAGTGTCAGAGTTTTAGTTTACTATGTCAGTGAAGAAACTTCAATATTAAAGTTGCTAGTGCTTGACGAAATGTGAGTTGAGAGTTTTACTAGAAAACAGTTTAAATATGGCAACAGTTTTGATTGCACATATTTTTAAATAGAACATATTCATTCATAGTGCACAGAAGAGAAAGAAATAGATTTGAGAAAGGAAGAGACTTAGTACATTTTATAGAGGTGTTTGGTATTTGTGTTGTGGTGTGACTTCCCAACCAAAGGTTACATTAAGTGTCTCTGAAATTAAGCCAGTTTTGCTAGCGTCTAAATGAATGAGCACATCTAGTTCTTCTCCAGTGCACTCCAGCCAGTGTATACCAGCAATGTCAAACGACAAGTGCAAATGTCATAACTGAATGTGAAATTTCATTTTGAGAAAATAATGGCATTTATGAATGTTCAGATGGAAGAATACATTGCCAAATTACATAGTACAATTTCATTTCAATATTGCCTTCAATATACTTCCATAGAAGAACAACAACTGTGTAACCAATACTCCAAAAGTAATCGTCCTCTTTTTAATAGTACCTTAATGGTATATGGTATCTCTAATACAGGACCCTTGATAGAGAGAGCAATGATGGACATTGGGCCGTTGAATAATAACTGTGGACTCTATTACATTACTTTCAACTATCCAAAATATTGTGTTGATGTTAATCTATAAATAAGCCTTATAATTAACATTCTTAAGTATTGCTATTTTCTTAGCTATGCCATATTTATCACAAAATGTCTTGTATTTGTAGTTGTAATATCTGGCTGACATAACAACTTTAACAGAGCTACAGTGTACACTGGGCTCATATTAATCACTAGAGAAATGACTTCCTTAGCTGACAGGGTGTCCTTTTTTTAGCCCTGTTTTCTCCCCAATTTAGTCGTGTCCAATTCCACCCACTAACCAGGTCTCCCTGTAAGACACAACAATACCAAGCTGGGAGGGTGAAGTATGCGCCTCCCTGATAAACATGAAGCCAATCCTTGCATCTTTCCAAACCATGCTAATGCTAACTTTCGCTAACCAATGCAAACCAATTCTGTTAGATCGCCTAAGATCGTTAGCGTATTGGTTAAAGTTGTGCTGAGTGATGGGAGCGAGGAAGAGGCCAACACAGGTTTAACCGCTCAGGAGCCAATTTGGTTACCACTCTTGACAAAATGCATCTACATAAATTTTGGAATAAATATCACTTTGTGAGTTCTGAAAGTTTCGACTTCATAAGGCCATCAGTGGTCTTTTTAACTGTATACATTACACTGTGTTTCATATACGTGAGTGGGCCTTTTTCCTGTTATTCCAGTGCAGTTATTCAGTAGTGTAGATTAGTATTACATAAGCATTTCCAGCTCAAAAGGCTAAAGTAGTCATTTTGACCATATACATTAGACTGCATTTCGTCTGCTTGGGGTCTTTGTTCCTGCTATTCCAGTATGTCAAACATTTTTTAGCAACAGTTATTCAGCCATCTCTCATTTGCCTCGTAGAACATCTGGAATAATTACAAATTATGATCCACAACAGAATAAAACAATAGCAATAGAACGGAACAAGGCAGACAATACAGAATATTACGTAAAAACCCCAAAATATCTTATAAAATTTTGGTTGGCTGTAAACATGATGCTATATCTTGAAAAAGAAGAGGAACATTCGGTTGTGTTCCGACATTTCTTATGTTATTTCCCAACATAACAAAATTATTTTTTTTTCCAATTATTCTCTATTATGGTATAAATAAGCATTTTAAAAAACAATCAAAATGATGACCTTGGCCAGTCTAATAGTTATGGAATTAACAGACTTTTGAGAGCTCACCAGTCTCTGTATTATTTTTCTGCTTAGATAGGCTTAATATGATAACAAGATGCTAGTAACCTTGTTAGCAAATATTTTTACAGAGTTGCTTAAATGTATTGAATTATCGGGTGGCAGGTGATTTATATAGAGTTTATATAGATTGTTTTGAGTTAGGAAAACATTTTTTCTCCAAATCACGTAAACTGCAATAGCCAATAGAACACTCTGCTCTCTCAATCAAAGGACCAGCTGTAACTCATCTAGAACTGTTCCATATAGAATAAACCTTTGGGTAGGGAAGTTGCCAGAACAACACAGAAAGCCTCAAAAGAAAAGCATAAAAGTTGGTACCTGTCACAGCCACTGTGGTCACTGGGAGGGACTGCAGCCCAGACCCTGAAACCCCAGTCAAACTGATCTCATAGCCAATGCCAGTAATCAAGCCCCAGATTTCCAACGAGGTCTGGTTGCCTGGCACCTGGAACTCCTGTGGTTCCAGCAGTCGACCAGAATCTGACACCTTTACTTGAAAATGCTTGAAGCCCTCACTAGACCGTGCTGTCCAGGACACCCGGAAACCATATGGAGTAATATCTGAAACTGTGAGGTTTTCCACTTTGGGTAACGGTGCTGGGGTGGTCAGCACAGGTTTCATTTAGGTTCCGAAGTCAGGGTATCAGAATGAGGGGAACAGTAGTGAGATGCAAAGTTGATTCTGCAGTGATTGCAAGAGTCAAAATAGCTTGTCACAGAATTATATCTAAAACCTTAAAACTATCTAATACATGATCTACATTGGTTTTACCGTAGAGAATAAAGTGTGTTGAAATGTAATTATTAAGAACAACTCTTTGATAATATAAATTCTATACCTTCATTCATGGGATATCAACAGCACAACACAGACAAGCGTTTAAAAAACGATTTAAGTATTCAGCTATATACTTTAATAGCACATATATGCTATAATGTTTTATGTGCATATGTAAGTACACTGTATGCATTTATATCCCAAAACCTGTGCTTGTGACTTAACTGGAATTGACTGAAATCTAATACTATGGTGCATGTTGATGTATGTTTAAAATGGTACATGCAAATTATAGTTTTAACTTATTTTCTGAGCTCATGTTGGATGTTTACGAGATTTTATAAAAGGCTATCAGTCTTATTAAATGAGATAGTTTGACCAACTGAAGAATAGAGGCTTTTGATCCAGTAATCCTGATTTATATGATATATGAGACCTCACCACCAACTAAGCACTTACACTGCTGGTGGAAAAAGTCAGTGAATCTTTGGATTTAATAACTGGTCGAACTTCCTTTGACAGCAACAATCTAGGGCAGTGTTTCTCAAGCCTGGTCCAGGAGGCACACTGCCCACACATTTCAGTGTTTTCACTGCTCCCAACCCACCTGATCCAACGACTCAGCTCATTAACAGGCCTTTACTGAATTGAAGTGGGTGAGTCAAAGCAAGAAAAGCACTAAACTGTGTAGAGCAATGTGCATCCAGTATAAACTTCCAGGGAGAGTAGGCACAGTACTGAATGATCTCCGTACTTAAACTCTTTGAGATTGCTTTGTAACTCTTTCCAGCATTCTGCAAATCAGATATTGATCCTAAGATTGCTTTTTTGTGAGGCATGGTTCACATCAGCACTCTAACTCTAATTCACACCTCCAATCTCACTTTATTGATTGGACTCCAGGTTTGCTAACTCCTGACTCCAGTTAGCTTTTATTGAAGTCATTAGCCTAGGGGTTCACATACTTTTTCCAACCAACATTGTGAGTGTTTGAATGATGTTTTCAGTATGAATAAGAACATTTCTAATTCCAAACAAAGTTCAGGCATTCTTAAGAAGGTTTCAGATTGGTGCATATATGGTAGCCTGCACCTGAGCCCAGATTAACATATGTTCTGTTAACTAGTTAACTTGTTGGAAACATTTTTTTTTATTTATTTTATTAAATGATAATATTTTCAAGGGCACATTATAAGAAAATACTTTTGGAATGTGATCAGAAGGTTATATTAACTACCTCTGCCATGCAGGCCATCTACCTATATTCTATTGTCTATTATTATACTTATTATTATTATACTTATAATTAATTTTGTAATGCTTTTTAACTGCTCATCATTTTGCTACTTCCAGTGTGGAGAAAAAACCAAAATCAAAGAAGTAAAGCTAAAAACTTTACAATCTGTGTTATTACACACTTCTATAACTTAAAGGGCCCATATCCTACAGTTTATTGAATTTCTTTATTGCATTTGTGTGGTGTTATTTTAACAGTGTTTACATACTACATTCAACAAATATTTTTAAAAACTGAGGATCATTCAGTTTTCTGTGAGATTCTTTAAGATTAACTCAGTTTGTATTGTAGTCTGTGTAGTTACTGAATAATAAGCCTTAGATTTTACCAAGCCTGGGACTTTAAGGGGTTAAACTGACATGCACAAGCTAAACAAACTTTCATCTGAAAGTGTGGCTAAAACATTTGACCAAAGGAATCAACATAGCATAAAACAGTACTGACTAAAGTACCATTCGGATGGGATTAGTTTAACATGGAGAGGTGTGGTGATGTAATTATTACAGGAATATTTCTAAGAATTCAGACATATCTAAATTTGTCAAGTCAGTAACTTTTTACAGACTGCGCCATCCTGCATCAGTAAAGACTATGGAATATTTTACTTCCAAAATCAAACCAATACGTACAAGCCTTCATCAGCGGCATGCCACACATTATGACCTATCATATAAGGTTTTTAACCTTATCATGCCATAAACACATCATGGCAGATGTTACATGCAGCTGCCGTCATATTCAAGTTTGATTTGGAAAGGAATTAAATAAACAACATATGTTGTATTCAGAGAGTGTCCCAAGACAAATTTTGACCACAGTATGTCCAGAAGACTTATCCCATCTGAATAGTACTAGAAACTAGTAATAGATTTTGTTAGCACTTGTGAAAGCATAGACGAGCTTGAGAAGTTAGATTGTACCTGTGGTAGTTTGAAGGGAAACTGAAGGGGTCTGGCGACCATGAGAAATGCCATAAAACTGAATATTATAGACCGTAGAATCCACAAGGCCAGGCACAGTTACATTTCGAGTCGCACCCAAAGGCTTCAGCTCAACTATGTCATACAACTGCTCCATGTCACTGACACGAATGACAAAGCCATCAAAGTGCCCTGATACCGTGCTCCAGGATAGGGTGAAGTTATTCGGGTGCGTATCAGATACCACTATGGGACCCAACCTGGGCTTGGGTTCTGAATGAAAGAGAATTTTATTCTTTATTTTAAAGAAGAAGTAATTGTTGTTCAAATTAATGGCCCTTATTCATCAAAGCTGCATAAAAAAACAAGTGCAGATTTGACCACCTTTAATGACAATGAATTTATGAATTTATGAATTCATGTGTCTGACTTATGAACATAGAAGCAGGTTAGCAACAAGTAGAGCAAACTGAATCAGCTTCAGTGTGTGAAATCAAGCACCAGCCTACCAGTACCTAGTTTACACATCATTTACATTAAGCATGCCCTAATTCATGCAGATGTTTCGGTAGGGAGCCAGTAAAACAACAGCATTCAGCAGCACATGAGCTGATGGGTGTGCTCATAGGTGGAGTTTGAGGTCAAGCAGTGAGTGCACTGCTCCCCCCTGCTGACCAAACTTTATAGTGTTAAAATGATGCTAACTAGGAATAACGTGAGTTTGATTGTATAGATACACCAAAGGTGAACCTGATGAATAACAAAACTCTAAGTGAAATTTGCATGCACTCATGATCAGATTGGACCATATGCAATGCTGATGAATAAGGGCCAATATGTATAGGGGAAAGGGGGGTGATTTGAGTCAGTGGGCGCACACTGAGTCACGCTCTGTATCTAAAACCTAAAAATTTGACCTGTAGCTTTAAAACAGGTCTGACTGCATAATTCCATGCATCTTGCATTGCAGGGAAGCACATGGAAATTGACATGAGTGTGTTTTTTGCCTGCAGAATTAACTCATTGGTTTCCTGAATGGAAACAAAAGTAGATACACATTTTTGATGTGAATCATATTATCTAATACATACATAACCTATAAAATAAATCCTAAGTCTGGCATAGCATCAACTCCAAGCTGTAGTGTGAATAGACTGTCAAAATGGAGCTTGTGTGGTATTAGCTTATTTATCACCATGTGCACTGAAGTCTTGTTGCATATGCACATAAGAGCTCAACTGAGCTTCAGATTTTAGTGCACTTGATATAATGATTATGCATTTTAGGGCATGATTTACTATTGTGAACTGACCAGAAATATTGCGTATCTTTTAATGCCAAGGAGAAGGGAGCATAATTTTTTTTTATGAAAAGCAAGTATTTCTTTTCATGTCTTCACTTTTACACGTCATTTAAATGGCAAGTCATAGTAAATCAGGCACAAACTACAGCCAGGTGCTCATGGTAAATTTTAGCATGGCAGGAGATTCTGCACACTCTGTGTCCTTAGTAAATCTGGCCCTTAAAAAAGGGGAAAATGAGACAAAAATTTGTTTTTCCTTGCCTTAATCTCACTTTAGTTGTGTGGCACAGCACTGGTTAGGTTACAGAAATGCAATTAGCCTATGCCATATGCATTAGTAGAAAGTACTTAAGCAGATCTCTTTGTTTGCGTTTTGATTTTCATGTTCACTGGTGTACGTTTCTAACTGTCAGTTATGCTGAAACAAATGGATTATTACCCCACCTTGTTTGAGCATGGCTTATTTTACCCTTTATCACACTCAATGTACCCCACACTTGGGGCAATTTGTGCCAGATTACCATGTTTAAAGGTGAACTCCAGTGTCAAATTTCATCTAAATACCAAAATCCACATAATTATTACTACATTTGACTTACTATTACATTTGCAATGTGTACATTTGACAGTTTCTGCTCTCACACAAATTTCCTCTTATACATTAAATCCTTTTGTTCCTCCCAGTATTTTGTGAATGCCACTTAAAATATTCCTCCTGTACCATCATATTTCACTCCATGCTAAAAGCATGTAACTAACCACATTCTGCCCTAACTGTAAGTAGCTAACAGCCTAATATTGATAATAACTAATAAGTCAGACCTTTACCAAAGGAATCAAATGTCCATATTAAGATAGGATTGGCAGCAAAAACTATAAATTTCCATAGCGCTGAAGGAAATTAGCCTTATGTTAATGACTAATCAGATAAATAGTGGATACTTACAAAGTGAATTAAATGATTTCTACGTTAAACATTACAATGTGATTACACAGCTGACAGATCGTTATAATTAAATGACTGAAACAGGAAATAACTGGAATATTTCCTGTATTAGTTACATTTTGTTATATCCATGCTATCGCTAGGATTAGCAGTTGGACTTTCTTTTCCTCAAACTCTGTGCTCTTGCTATAGACCCCAGCTGAAGTTAAACTGGGGGCAGAATTTTGAACTGTATATATAATAACATATTTAAAAAGCAGAAAGTCACTCGTTATTTTTAGGGCCCAGCTCTTCTTCCACTTCTCTTACTGTTTGTGCTTGTGTGTCATTGCCAGCTATTCAGCCCAAGGATGAATATACATTCATACGACAATTCATTTTCATTTTTTAAACCTCTTTATGTGGACACAGTACATTTACAAAGTAGCCCAAACTAAAATGTACCCTGTGACTGTATAAAATTCACTCACAACTGCACTTTCCAACCAGCCTGATTTGTCAGGAATACCACAATCCTGTGTGAAGGGGAAAGAACACATGAGTGAAACATGCGTGGAAAAACGTATGGTATTTAAGGTTGCCGTGGCGACCCTGCAGCTTAAAATCACCACTGTTAAAATCAGTTTCACCATAGCAGCTGTTCTGTGCAGTTATTCTACTTTGACTGAGATTGGTGGGACATTGCCCCTCCCCCTTTTTTTTAGTTATGGGGGGGGGCAACAACCCAATTCCTCTCGTAGTTGACGCCTATTGCTCTTGCTCACACTCGAACATGAACAGCAAATGCTCACGCATGCTGAAGTAAGCGCTGACCTGCTGTTCTACAGTAGGAGAGTCAAAAGAGTTCTATCTCACTCACTATGGTTGGTGTTGCTATTTTCCTTTACTATCCTGATTTACACATCACACTTAAGCCGCACCCTCACGTCAAGATATACGTCATTCAAGTATTTGGCACTGGAGTGCATCTTTAAAAGAAACTCTTCACATTTTGTCAATGTTTAACTACACTTCTTTTAGACCAGTAGTTGACCAGTAGTAGTTACATTTCAATAACAAACATTAGGCTGTACTGTGGATGCAGAACATGAAAACTTGCTCAGATCACCCCCTCCCCTACATATTATCATAACTACACTCTGTAGTTTCATATTTCTGTAGATGTATACTTGGTGAGGTGTATTTTAAACATGCAATGCAGTACCTGTGGTGACCACAGCAGTCAGGGGAGCTGAGTTGCGATTGCCAGAGGAAGCATACAGCTTGATGCGGTACTGTGTGTCTCCTTTTAGCCCACTCAGCACTGTGGAGCGTGCCCCGATGGGCAGAGTACGCCCCATAGCCTGCGAGGGCAAAGCAGACTCTCTCACCTCGACTATAAAGTTATCATACATCTTCTCTCCCATCCGCCAGGAGAGTGACAGTCTGTCTGACGTAACGTTAGAAACAACTAGCCCGGACAAATCTGGCTCTGCCGCTACAGAGGAAAGAAAAGCCAGCAGTGACATTGTTTCAGTTCGACATAACGTTCCTACACTGCTGTCTTCTGTGACAGAGACCCCATCATACTGAATCAGGCTTACTCCACATTGCTTTACTGCTAGCACAGAAACTGATGAAAACTAGAGTGAAAGGAGAAGCATCCGGTTACCTGTGGTTGCGAAAGCACTGATGGTGTGAGTTCTCTTTCCCTTCACAACTCCACTGAGGTAGGCTATATAGTCAGTGCTTGGTCTCAACCCAGTGACATCATAGGAGCTTGTATTGCATGACAGGTTATATTCAGCTGGCTCCCTCCGCCAGCTGGAGTCTATTATCTCCAGAATAAACCCTTCAAAATTCCCTTCAGTGCCATTCCAGGAGAGGGAGAAGCTCTCTGATGTCACATTAGACACATACAGGTTTCCAACCAGTGGTGCACTTGCTAAAGGAAGAAACGTGATAGAATTAACAAGCTGGAAAACTGAAAAAGCATATGTGTTTGGAGGTGTTTGTGTAACTTCACGTGAAAGATCACAATATAGACAGTGGTGGAAAATGTATCCAGTACTTGAGTGGAAGGAAAAGTAAAAAGGTAAAACTTTCTTTTGCAGTCCCTCATAGGGGAGTTGCACCAATTTTCTTTCTAATGTCTGCATAATTCACTTTTGAATGTACTAATTATTAAAAGTGAAAGCATTGTGAGATTCTGAACATTTCTGCTTTTGTATCTTCAGTTTAGGAAATTTCACTAACCATCCACACTCCCAGGTTACAAAGTATCTAACTTAAAAATACCCTGTAGGACATGCCATTTTTTAATTCTGAAAGCTTGTCTGTACAAGAACACAAATGATTAAAAAAAAGTACATAAGTATGGTTAAAAAGTACATGTAATTTCATGCTGTCCACCTCTGGACTAGAATTCTACTTTCTATAGGCATATTGAGATTTGGGTGGACAAAAAAGAAAGGTATCCTGAGAGGAAATAAGAATAGTATGCTATAACATTACATCTGAAATAGTTCCAATAGCATTTTATCACATGCTACTTTAGTTTGCATAGGTAGATAAAAGCAAGGGGGCTAGACATGTTTTATACAGTATACTGGCCTATTTTAAGTGAATGGATTTTAATTTGATAGCCAAGTAGTTTAACTGACCTTTGCAAAGCTCTTCCCCTAAATACTGATTGTCCAATTATAGCCCAGGCAACTGATAAGCTTTCAGAATTTGCCACAACGTTGTGCATTTCTCCAAAACCAAACACATAAGAGAGGAGGATCTGTTCTTGTGGAACACCACATTACTAAGTAATTCATCAACAATCACCTAGAACATGTACATCTGCTCAAATAATGCTAATTCTCTAACTAATGAACTGGACTAGGCCTTTCTTTGTGGTTGTAAACTGATTATATTTAGTATCATAGATTAAATCCACAATGTGAGCACAAATGGGGTGCAGAAAAATTAAACTGCAGCAGATGGGATATGCTGCCAAAATTTGTGAACACTGCAGTTTATCAAGTATATAAACTCACAGTGCAAGTAATACACCGACCAGCCACTCACTGACTAACCATCTCATTTCTACACTTATTGTCCATTTTATCAGCTCCACTTCTAGCTCTACATTTAAAGATTGTAGTCCATTTGTTTCTCTGCATACTTTGTTATCCCCCTTTTACCCTGTTCTTCAATTTAAGGTATTACTTGGGTGGTGGATCATTCTAAACACTGAAGTGACACTGACATGGTGGTGGTGTGTTAGTGTGTGTGCTGGTACTAGTGGATCAGACATAGCAGTGCTGCTCTGTGTCACTGCTGGACTGAGAATAGTCTACCAACCAAAATATCCAGCCAACAGCATCCTGAGACCACTGATGAAGGACTAGAGGATGACCAACGCAAACTGTGCAGCAACAGATGACTGTCTCTGACTACAAGGTGGACCAACAAGGTAGGTGTACCTAATAGAGTGGACAGTGAGTGGACATGGTGTTTAAAAACTTCAGCAGCACTGCTGTGTCTGATCCACTCAGCCGGTCAGTGTATAAGCATGAGATAATTGATAATGGTCAGTGATCTTTAATTTGTTCATTGATTATTGAAGTTAAATGTGTCACCCTTTGTGAAGGAAGGTTTTGGAAATGTAGGAATACAAAATGGTAGATTTGTCAAATATGGGTACAAAAAGGAACAGAAACTATCCTTTTGTCTGACTCATGCAGTACAGATGCACTAACTCATATACAAAAATTAAATGGCTACCAAACACATTTCTGCTCAACACCACAGATCAGTATGTCCATCAACAGGTCAATCGAAGGCAGACAAAGAAATGAAAAACAGGTGAAAGAAGCTTACTGTCCCATATTCAGTGAAATGTGGGTACCTGTGGTTGCTTCAGTGTAGATAGGTCCTAGTATGGAGCCCTGATGCACCCCATACAAAGCAATTGTGTATGAGGTGTTGGGGCTAAGGCCAAACATGCCCAGGCTAAGAGCATCACCGGACACTGACAACTTCTGCCTCTCTGGACCGTCTGAGCTTGCCACCTCAATCACAAAACTCTCAAAGGCAGTGCCCTCCTCAATGCTCCAGGACACATTGAAGCTGTCCCATGACACATCAGATACAGTGACATTCCCAATTTGTGGCTTATTTTTCTCTGATAGACAAAGAGACCAGACTGGAGTTAAGGCTTAGATATAACACAATACTTAACAATGAATTGAATACCAACACTTTCCTGCAGTTAATACACAACATGGAGAACAAGGACGAAACAAGAAAGAAAGAGTGATGGGAACAAGCAGTTTGTGAGTTAGTTTAGAAATGGATGCATTTCTACAGGCGTCTTCACAAGTTTTTACACAGATTGCTATAACTGAATCATTGTTCTGAAATAAAGCCAAAAGTTCTTTCCTAAAACTGCACTTAGTACATTTTCTGCTACTTCCACATTAGGTAGAATTCACATTTTTCCATAGATGTTACTATTTATGTTTATCTAAAATCAGATTCTTGTGCCCAATGAAGCTGAACTAGTAGAAATTCTGAGAGTGTCTATATATAAAAAAACATGGCATTAAATATCTAATGAAGCTCACAAATTGCATGCATAAGGCACCATTAATAAATCAACAAAAGGATCATTGGTCACTTTAGATTGGAATGTTGTAATGGGGTAATATGCTATGGCACATGCCCTTTGTACGTTCCCATATATCTCCTGTCCTTCTCTTTGTTTTGAGCTTATTTACCATGACTACTAAGTACACATCACCATTTAGGGACAACTTAGGGAAAAAGAAAGTTTTAAGTGTCTTTGAATGGAGTATCATAGCAATGTGTTGTTTTGAATGTGCCAAGAACTTCAACCTTGCTGGTTTTTTAGGGATCCGCAGAGTCCCATGATATCTGGAACGTTCCACAATGTAAAAGACATCCAGAAAATGACTCATTGATGAATGGGCCACATGAATTGCACAGATAAACAGACGTTCTAGTGAGCAGAGAGTCAAACTTACACCAACTAACAACTAAGCCAAAAGATCCAAAACAGAATTAACTCTTTGGACTCTAAGGGCATGTTCTGGATTTTTGCATATCTACTTAAATTTGCCTTTAAAGGCATTTGGATATAACATGATACCCTGCTCTGTTATCTTCGGCACTACTTTCCAAAACCACTTCAGTGGTTGTAAACGTTTTGCATGGCATTTCACATGTGCCTCTGATGTCAGCTGAATGAAGGTTTTCCAATGTGAAGGGTCATTCCTTAGTGAGTTCCTGAGTGTTCATTGGTCGGTTTCATACAAAATGTGGACAGACACATGAATCCACCAATTACACGCATTGAGAGGTAGATGACGCAACTCCTCGTGTATCTCATATCTCCAGGTGTGAGTCATGTATGATCTCGCAATACGATGGAAAGAAATTGTGTAGTGAGTTTGTAGACCCCAGAGGGTTAAGAACTTCTTCCATCACTTTGCACCCTGACACAAGAAAGATATAGGAGTCAATGATTCTGCTCCGATTACGCTCAACGATTAGCCTCACTAACTTAACAAAGTCAGTTGAAAGTTTTTCAGATAACAAACAGGCATCCACGTTTGTCATGGGCAAAGAAATAAAAAAACACTGGCTTGTCTGATGACTCCTGGTTCCTGATGATCCACATTGCCCCTTTTGACTTTTGAATGCTGACGTATATCTGAGCATCATTATTACTGAAATCAGAATGAATAGAATGAATACATCTATGAATTTCTTCTTCATCCACAGTTTCACAAGACTGTTGATGAAAGGTTTCATAAACATGACGGTCATTTCAGCTGTGGTGTCAGCATGGACTGCTTTTAACGCCTTTGGGTCTGAATCACAAGGAACTGAGACTGTTATGAGTGTAAGAGAGAGTGCAAGGCAAAATTATCATAAATTATCATAAATTCATGTTTTATACATTTCAGAGGGTGTTCTCACAGCAGAAACAAGTGTGTTGAATGTACAGATTATGGGAGATCAGTCTGAAATACTTTGGGAAGTTTAAAATATACAAATTAGCTTTGTCATTGGTGCCGCTTGGTGGTTAGTTTTGTCATTTTTTGGCATACTACATTCAATGTTCAAGCCTCAAGGCCAGGAAAAATGGATATGCTGGTTTTTATTCCAAAGAAAAAAGGCCTGGAGCTTAAATATAAGCCATGGCATCTGTAAGAAAGCTTAGAAATGTAGTACAAATGTGTTTATGGTGTGTTTATAAGGTCTTCTGTATATTAACTGTTAACTGTTTGGTGATGAAGGTAAATGTTCATTAATCATAATCTTTCAGTTTCATGCATTCTGAAAATAGCTTATCTTTGTGACGTGTTAATCAAGGAATATGCACAGGTAATAATTCAATAAATCTCAGTTCATAGTGATCAAACATGGCAGTAAATGCTAGTAAATGGTCGCATTTCAGTCGCAAAACCATCTGTATGATTCATATGATGGTTTAAGGAGAAGCTTACAAATAAATATATATACATTCCTTAAAAATCATGTGCAAATGATAAAATACATTTAAGAGATCTTTATTAATGAGTTTGCAAGACTGTAACTAAAGTGGAACATGCCTTAATAAGTGCTTACAAATAATTTTTTTCTATGTTATAAACTGTAAAGAATGGACATTTGTTCCCTTCACAGCAAAATACAGTGAAATATTATTTAGGAAAACATGTTGTTTTTATTGTTAAACATTTTTATTGTTTTTGTGAATTATTTTTTATATTACTGCAAAATTGCATTTACTATCATGTTATGCGAAGATATGTAAATGTGTAGTAGCCAGAGCAACTCGAAATACTTCTTTTAGTGTGTGTTATTTGAGATCAAACGCTACAAACTGTGATTTTTGCCAGATTTTACTAGTGATTTCAATTTGATTATTAAAACATTAATATTGCTTTCAGTTTCTAGGGCTCTTTTTTAACTCAAAGAAGGAATCGTTTTTTTTATGAGAGGAAATAACTGCTCTCCTTTATAATGTCTCTGGTTTCGTTCAAAGGGCAAACTTTATCAGCAGTCCTCTCACCGAATACGAGATCAGGTTTTGTTGTGTCGGAAATGGAGTTTTCCAAGTTCTGACTCTCTGTCTGTTCATGCCTACAGGTCAGCAGTCTGTGCGGTTATACCTTCGATGTAAGTGTCCTGAACTGAATGAGAAAGCAATAGGGCATCACTCTAGTACTTTGAAAAATGGTGGGTCAAACGTCTGCTTGCCCCTGTGGTCCTGGCAGCTCTGATCAGTAACATCTTTCCACCATTCCTTGGTGTAATAATTCCAATTTTTTTCTAATTTACTGCCAGCTCTGTTTTCATAGCAGGTTTGTTTTTAGGAGTTTGGTCGCTTGATGAAGTCAACTAAGGCTCAGTCATTCATCAACATTCGGAAGATTAGAGATTAGAGAAAAACTGGATTTGTTCAATCTCATACATCAGGCAATGGCTATAAAAAAGATTGACACCCCTATAGCTGTGCTGGGCCTACCTGAAAGTGGACACACATGTATTTTTCCTACCACTTACGATAAGTAGGATAGTTAGAAAAGCCAAACTTTCTCCAGAGATCACATGTGGACAACTGCATGCGTTTGTTGCATTTGGGTGTCACCAAGTCTCTAAAAGTACAATTTTACGCCAATCTCCACGCCAACAAATAATGAAAGGTTTGCCAGAAAAGAACCTCTGCAGTTGCCAAATCGCACAGTAAGGCAATGATCCAAGGTGTTCTTCCAAATCCAAATCCAAAAATAGTTCACTGACTACAGAATCAAGCTTTTTCAAGGGCCATCCTAATCCCCTGACATAAAACCTGTGGGATGATTTAAGCAGAAAATACACAAGGAAGGGCTAAAGACTCTGAAGGATCCAGAGAATTTGTAAGGAGGAATGGTTTTATATCCCTTTATTCATGTTCTCCCCCTCATCTAACATTTCAGAAGAACACACTGGACCACATGTATTATGTGCACAGCCACAGCGCAAAATGTGCCTTGATTCAACTGCTGAATTTAACATTCAATTTACAAAAACTGCAGCTTCTCTCACAAACTGTGTGTAGCTCCGCTGACTAACTACTCGCTCGTGAGGCGCAGGGCAGTGAATAATGGCACCGTTAAAACGTTCGAAACCAAACATAAAAATGAAAGTTCAGTGAAAAATAGTGTTAATAAAGTCCTTTCCCACCAAAACATTAAGAATTTGCAAAAATGATAACATGGACTGCATGTGCCTATTGTGGTGCATACACAGTATATCTTTCTTCTTACATACTAGTGATGGGCATTCAGGCTCTTTTCAGTCAGCCAGCTCAGTACACCAATAAGAGCTAACTCTTCTTTCTTTGTTCCCAAAATTAGCCAAATTATAGATTTTAACTATAATTTAATTTTCAACAAAATGATAGACTACCTTTTAATTAATTAATTAACATTATGCATTATGTTTGCTATTTCTTATTTTAAGAAAAGTCCGATGTTAATATGTAGCTTCACTGGATGAATTTCAAGAGGTAGAAATCACAAAATATTCCAACAAATATCATCAATCAGTCATCAACAAATGCAGGTAAAAGTCAGAAATTAGAAGAACTAAAGAAGCACACTTGGAAATACACGAAAACTGACTAACAAAACTAGCAACAAACTGACATAACAAGCAATAGGTGTTAGGGATGATAAGGAGGTGGAGCTGGAATATTCTAAGGAGATCCAGGAGGTGTTTTTCAGCTACATAAGTCATAAGATGGACCCATTTCTTTTGTCTTCAATTTCTTGTTCTGTCAGTGTCTTAAATGCAAGTTAGCTCCCAACATTCACCTAAAATCACATGCACATCACTACCACTTATGTATATCTGATCTTGACAGTTTAAACAGTGTTATTCTGTTAGATAACGTTCTTTCAGCAATGAAAAAGTCCCTCAACAAGACATCCAATGCAACACGTCTAATTCTAACAGGTGGCACGAGTTGCTCAAACTTTTGTAAAGAGCAGAATATATAATCACAGCTACATGTATGATATCTCTATCCATTCTTTGCATGATGCTCCCACTTTTTACAAGGCCATCCCTCAAACACATATGCATGAAGAGGAAAGCAATGCATGCAACCCATAAACTGGCTTATGCACCAGTTTCACACAACATGCAAGTAAAATATGTCCGATTGTGTCAGCAACTGATATAAAAGGCTTAGTACATTGAGTTATCATTACTGATACCTTGGAAATGAGGAGGGACTAAATACTGCTGACCTCCATGTGTTAGACTAGGGTTCGATTTCCTGCCCGGATAAGCACACAACACTTCTAATGCTACATTCGCCTACCACTGTAACATGATTGTAAGCCATTCTGAATAATCTGCCAAATGCATACATGTAAATGCAAGGGCACTGTAACTATCCAGAACTTTATACCTGCAGAATTGCATCCCATATTGTGTGAATGTTAAGCAACTGACCTCACCATTTATGTGTAATTATGTTAGAATGGAGAAGGAGATAATGGAGGGGATTAAGAATGTCACCATGAATAAACCTTTCACACAGGCAGTGTTAAAATCAGTGATGAATGATGGGCAAGGCTGATTCCATGTACCTGTCTTGCCAGGAGCACTGACTGGATGAGATTTCTTTTCCTCCAAGAGCCCATCCAATGTAGAATTATACAGGATTCCAGGGGCCAAGTCATCTATTTGGTTTTCTATTGCTCCTTCCGAAACGTTTGTTGTATTAACGTTTGCTAGCTCTGAACTTGTTTGGTTTACATCAGAAACTTTTAGATCACGTTGAGGTTCTTGTGTGAAATTCACAGGTTTATCACTTGCTGCCACAATCACTGACTCCTCAGTTACCACAGTATAGGTAGGACCTGTTGTATGAACCCTCACTGGGGAGGCTGGCAGCTTTGTTGGAACACTTACAATGTTCAATGCAAGGACATCTACAGAGGAAGTAGACTTTGGTACTAAACAAAAACACATTAGAAAAATGTTAGAGACACAGCACAGAATGGAAAGTAAGCGAGACATTATTAACCTGTAGGAGAAAAGTAATGTTAGATGTTTACTGAGAGAGTCAATCACTGATGAATCACTGCAGAAAAATCAGAATTGTATCATTTTTTTTAATGCATTTCTATGCTTAGTCTTTGTCTGCTCCTTTTTATGTCATGGCAGTGCTGCCCAAAGTGTGTCCCATGGGACAAAGTTGTAAGTGTGACTCTTAAACCCTATAATTTGAAGGGATTCAAAAACCCATAAACCAACAATTTTTATCATTTTATTCATTTTCAAGTCACTTGATTGGTTGGGCTTCATTGTGATATTTTAGCTATGCCTTTTAGATTCTATTCTCAAGCCTAATACCTAAGGATAAGTTTGCACTAATGCTAATTCCAGTCCTGAAGGGTGAAGTCCAGCACAGTTTAATTATTTCCTTGTACAAACATGCCTGATTCAACTGCCATGTTTATTTGGTATGTTGAAGGTGCAGCATATCAGTTCAATCCAACACACTCTTTTTTTTTTTCAAGGCCGAGAAAGAAGTTCTTAGATCAGGTGAAGGCATTTCAACAGTGGAGAGACCACAGAGAATTGACGGAGAGGAGTTTCAACAGTAGAGAAACGTCTGAGAGTTGAGTGGCTTCCTTATTCACATTTTTCCAGTCCAGCTTAAATCGTGCTGCAGTTCCATTTTGGCGTTGTAGATATTTATAGGACTATGTTCAGATCAATTTAAACCTAAGGCATTAATTAAGATAAATAAGCTAAATATATACAAAATCATAATTTATATGGCACTTTATATTGAGACGTCCCAGACCCTAACCTCTAAATATCAACTTAAAAAAGAAGAAAATTACACTTGTTTTTTTAGTAAAGAAAGTTGCTTTTATTGTTCTTTTCAATAGTAAGAAAAATAGTTGCCCCTTCCCAATTTCTTCTACTTTTGCATCTTTGTCACACTTGAATGTTTCAGATCATCAAACTACTTTTAATATTAGACAAAGATACCCCAAGTAGACACAAATGCTGTTTTTAAATGAGGTCACTTATTAAAGGAAAAATGGGATTCAGCCCTACCTGTCCCTATGTGAAAAAGTAATTGCTCCCTTAGCTTCTAAATCAACCAGTTAACCAGATTCAATTGACTGTTGGGTTTAATATCACTAGCCACACCCAGGCATGATTACTGCCAGACCTGTTAAATCTAAACATCACTTAAATAGAACCTGTCTGGCAACGTGAAGCAGGCTAAAAGGTCTCAGAAAGCAGCACAGGATATCATGTTCTAAAGAGACTCAAATACAGACGCAAAACAAAGTCTTTGAAATCTACCAGTCTGGAAAGGGTTACAAATGCCATTGCTAAGGCTCTGGGACTCCAGCGTACCACAGTGAGAGCCATTATCTACAAATGGAGAAAACAGTGGTGAACCTTTGCCGGAGTGGCTGACCTAATAAAATTTCACCAAGAGCACATTAACGACTCATCCAGGAGGTTACAAAAGAAGGCAGACAAACATCTGAAGAACTGCAGGCCTCACTTGCCTTAGTTAAAGTTATTGTACATGATTCCACAATGAGAAAGACACTGGGCAAAAATGGCACCCATTGGAGAGCTGCAAGGCGCAAACCAGTGCTGACCAAAAAGAGCACAAAGGCTCGTCTTGCATGTGCCAGAAAACAAGAATGAAATGAAATTATATGACATGGGTTCTGTTACACGTGGGGTAAAGCTTACAGAGTATTCCACCACAAGAACATCATACCTCCAGGCAAACACGGTGATGGTCTGAGGCTCCTTTGCTTCTGCAAGACCTGGATGACTTGTCATAAATGATGGAACCATGAATTCTGCTCTCTATCAGAAAGTCCTGGAGGAGAATGCTGGCCCATCAGTTCAAAGCTCAAGCACAGTTAGATCATGTAGCAAGACAATGATCTGAAAGCAAGTCCTGAATGGCTCAAAAGAAACAAAATTAAGGTTTTTGAAGTGACCAAGTCAAAGTCCTGACTTGAATCCCATTGCAAGAATTCTTTTTTATTTTAGGACTGCACCACTGGTATGTCTATTGCATGACTTTACATATTTAAAGTGGTCAATCACTCTGGGTAGCATTTCATACAAAGATTAACACAGTGAGCAGTCAAGTTTATGGCTAAACCACAGCTGTTCTGAGGTCAGCTGAGAACCAGTCACTGCTGATTGGGTAATCCCATCATTCTTCTTAGCGCATTCCACACTGAACCTCAATAAGCACTTCCGAAACTACTGAGGTATTCCAATGATAATACTGTACTTCTGTAAAGCGTTTCCTGTCTGGATGATATTTCAGAGCAGGGAAATCCCCAAACTGTGCTGAAATCTGGCCCTCCAGGACCAGAATTGATGACCCCTTCCTTACACTATGCTACTTGGCTTTCAAACTTAGACTTTTGTCATGCATCTTTGACAAATATCTTGCAAACTGTTGTGAATATCCAGCAGTGAGATCAGCCTAAATGAGTCATTTCTTTGGCCTAGATACATGAAATAACATTGTAGAAGTATGCTAATACAATTAGCCTAATTGGTTGGAACCATTTGCAGATGAGATACAAAGAATGCTTTTATGTATAATTAATTGCATTAATAATTGATTCAGTACACACTTAAAAAGATGGTTCTTCAGAGGTTCTTTAGTAAAGAAAATCTTTCAATGTAGAACCATGAACACTCAAAAAACCTTTTGCATGAATAAAGGGCCATTTGCATCTAATAAGGGTTCTTCATGGGCTTGACATCATAACAGTAGAAGAACCCTTTTTGGTGCAAAATAGAACCATTTTGAAAAGGGTTTTATATAGAACAATCTACAGCACATTCTCCATCAATCTGAAGAACGCTTTAATGATTTAAAACCTTTAATCACTTTGAGTGCACATGGTTCTATATGGAACCCTTTTCTTTACTAAAGAACCCTTGAAGAACCATCATTTTTAAGAGTGTATAATTTCATTATTTTAATAATTTATTGTCACTGCACTGTATCATATATATCATATACATTCATGGCAGGAGCTTACCACATTATTGGGGTTTATCAGACTTAACACCGTTAAATTTTAGCTCTAGCTCAGGTGTCCCAATTATATGAATTCTAATGTCCAAGAATAAGAAAATATTTTGGAATCTTTTGGCTGTGCAAGAGGCAAGCACTAGTGTGCAGATCAGGTATACAGAGGCCTAATCCTAGATTCTTAATCCTATTTACAAAGAGGATGATTGCTGGAGATGACAAGCCATTAATCATTGAGGTTTCCATGAAGAATGCCAGAGGAAGTGCATGGCAAACCTCAGACTGATGAAGATGCCATGCAGATATAATAACGCTGTTATTATACAGACACGTTTTCACTTCAGGCTTTAGTGACTCTCTCATTTCTGGCATTAGCAAAATCCTAAGGCTACATATCTACAGCAAGCTTTAGTGAATTTTGGGCTTCTTTTATGACTGCATATATCACTGTCAACTGTTCTCTGTCTTAAAATGACAGCAGAGTGCAAATAAAGAAGATGGGCTTTAGAATCTTGTCCATTATAGATTTGTCCAAGAACAGGCAAAGGGAGATGCACCTATATGAGCCCAGCATATTTAATGCATCTTCTAATTATTTTACAACACTATATTGCTGTTAACTGTTCAGACTGACCATAAAAAAGTGTCCTAAATCTGAGTCTGACTGTAAATCTCTGAGGCATCTGTAAAAAGAATATGAGTCGGCATGATATCACATTAACAGCTGCACACTGGCTTCCAGTCTCCCAGCACATCATTAATGGTGCTGACACAGTTCTTGCAGGCTTGCAGCAAATTTATCAAGTGAAAAGGGAAAATAAAAGGAAAAAAAGTGCAAACGGTAAGGATGTGGAATTCTTGTTGCCTGTACAAAGTCATCATATAGGAGAAGAACCTGGAGAAGTGGAAATGTTACTTGGGAAAACATGACAAAAACATTACTCCATAGTATTTATATACACAGTATATCGTCGTTGTGGGAACAAAACTTAGTATCTCCAAAATGGAGAAGAAAAAAAACATTCTTCACTTGTAATGGACATTAATGAAAGAAGTAGTTTTTCCAAGTGATTTTGCACCATTTCTGTTGGTCTGTTCATCATAAAATGTTAACACAATGCAAAGGGTAACTAGAGCTTTCGAATTATGCAAAAAAATTAAACCACAAAGATGGAAGAAACAAAAAATGGAGCACATTTGTTTTGTGACACAGCGACAATATACTCTTAAACATGGCACAATGTCCCCACCCCCTTCCCCTCTTCAACTGAGACAGCAAATAAGAGCAGTGATCCTTAGCATACATAATTAACACCCAGAAAATGACCTGTTTTTCACAGAAGAATGAAAGTCAGTGTAAACACATCATGCAAAGACCCAGTTAAGATCCTATTGCTTTATACTCTTCACAGTTTTCTTTCAAGCAGCAGAAGGAACTATACTAATTGAGAGACGTGACTCCTTAATGCTGTTATGCAACAAAAGGTGTCTCCCCCAAATATTAATATGTGGGGTTTGAATGCTTGTCTATTGAGTCTATTACAGTTTTTGACCTTTACAGACAGATAAGTGGTTATTAATTATTTTGCCTATGAGAATGTAGTATTAGAGCATTAGTTCACAATAAAAATGATTAGAAATGGGTAAGTATTGTTTATAATCCAGAAAATATGGATATCTTTTAACAGGGTTTATTACTTTCACAGGGCACTGGATACAGATCTTATGATCAATAGAATATAAGACTGAATTTCAAACCAGTGTACTTAGCTCTTGTTTATGATGTGCCTTCCAAAGGTAGTTTAAATTGAAAAATCAAATCATAGTGCTAATCATTAAACATCACTAACACAATAGAGTAACATCAAAACACCTCAAACAACAGTCCAGACCTCTCTCACTTACCTGTGGATGCAGTAAGAGTGGTGGGGGCACTTTTCCTCTGGCCCCGTTCTGCCACCAGGCTGATGTTATATTGTGTGCCAGGCACTAGATTTTTACGAGTGTGGCTGGTAGCAGAAGCAGGCACCTCCACCTCTTTTTGTTTGCCATCAGGTGAGACAAACGCCAGCCTGTAGTTAGAGATCTTGGCTCTGGGCCTGTTCCAGACCAGGGTCATTGTGGTTTCTGTGGATTCACTCAGCTCTAGATCTTGTGGGGCATCCAGATCTTCAGACGTGGGGTTGGGTGAGGGGGTCAGATCAAGAATACGTTAAAACCTTTGGAAACCTTTTTCAAAACTTATTTATGCATTTCATTTTCATTTAACCAGAAGGAGCAAGCAATATGGAAGTATGCAAAGTTTTTAACATCTTCAGTCAAATGACATTTTGTTGACTTTGTTGAAGGAAAAAAAAGGGACACATCCTCTACAGAGAACACACTTAAATATGGAATTTTCCTGCAAATTTTAGTCCAAAATTTCCATTAATTTGCTAAGTTAAACATACTGGAAAAAAATAAAATAGAAAATATGTGCCATAACTTTTGCACATTCAACATTATATGTTTTTATATTTTCCCCAGTATGTTCAATTCAGCAAATAAACAGTAATCGTGCATTAAAATGTGTAGGAATGTGTTCTCCTTGTAGAGCATGTTAATTTGTTTTCATTTCAGAAAATCAAAAAAACGTGTACTTTGACGAGGAGCAGGCAAACATTTGCATATGACTGCATAAACTGATAAAATACAGGTATGATGAACCATTTGAATGTAGATTTCTACATGAAGTCGTCCTAAAATGTAATCTGATATCCATGGCATAATAATAAATAACAATTAACATGAACTTTTGGTATGAAAAAAAAAATTACAAAACATAACATCATTAAAATGATTAATGGAATGTTTCCATATATGGAACGTATGGCCTGGGAAGTGAAAGATGTATTTTGAAAATTTACCAAAGTTTATGTACTACATCAAACTCTTCTATTTCAGAAATGTGAGAAAAATGGGGTTTTCTATGATACGGGAGCTTCAATAATATTTACATACTCCTTTAAACTCTTACTATAAGTAAAATTCCGTTTTCCATGATACAGCCGTTTTAAACAATTTGTTCAATAAACATAATGTAATAGATAATGCAAAATGCTGATATTTAACGAATAAGGCTTTAATTTTTTTACCTTTAGTTATATTATTATTTATTACATTTTTTTAATGGTACCATTCATACAGAAATCCAGAGAACTACACACACACACACACACACACACACACACAGACATATTTAAAAATCTCACCTGTAATTGCATTGATGGTGACTTGCTGACTCTCTTTTTCTTTTTTAATCGCTGTAACTCCAATCCCGTACTCTGTTCCAGGCTTCAGGCCTACAGTGCACATAAGCATTTCATAGGAAAAAACCTCCCAGATTCACAATTAGAGTAAATATTTTCTTTCTAAGCTACAGACACAGGCTTTGTGTGGGTTTTCGGCTTGCACATTTCTCTTGTTCATAAATATGATAAAGGTTCCACAAAAAGCTTGTATATAAAATAGGTTTAATTTTAAGTACAACATGATACTCACCAGTAAGGGTGGCCTGTGTTGTATTTCCTGGTCTCCTGGGGATTATATCTTCACCATGGCTACCTCCAACAACAGGACCATATTTGATACGGTAGCCATCTACAAATGCACGACTATTATTCCATTCCACAGTGATGCTGTCATCTGTCTGACCCACAGTGTGAACTTCACGAGGAGCATCCAGGCCTGCAGCACAGTGAGGTTACATCAGGATTAAAATGTGCAACTAAAGGTTGCATTTCGCACGGAACAATTTGATAGCACATCTCTCTGTTAAACAAAAGATGAAATATTCTTTTCAAACTTTAAAAGCAAAGTAAAAAAGTAAAGCAGGGCCCCGCCAATGTGAGAATTTTGTACACAATAACAATACCAATTTTAAGGAGCTAAAATTTCTGATAACAGGTCACATCGGTAGTAAACCCTCCTGTTACATTTGACTGTATGGAACAGCAATAATGTTCCCAATGCATGTTTAACCATTCGAAAGTGCACCATATGGACAAAAGTATTGGGACACCTACACATTACACCTACAGGAGCTTTGACGACATCCCTATCTAAATCCACGGGCATTAAGGAATAGGCATGTTGTACAATAATCATATTATGTTGTGACTATTTAATAAATGACTAACATCACATTTTTATTACCAAAATAAGATTTGTGGTGGTGCATGATGTGCCAAGTCAGTGCAAAGTAGTGTTAGTGCAAAGTTTCTCAAAGGTGTTATTGGTTTCTGTTAAACTGTCATCATTCTTTTTTCTTATTTTCAGTTTTATCTGTTTTTCGCACATTAGATATGTTTCACAATATAAAAGAATTCACTAGTTATTGGTATTTTACTGGAAGGATTTTTACCAAAACGGATAAAACCTTAAGTTGTCAATATCAGCTAATAATAGCGCTTTGACTCTATGAAGTCTTTAAACTTCTTAGAGCACAAATATCATTCAGTTGGTTTGCTTTGCACAGCAGACTGTGATTTATTTTCTCATTGTCCCTTAGCTCCGCAACTGCCAAACATTTCCTGTCCTCCTGCCCAGCACTGGACACATGAGCACTGAAGCTGAGCCATTAACACAAAAAGCAAATGCTTAGAAAGTAGGCTGCTCAACACATTAAACAACTTTATTGTTGTGTCTTTTAGGAATATCATGGAGTGCTTTACACTGAAAAACACTCCAATTTAAATCTTTATGTGTGGGATGTTATTTGTATATCTAAAAACCCAGAGCATGTATTGCAGTGCAATTTGTTTCCAGTAATTTGTTTTAGATGGAGCCATAATGAGGTCCTGTTCAGGGGCCAAATAAATGCCAAAAGATCTTCATAATTGTCTCACAATATCTCAAAATAAATTTGTTACAAAGAGAATAATTTTTAAGCACTGCTAATACAGCTCAATCCATCTATTATTCCATGTGTTTTACATTCAGTTTCAGACATGGTAGAAGACGAGTGTCCATTTTCAACTACCACATTCAGACATGCACACATATGTGCAGTGAAAAAGGTGACAAGCACATAAACCAGCCCCCAGTTAGGGGGTCAGGGGGCTTAATTAGTTCCCCAGACATTTCTTAGTGATTTTATATCGAAAATGCAAAGCATTCTGGTGCCCTCAGAGAAAAAAATACAGGAAAACAAGTAATTGCTATAGAATGATTCAGTTCAGAGTCCAACAACTGTGCCAATACAAGTCAGTACAAAATGTGTGTTGATACTTATTTTGACTTATTTGCTAACCATACCAAGGTCAAAAGGTCAGTGGTGTACAAAATCTGTCACAACAGTTATTATAAATAGAGGCTATTCTAAAAATTGTAGTTCTAGAAATATACAGTTTTATATATAAAAACGTATAAATTTATATATAGCACTGTTTGCACAGTTATGTCACTTTGTATGTCACTTTATCTGCGCTTATTTGTGGCATACCAATAAAATGGTTATGATAAAATTTATACCTAAGGAAGAATTTCAACCAGTACCATGTCCTACAATGCTAGTTTACAGTGTATGGTTGGCCAAACCCCTACTTTGTTTTACTTATCCAGTCATTCTATATTATATTTACACCCAAAATTATATTTAGACCCAAATTTATAGTTTTATAATACAATTTTCACATAATTCACACTAGAGGTGTAACAATACACAAATTTCCTGCTACGATACATACTGTTGTTTCTGCATCACAATACATTTTTGATACAGTAGTAGAAAAGAAATATGTCTAACTAACATAACTTCAACATTTATTTTCATATTTCAGCATGTATTTTTGTAGCTGCTGATGTTTTCTCCACAAGGATGAAGATGGCTTCCTATTTGGCAAAAAAATTTGAATAAGAAGCTTTCTAACTTTAGCCTCATGGCTTCTCCTCATTCCGGTCACTGACATGTTTGAAAGTTTTCACAAATAATTTAACATATTTGAGGTACCAGCACAGGTATCCAATCCTTGCGCTAACCCATCTCCATTTGATCTACTGCTCTTTGTCTATCATTATTGTACTCGAATAAGAAGGCTCACCATTTCAAATAGCTTGGCTAATCGACCATCTGAAGTAGGAGAACCAAACTAGCTGTTATTTGGTTCCAAGAGCTGCACAGTTTTTTGACCTTTTTAGTTATCACTGTCAGGACTGTCATTGATTGTGTTGAACAGAACTGTAGAAACCATTCTCATCATCAAACATTTTATAGCATGATATGTCACTGCACTTGAATTACAGCATGTATCACCCCTGTATTATAATCGTAACACCCCTAATGCACAGAGTGTGCAGTCTAGTCTGATAACAATTAGGCCTGGTGATTGCTTGTATAAACTAGCTTATATGTGAGAACATTATATTCAGTTAATTTGTTATAGGGCTATTTAGTCCATTGTGCCTGAAGAGATATTTCTTATCTGTGTGTTTAGCTGTGTGTGAGAAAGTCAGAGAGGGGAGTACAGACAAATCACAGCGGGACCATTCGCCTGTCTATCTGACTGCTACTGGAAACATCCATCACTGCAGCATTACTTTTTTACTATGAAGCAGGCCTTTCCACTTAAAGTAAAACTGCACTAAATGCAAGCAGATGTCTACTTTCAGATCCACACTGTTTTAAACAGACATACAGGTTTGCACCACAACAAACAAATATTTACCTGCAGCTATTTGTTTTTTTCCTCTACTTCCTCCATTAATGTGCATTTATATATAGCACAGATCCTTCAACATTTACAATCTTCAATGGAGCAATGCTACAGAAGAACCATCTTTGGTTCCTGAAGAACCTTTCAAAAGTTTACTTCTTTAGGAACCCAAAAGTGGTTCCTCTATGGTAATGTTCCAACTCCTTCAGAGACTTTTGTAAATCTAAACTGTAAAAATACAATTTTTTATTGCAAAAAAGAGAAATATTTCTTGTAAATCATAAATTTACAGTTGAAACTTTACAGTTTACTGCTGCTTCTCTGTGTCTTCATGTACAAACTGAATCCCTTTTGCAATGTACTTAAGTATGGATATAGTTGTTTTCATAGGGACTGGGGACCCTTTAATAACCATAGGATGGATAATCTTAGCTATTTTACAACTATGATGGAAAATAGGTTGTTAAATTGTTGTTTTGGCTTAATTTGAGGTCAATGGACCTCCTACATTGTCCTCCTACACAGCAAATTAAACAGCACTTTCATTGAATGCTCCATTAACTTCCATTCAAAGAATCTTTTTTTCCTTCTCCTGTAAAGCTACCATTTTGGAGATAGGAGGTTTTGTCACAAAAGCAACAATATATAATACATAAATAAAACTGGTATTTACTAACACGTAGATGAATATGAAGCTGAGTGCAGCAAAAATACACTACCTGCCATCCTTGATATGGAGAGCAGGTTTTGACTAAATAAATTGCGTTCAAACTGTTGTTAAAAACACATATTGAGTCTATTCTTTCACCTGTGAGGCTTGGGTGCTGATGAGTACCCATAAAAGTGTGGGTCAAGTCATTATTCTAAAGTTAGTACTGTCAGAAGTGTTTATCATATATGTTTACACATTTGCAGCTTGGTTAGCCAGTCAGGGTTTAGGCCTAATTCAGGACTACATTTTTCTTTCAATGGAGAATCTCCATTCAGAATGCTGTATAGTTCAGAACTAGACTTCATATCTGTCTTGGAACCTGATCCTTGGTGTTTAATTTGTTATTCATGAAGTTTTGTTATTGAAGTTTTGAAAAGCTAAAAAGTTTGAAAAGCTTTTCCACTTTTAAATGGCAGGAGTATTATGTGGGGCTGCAACAGATACTGAATAAATTTGATTTGAAATTTCACACTTAAATTATTTAGAAACAGAAAAGCAATTCTAATAACTGTTAATTTTAACTGTTTTTATGAAAGCACACCTCAGTGCATCGGCTTTTACCAGTCATCCTCTCACACACTGACAAGAGTTGACTAAAAAGCTGTTTCCTCTTTTTAAAACAGTGAGGTTGAAGGATTGTTTCCTCTGCTCTTCTGCACTGCTCTTCACTGATACATTCTAACAGTCTCAGCAACCTAATCGGGGTTGTCAGATTGAGCAGGATCCCCTGAAATAGCATTTATGCTACATGCTATGATGATAATTGTTAATTGATGTTCATCGAAGCAATGTTTTTCCATAAAAAAGTATAATAATAATAACAATAACAATAATAATAATAATAATAATAATAATAATTGATAGTTGCAGCTTTAGGTATAATGATTTGACCACATTCTTAAAAAATTAGTTTCTATTTTAAATGCATCAATGGGTTCTCTTTTCTTTCTCAGGTACAGAGAAAAGCCATTATTGTCCTTGGTAATCCATCCAATGCTACTGGTGTGGCAGATAGAGATTAGGTTAAAAACAGGATTTAAAGGAGTGTTTCCTTTAAAAATACAATGAAAGGTTCTTTAGAGAATCAAAGATGGTTCCTGTTTGACATTACTCCAAAGAAAACTTTGGCCTTTATCTGTAAGTGTGTACTTGTAGTTCATCATTGCGTACCTGTGGTGAAGCTCTCATAAACAGGTTCACTAGTTTTGTTGCCCCTCTTTGAACTGAGAGACACTCTATAGTCAGTGTCGGGCTCCAGTCCCTCCAGACTGTGCTGCATGTTATCTGCGGGTACATCCACATGCCTGGCTGATGGGTCTCCACTCGGGCCATATGATATTCTAATTCTGTCCACCTCTGCCACTGGCTTGGACCAGGAGATCAAAGCAGATTTGTCTGAAACATCTCGAACTTCAACTTCACCTGGAGCATCAATTTCTGTATAGGGAGAGAGACATATAAAACATATCTATTATTTCATGTCAATTACTTACATTTGTTGCTGAATATAAAAATAAATAAGGCTCACAATTTTGTCATATGACATTATCCATTACATTACATTAGTGTCATCATGATAATGAAATTTGGGGAATCTCTGGTAATAGCAGGATAGCAGTAATGGCCACTTTCACACTGCGCAAAAAAACCCAAACACATAATTTAAAACAAACAAACATAAATGCAAGGGATACACCTTGATCTGCACCCCTACTGGATATAGCAGAGACGGGGATGCAGTATGTATTTTGTTTGCCTTATTTTGGGCCATTATTCAAAATTGACACGTGGTGGTGATGACAGAGTAGATCAAATTCCCCACTGTTTCTGCTACATACCATTTGAGAAAACCTCTGTATTTTCAAACCGAATGGTTGTAAATGTATAAAAATCTAATCTGTAGCTGAATTCCAGATGCTACTATATATATATATATATATATATACATATATATGCGTGTTTTTTTTTGGATTCCATGTGTAATATTCTTGACTTATAGGCTACTTAATGGTAGCATAACTCTGGTAAAGTCAGCTTAACCTGAAATGGGCTACTGTGCAATAGCACAGTACAGAGCACATCTCAAACTCCCGTATGCAAGTCTTCATAACCTGTCAAGAACGCTCTTCCCAAGAACACAAGTCTGTTCTTCTCGTTCTTCATATTAAGAAACACTCAATATTTTTTTTTGTCTGCCTGCTACTGGATCTACTACTTCCTGTCCAACAGGAAACATTATGTCAGTGTGGTTGGCCACATTTCGGACCTTATTTTTCTCAGCTCTGGTGTTCTATGTGCTCTTTCTCTTGCTCTACTCACTCTACACCAATGATACCAGCTTCCAACCATGAGTCTGTTAAGCCTATTAAGTTTGCACCTCTTCACCTTTTGCACTGACCTAATATAGCGATGAGGTAAGGCACTGAGGAACGCAATTCAGGATATGAATTTTCCATATATCCTAGAACTTAATCTGACATTAAGTCTACCCTTGAGCAAGTTGCTCCCAGTGGACTATTCTTGCAGTAGACTAAGACATCTAAATGCTGAGGAGCTAAATAATTTAAATGGGTGATTCTCTTAGAATGTTCTGTATAATTCCTTTTTTTGCAATGTTAATCAATATGGACATCAGCAGTAATGCAACCATAAAACTGCTAAAAATGCACTTTGTACAGCAGCCCACAGCTGTTTTCAGAGCTGGGCAGAAAACTTTGAAAAAGTACTGATGGCTGCATACTGAATACAGTGGCCTAATGTAGTCAGTAACGTATTATGTTACAACCCATAAAAAAGAAACATGTTCAGAGTATATTTAGAATACATTTAGTATGCATCTTAATAAGGCAGAGGAACCATTACTTACTGGCAGTTTGTCATGTAATTCTTCTGTTAATATGTTTCATGAAAAAATCCAGCCATATCCCAATAACGTTTTGGAAATTTGAACATAAAGTGGGCGGCTATGTGATTTTTAGGTGTATCTTCAAGCCAAATGTACACATGAGCTAAGCTTATCATGAGCGTGTCCACTAACAAGGAGATAAGCAAAAGTCAGAGACCACCCCTTATTTTAATTTCCAGTTAAAACAGCCAGTTTTGAGAACCAGTTATTCAGTATCAGGATAAAAAAAAGCACAAGAACAGATTTAACAGAAAACTATACAGAAGCTTCAACAACTAAATATAAAATCTGGAAGATCTAGGGGCCTTTAAAGGAAAGTTAAAGAACAGATGGGACTGCAGCTCAATATGAAGAAGTCTAAGGTTATGACAACAGGAAAGACTGCTAACTTGACCATTGGCGGTGAAGATGTGGAAATGATGGACAGCTTTTGCCCACTTGGATCAATTATTAACAACAGAGGATCCAGCACTCAGGAAATATGACACAGATTGGCACTAAGAAGAACAAGGATCAAGGAGCTTGAGAGGATCTTGAGATGCAATGATATCTCTGCAAACAAAGAACCAAACTGTCCAGGCTGTGGTCTTCTCTGTGGTTCTTTACGGATATGAAAGATGGACAATAAACAAGTGAGACAGGAAAAATACTGACGTCTTTGAACTTTGGTGTTGGCGAAGACTTTTGAGAGCATCCTGGATGGCAAAGAAAACAAAAAAATGGATCAAGACTCACCTCTCAATCAAAGCCCAGGCAACCAAACTGAGGTTCTCATTTTGGATATATCCTAAGAAGAACTGATTCATTGGAAAAGACAACTATGCTTGGAGGTGTTGAGAGTATAAGACAAAGAGGACAACCAGAAACAAAATGAAGGGATACAACCCGAGGAATCATGAATCAGTCATTCAGAAGCTTGAAGAGACAAAATAAGACGGATATTGTGGAGGAAGACTATCCATATGGTCACCAGGAGTCGGAAGCGATGATAATAAGGCACTTAATAATGATAATAATTACACTAATAATAACGTAGTTTGTCCACCCTTTACTTTTATTACAGCTTGGTTCGTTTATGGAGACTCACTCTTAGTTTTTCAAAGAAATCTTCAGGGATATTTTTCTACACCCCCAAAGTTCAATCTTGGAGCTTTTCTGCTTCTTTAATTCAAGGAATCCCAAACACATTCTGTGATGTTGAGGTGTGGACTCTGCAAGGGTCAGTCCATTGTTCTGAGAATGGCTTTTTTGTTTAATTTGCAAGTTTCCTTTTCTCAGACTCATAGTGTTGACTTGTCTTCTCACAGTGGAAGGATGGACAGAAACACCTGTGGATTTTTTCAAATCTGAAGCAACAGTGGAGCTTGATTTTCATCTCTTTCTCAAAAATGAAAGCATTACGTTTATCTAATGAGGACAGTTTTGGTGGTCTACAAGGTCTTACACATTTGTTAGGAGTCCCATTTTTTGCATCACTATTTATCATTCTTTAAACCTTTTTTCCTTCTATTTCTTTGACTTTCTTACATGTTAACTCCTTAGAAATGTCTTGTACTTAATGGCCATTTTAACTGGAAATTAAATGAGTGGTGGCCTTTTACACAGTAGCATAAAGAACTAGCTCATCACCTTGATTTATCAGTCTACTCAGGCTTTAGCAGTGTTTCAGTGTTTGTAAAGAAAAGACATGTCAGCTGTTTCTTGAGTTCCTCTGTCTAATGTAACTTTGTGCTGATTTTAAAAGATTTGAGGAACAAGCATTGATGGTGTTTCTTTAAAAGGTGGTATATATATATATATATATATATATATATATATATATATATATATATATATATATATATATATATATATATATATATATTAAATTTAGTGAATAAGTATTCTAAATGTTATTTTTCCAAACCAGGCTGATTTACTTTATGGTTTAGCTCATGAAAAGTTTGTGAGTTAATGTAAAAAGTATGCTGTATTACTTGTCACGACAGTCCTTTTCAGTGGGGGTCCTCTGGTGTTGTTCTTGATGAGGCGCACAGAGACGTTGTATTTCTGTCCTGGTCCAAGTCCTGGCTGCTCAAAATGTGTTTGGGAAGGTGGTAGAATGTTCACAATCTTTCCGTCCTCTTCTTTCTGCGATTGCAAAAGCAGAAAAAGAAGAAACCATGTGACGTCCTTCTCATGTTGTGCATGCACAGCTCTTAAAATCATACAGATTCATACTGAATTTACTGGAAAGCTTTTGTCTATTTAGAAATGTCTGCTTCAGTACAATATTATGGTGTCTTCCAAAATTAGCTCTGTGATTTAATTGCTTTAATGTCATTGACTCAAATGGAAATTATTCTACTTTAAGGATGAAATAAACTTTCGACTGCTCAGCATGCTATATTTAGAGATGAGATGGGTAGAGTGTGGAGACTTCAGAGGCCCTTTTGAGGAATAATGAGCATAGCTGTGCGAGCACTTGACTGAAAATCGGAGGTGTTTTCCTGAATGTCTGTGGAAAGAGTCTGCTGAAAAGCCACTGAAAGGACTTCTATAATAAAACCTTTTAACTCGCAGGATAATTCCATGCAAAAGTTTGAGCACCCTTGGTCAAATTCACAATTCAGCGTTTTTGGAAAATGTCTTTATGCAACCAGGGAAGTTCCTTCTGGACAAAATGGACAAGAAGATTTTAACACTATTAGCCTAAAGCCACACACAGTGTAACCTGTTTGGATGTCACTGTCTATATTTATTGGCTAGTACAGTTTAAATGTCATTTTAAACAGACAACAAATTACAAATTATACTTTGCATTAGGCCACAGAAAGAGGAAATTCCATTCAAGAGGATTGTTTCTAGAACTGTTTAGGTTGGCCAGAGTAGGAAAGAGAAAATAACGCATTCAGATTTTAAGGTTGTTTGCCACAAGCGCACAGCTTGGCCAGTTTGTATGCTGGCATTGTGCTTCTGCACAGACCTCATATAGCTCATTATAATGTCTTAAAAATTTTCCTGACCACCAAAAAAAAGGTTCCAGATAAGGGCCCACCAAACATTTGTGCCCTGGGACCTAAAATTGGATGACCTCGGCCTGGATATAGCCATATCAAAAGGCACTGCTTTTTAAAAGGGAAAAAACAATTCTCTTTAGCATCAAAATTGAGCCAATAAGAAAAATGTGATCAATTGCGATGAACTACTTTAAGCGTTTGACAGCCTAAAGATTTGGATGGGATTAGTTTTACAAGAGGAGGTTGGGTAATGTAAATTTTACTGGTGTGTCTTGGTGATTTTAGTCCTGCCCAAATGTCAGTCATTATTACCAAATGCTCACACAGTAAAGATTTTGGCATCTTTTACCTTCTATAAAACAAGCTGTAGAAACAACCTCAGGTTGTATTAATCTCATGCAAATCAACATGTCAGTAAAAATGCCATCATATTCTGTGGAAAAGGAGTTTCGTAAATATGGAGGAAAGATGTGTTTATATGTGTTTTCTGTGGCTAAAATCAAGTTTGTACGTAAAGTGACTGTCCAATCTCACATGTAAAATTACAGAAAATGTTTGATTTTATGCAGTGACCGTTTGTTGTAAATTCCCAAGCTAATGGTGATGCTAATGATATGTCGCATTCACTTCAGACAGCAAAGTAGATGGTTAGGGTATGTGAAATAACAATGTGGCCATTGATGCTGTTTAAATCTGATTTCACAGAGTCCAAGAACTGATTAGCTTAAGTGAGTAAAGCAAATCAATGTTGAAACAAAACAGAAAGAAAGCAAACAGAGCAAAACAAAACGAAACACAAAGAAAGGCAAACTGAATAACTCAAAACCTGAAGACTGAAGAAACAGTGAACAACACAGCAGGACCACAAGAACATCAATACCCAACAGCAACATCAACAATGCAAGACAAAGAGACAGAGCAAACACAGGGGTATGAATACACTGAGAGGAAACAAGAAACACCTGGGACTAATAAGGGGGTGGTCTACAAACTACAGACAGGTGAGACAAATGACGAGAAGGCAGGGCCAGGGAGGTGACAAACACCAAAACAACAACAAAAGCACATGGAAACAGAGAAAAACTAGGACAGCACAAGACAGGATGTCACAGTTTTGATGTTTTCTACTCTTTTCTGGAGAAAAAGCAGTGCGTAAATTGAGTAGTCACTCCACATCTCTGTCACTTACACTGAGATTTCTTATCCTGTGTAAATAGTGCTTTAGTATTTTAGTGTTTTTCCTATTCAAATCATATGTCCACTTTGGGCAGCTCTGATCTGTACAAAGCCAATATCCAGTTTAGGCCTAAATCTCTTTACCTAATAAACAGCTTCCCTCCACGTTAACACTGGTCTCACTTTGGGATAGTTTCCATAGTAGGGAATACAAGAGGACCAACCATGTTGTGAAAGGTGAGCTCCCAGCCATCAAATGGAATGTCCAGCGGGTCCCAAAACACCTCAACAGATGTTTCTCTGATAGATTTAAACTTCAGGCCTTTTGGTTGGGGCAGAGCTAAAGTGAAAGGACCACAGAGAACAGAAATGTGAGCTGACTTCTCTTTTCCATTCATCCACCTCTCCTTTCCTTTGACCACCTACTATAGGAAATGTAGAAAATAATTAAGCCCAGGAGAATCATACTATGACTGCTGCATTACCTACAGGAGAAAGAAACGAATGCAGTGAAGGCAGATAAACATTTGCTTTTTCATGGCAGTCATATTCCGTTCATCGTTCATCAACATTTCAGTGTAAAAATAATCTGCAACAATGTCGAATTTTACTGATTCTGTTATTGCAGTGTCTTCGCATACTTGTGAGAAAGAAGCAGAATTAAATTTTTAGGTAAAAATAAAATGATTGTCCTTTGCAGTAAAATAAAGCTCTGCTGGTTGTTCTAACACAGTTTTAACAATAAATGGTCTTAAATGCTGGAACTGTTTATTCAACCTTTAACCCTGAAGGTTGGCGTGCACACTGCTGGTCACCATAGCAATGCAGATCTTGCATAGCTTGTAGCTAACAAAATGGCAAAGAGAAAGATTTAGGATGAACACCGATAATTCGGAGATGAATACATTTGTAAGCACTCGAGCTGGTTTCCTGGTACGTTTAATCTGCAATGAGAAACTGACAAAGACCAAGAAGTTCCTCATTCGCCAGCTTCTTGTTTGAATTTTCCCATTTCACCGTAAATGGTGCCTCAGTTACATTTTGGCGCCTCAGGCACCATTTAATGTGAACGAAGAAATTCAAACAAGAAGCTGGTGAATGAGAAGCTCACTTCAGCCTCATAAAAAAATCGAGCGTTGAGAGACATTTAACAAGAAACTATTCTACTTTTGAGGAAACGTTTCCTGCTGGAGATGCGAGAAAAGCGGCTATAGCTGAGCTAAAGCTGAAACTAGAGCAAAGTAAGTCTGTGTTTTCGTTTATATTTTTTAGCCTATACTAGGATATTAGCACATACTGAGACATATTTACAGCCAAGATGGTGAAATGTTTCTTCAATAAAATGGACATGAAATGTTGTGGCTCCCACGGTGGCTAGATTTTTGTTGAAACTTGACAAAATGGCTCTTCTTAACATTTGGGTTGCCATCCCCTGGGTTAGAAAAATGCCTGAGTATTTCTTTCATTTTAAACTGAAGTGTAACTGTAAGAAAGCTTAGTCTAATGACAGGTAGTAAAAATATTTTATTAAATATAAATTAGTGTTTAATAAAATATCAATTTTATGATTATTAATATTTAACATAGATTAATATTTAACAAATATTACCACAAACCTCAATTCTGAAAAAGTTGGGACAGTATGTAAAATACTAATAGAAACAGTAAATTCAGTTTGACTTAACCTGAAAACTTTCTATGATGTTTCAAAAAGATGACAGAAGCATGTTTGTCACTGTATTACATCACCTTTCCTTTTCCTTTCAGTTTAGAGACAAAAGACACCAACTGATCCAGTTTTGTAAACAGTTTTTGCACTATACTCCCAGAACTCTTCAGCTGTGCATTATGGAGTCTTCACTGTTGTACTTTGCACTTCATTATGCACCACATGTTTTTAATGGGAGACAGGTCTGAACTGCAGATCTCTGATTAGCCAGCCACGCTGTTCTAACACGTGCAGAACGTGGCTTGGCACTGTTATGTTAAAATAGGCATGTATGTCCCTGAAAAAGACATCATGGTGTTTTTACAGATGCAAGTTACTCATGACATGGGCACTAATATACCCCCATACCATAACAGGCTTTTAGATATTTGAATTTTATGCTGGTAACAGGATGGTCCTTTTCTTCTTTGGCCTGGAAAACACTGTAGTTTGTGAAAGTATTCCCAAGCACAGATGCATGTGTTGTGCTGGTGCGAGTGGATCAGGCACAGCAGTGCCGCTGGAGTTTTTAAATACTGTGTTCACTCACTGTCCACTCTATTAGACACTCCTACCTTGTCAGTCCACCTTGTAGATGTAAAGTCAGAGACAATAGCTCATCTGCTGCTGCACTGTTTGTGTTGGTCATCCTCTAGTCCTTCATCAGTGGTCACAGGACGCTGCCCACAGGATACTGTTGGCTGGATATTTTTGGTTGGTGGACTATTCTCAGTCCAGCAGTGAAACTGAGGTGTTTAAAAACTCCAGCAGCACTGCTGTGTCTGATCCACTCAGACCAGCGCAACACACACTAACACACCACCACTACATCAGTGTTGATGCAGTGCTGAGAATGATCCACCACCCAAATAGCACCTGCTCTGTGAGGGTCCATGGGGGTCCTGACCACTGAAGAACAGGGTAAAAGGGGGCTAACAAAGTATGCAGAAAAACAGATGGACTACAGTCTGAAATTGTAGAACTACAAAGTGCACCTATATAGTAAGTGAAGCTGATGAAATGGACAATAATAGTAGAAACAAGGAGATGGTCATAATGTTATGCCTGATCGGTGTATATACAGATCAAAGTGGACTTACAAATCACTGTTTTCTCTTTTGATTTGCATTTCACAAACTGTCTCAACTTAGAATTGAGGTTTGTACTGCGGAAGCAAATAAAGAACCTACTTCAGTACATATTAGCAAACAATCACTGACTCATTGGTGCATCTAGAGAAGAAAAAAGAGGGGTCATACTGATCGCACTCAGTCCAGATTTCACAAACTTACACGTGGTGTACAAGATAATGGAAACACCACATGAAATAGGAATAAGCCATTTTATCAGGTGTTTACAAATACTGATTGTAGCCCAGCTGTTGCACATCAGCCTGCTCTCTACCCTGACTATCATCACTGTGTCACTGCTCTGATGCAAGTAGTCCGTCACCCACATGCGCCAGCGCTAGTGCTTTGGTGGTCCCTTTTGAAAGATAGATGGTGTATATGGGACTGATGAATTGCACAATAACAGATGGGCAACAGACAAACTACATGTATATGGTATGTGTACCTGATAAAATGGCCAAGGGGTGCAAGCATTGCATGTGGTGTTTCTATTGTTTTGTTCACCCCTTAGATGTGGAATGTATTATTTACAGTCTTGGGGTGGTAACTCGACAAAAAGTATTCCATTACAAATAACTAATTACTTATTACTTCTAAAACCCACCAGTTTTTCTCCATAGGTTAAGAGTCTGGTTTCAGATTTTGCTTTAGGGAGCTTCTTCTACATTCAAGAGATCAGTCAGGTCAGCTACTGTAGGCGCTACTTGCCTTCATTATGGCACTCAGAGTCAAAACATCACATGTAGCTAGATATGAATAAGCTTAATTTATTCACAATGATCCAGAAATGCTGATTTGTTGATGGCATGTGTGTGAAAAAGTTTAGACACCCCAGTCAAATAATGTTTTGTTGATATCATAGGTGAACCAAAGTTAACACATCCTCTATAGGGAACATACTTTGCAGCAAATGTTAGTGCACAATTTATTTGCAGTGCTTAATAAAAAAGAAATAAATGTATTCCCAAATTGGTTAAGTTCTGATGAGGTGTTGATTTCCACATAAATCAACTTGTAATTTGACCAGGGGTGCTAACTTTTGCACATGACTGTACATGTATAATAGTTATATGTATATGAATAATAAATATATGTTTAATAAGTGATGATGTGTTTACATACATGTGCGCACTCTGACGTTGACCGGGACGCTTTTGTTGTTATTGAGGATGGCATGGACGTTGACAGAGTACTCAATGCCAGGTTCAAGCTCGGTCAGAGTAGCAGTGGTCTGGTTTGCAGGCACATGGAAGTCCATCTCCAATCCCCCTGGTGTTGTGGGGACATAGGTGACCAAGTATTCCTTCACCAGCATATCATTGGTCCACGTCAGGTTCACTGTCTTTGGGTTTACTTCAACGGCAATCAAGGATTTTGGTGGAGAGACTACAAAGAGATTAGAGAACATGTTTTTGTCATGCATGATGTAATAAAACAATAAGCCACAAGAGGCCTTGTGTTACACTGAGGGTTGTTAAGCACAGAGCAGAGTAATATCACAGTAACGCACAACCTCAAGTGCCTTATTGCTGTTAAAAAAAAAGACAATAATATAAAAATACACCAATACTAAAAAAGTTGAATTTACTATAAACAATTAATGCAACAAATAGTTCTTCCACCATCTACATTGGTGGTTTCTGATTGTTACATGACATATTTGCAGGATACATGCTGGGTTTTGTAGTGAGGCAACACTGATACAAAACAAGGATGCAAAATTGTCACGCATTCGGCAAGAGGTCAAAGGAAAACGGACTCCATTTCCCAGAATCCCTCGGGAGATCACGTCATGGCACAACGTCCTTCAGAGATGGAGGACAACACGGACTCCATTACCCAGAGTTCTAGGGAAACTCACGTGATCACTGACTCTCAAACACGCTCCTATCAGAGATCTAGTTCCCCTGAATACTGATGTGTCACACCTGTGTAGGATGTCATATGACTCAAGCTGTTTAGTTTATAAGCCCGGGCTTTAGGTAGGCAAATTGCGAAGTATTGTTTCCTTGAGAACTACTGAGCGTTTGTATTCATATGACCGATACTCTGTTTTTGACCTATGCTTTGTTTGTCTGGATTCTGCCTCTTGTCTTACCCTTTGGATACTTTTGCCTGTCTTTACTGACCTGTGTTTTTTGACCCCTTTTTCTGTTATTTGGATTACGTTTTTGCTCTGCCCTCTTTGGATTGGTCGCTTGGTATTTTTTGAATACACTTTGGCCTAGAGTGATTTAAACTACTGCTCTCGTTATTTTTTATCCGCGAGCGTCTGTTTTTTTCTGTCAACACGTTACAAAAATCATGAAAAAAATCAGTTTCTGTCAAACAAATGAGGCTGAAGGACGCAGTGCTGTGCTTACTTAACACGCCAAATAACATGTGACAAACAAATGCTAGTTTTAGGCCCAATCCCATTTCACCCCTTGCCCCTACCACTTAGCCCTTAGCCCTCTGTTTTGCGTGTTCATGTCTAGGGTTAGGGTGTCCCAATTTTTGTTGAGATGGAGGGGTAGGGTGAAGTGTTAGGGCTAAATGGCCTCCAAACTGAGATTTTTCAGAGGCACATTCAGAGTCCATCCATCCATCCATCATCTAAACCGCTTATCCTTCTGGGTCGCGGTGGGGTGCTGGAGCCTATCCCAGCTGTCATTGGGCGGAAGGCAGGATACATTCAGAGTGTTATCAGGAAAAAAGAAAAACCAGCAAGATGGCTGCGTGAGCGACCAAAGAAACCCACAAATGTGAGTATTTTCTACGTAAAAAAAATACAATAACTATCGTATTATCTTAGTTTAATGTTGTTTCAATGTATTATGGTCGTTTTCTTCATAACAAGCATAAAAAATCGCTAATAGCATGCTAATGTTTTGGTAGCTATCTAGCTAACTTCCCGTTCCACCTTAAATAGTCTGGCAATTCTGACGCCTGAAGCGCCAGAATGTAACTGCTGCACCATTTAAGGTGGAACGGGAAAATTCTAACAAGAAGCTGGTGAATAGCTGACTTCGGCTTCGTATCACCAAAGAATTAGCGGTGGGCGATAATACATAATTGTCTTAAACCCCCTCTTTGAAAGCATATGATGCACTAAACGTAACTAAAGCCCAGCAGCGAGGTTGCTGAACTTTTCCCTTCTCTGCTATCACTGAAGACGGACTGGGTTACCTACAGAGGAGCACTAGTAGCTGTTAATGAAGTAATGATTTTTGTTTTTTTAATTTGAGGGTTGTCCCATTTCGTAGGGCAAGATTTCAACCACTACCCCTTGTAACTCAGTTGACACTCGAAAACAAGGGGTAGGAGTAAAAGGAAGAAATGGGATTGGGCCTTGGACTCGACAGTCCCTTTTACAAAATTCCTAGAATCACGGAATTTAGCTCTCATTCATGCGAATGGTACAAATTTCTTTACCTTCTGAACAGTCCTCACCGATGTAACCTTCGTCACAGATGCATCGTCCATCCACACACTGGCCCATTCCATGGCAGTGGTTTGGGCATTTTTTCTGTCCACAGTCATTGCCTTCAAAGCCCTCATCACAGAGGCATACACCATTGATACAACGGCCATGGTTGTTACAGTTGGCAGGGCAGGATTGAACAGAGCAGTCTTCACCTGCATAACCCTCCTTACAGACGCAATGGCCATCCACGCAGTATCCATGGCCTAGGCAATCATTGGGGCATTTCTTCTGACTACAGTCCTCTCCAGTGAAGCCCTCGTCACAGATACACTGCCCTGCTACGCAGAGGCCACGGTTCATACAGTTGTTGGGGCAGCCCAGCTCACTGCAGTCTTCACCTCTATAGCCTGCAAAGCATACGCATTTGCCGTCTACACAATGACCCTGGCTGTAGCAGTGCGATGGGCAGGTTTTAACACTGCAGTCCTCACCTCCAAATCCCTCTATGCACACACACTGCCCATTGACGCAGTGCCCCTGGCTGTTACAGTTGTTGGAACAGGAGAGTTCTGAGCAGTCATGGCCACCAAAACCAGCATCGCATTCACAATTGCCGTTAACACAGCGGCCTCTGTTGTAGCAGTTGTTAGGACAGGAGAGAACGCTGCAGTCCTCACCTTGGTAACCACTGTCACAAATGCACATGCCGTTGAAACAGTGACCTCTTCCGTTGCAGTTGTTCGGGCAGGTGAGCGTGGCACAGTCTTCACCCGTATAGCCAGCATTGCAAACGCACTGGCCATCCACGCAGAAGCCCTGGCCCATGCAGTCCTTGGGGCACATGCGCTGTCCGCAATCTTCCCCTCTAAAGCCTTCCTCACAGTAGCAAGTACCATTGACACAACGTCCGCGGTCATAGCAGTCCTTTAGGCAGATGAGCTCGGAGCAGTCAAAGCCAGTCCAGGGCTCGTCACACACGCAGTCTCCATCCACACAGCGGCCACGGCCCAGGCACTCATTGGGGCATGCAGTCTTTGAGCAGTCATCACCAAAGAAACCCTCAGCGCAGACACAGGCTCCACTGATGCACTGACCGTTCTCGCCACAATCAACAGCACAGACCTCCATGCTGCAGTCCTCCCCCAGCGAAGCCTTCAAAGCATTCACATTTGCCATCAATACAACGACCCTGGTCACTGCAGTCTTCTGGACAATCTGGCAATGTGCAGTTGGGGCCCTTCCAGCCTTTCTCACAGATGCAAGCACAGATTTCTGTGCTGTAGTTTCCACGGCCACTGCAGTAGGGCTTGGTTCCTAGCTCACCTAAAGAAAATTGTGAAATGTTAAAAATGAGCGATGAAAACTGGATCCTGTTAGGTAAAAAAAAGTAACTTATTACTGTTAGCTTGGCTATTGCTAACTATATGCACACCAGTGATTAAATTAGTCCAAGACTGGTAGGTTACTTAAGAAATGATCATGTAAGCAATGCACTTTGAGTGTTTACATGTTAGCCGTAGGCAGTTGTTTTCAAAGCAGCAACAGAAAATAACCTCCAGTTATCAGCAGATTGTTCTGTCAAGTGTTCAATTTTCCCAACTTTTGCCATCGACTGTTGCAGCGGATATTGTTTTTGCTTTTGAGGCATGTTATTTTTGCCTAGAAAAGAAAATAAAAGTATAGAAAATGCTCTGACCTTTTTCACCTTGAATAAACAGTCATCACTGCTAAAGCTCTACGCTGATAATTATCTATTTTTGCTGGTGATGCTGTCACCATGGCAGCATTTTCATGGCTGCATGCTGCCATTGGTGGTGTACTGCTATGAGGCTCAGAATGTTTCAACGTCAACATGTAAACACATCAGGGTCTTTCAATCAAGCTTTGCGTGATTAAAACATGGTCTATGTTGATACTGGTTGGACTAGTAGTGGGCGATATACCGGTTCATCCAGTTTACTCATTGAAATTCTTCTTAAGGAATTAGTTTTGTCCTTACTGTTATAACAGTATGCAAATAAACACAGATAATGCAATGTACAAACAGGGCAAAACACACTGATTCCCTCACCTATTGTGTAGTGAGTTGCAGCCTGAAATTAGTTGGTCCAGTTTATGGTCAAAAGAGCAGACATTAGATTATAATGAGTTAATGAGTTAACAGGGGGAAAAGACAGTGAAAGGAAAAGCCAGTTTCTTTGGGTTTGCTGCAAGCCATTAGCCTAGTATGGAGATTAGTCAGGCAACACTGCGGTCTCGGGCTACAAACTGACAGGCTTCACAGCTTCTCAGCTAAAACTGAAAGTGTGAATGGCTTGTAATATTTATTAAATTGCAGTAGCGTCTGATGGTCGTAGATTAAAACCCGAGAGTAAGAGACGCACATGAGACCTAAAACAATGTTTGGCACTGTTTTTACAAAGCTGAAGTTGGCTTCCTATTTACTAGCTTCTTACTCAAATTTTCCCACGCAGTTGCATAGCTGCAAAATGACCCTAACCTGCAATCATTGGTCTACATTAGATGATTAATTTGATGTAAACAATAGATCCAGATAATGTTCACATATGCATTTCATAGAAAGCATACTGTATTAGCTCTACAGCTAGCTGCTAAAGCTAACTGCATTAGCCCTACTTTAGCCTTACAGCATGAAATAATATTAAAATTTATAACTAGAAATAACATTTTTACTTACACCTAAGTAGTAGTAGCACCAGTAGTTCTAGTAATTTACATTGTTCTAACACACATTAAACAATAAAAAGCCAACCATGCAAGTTTGTTTATTTATATATGTGTATTTATTCTGATGTTAACACTTTCTTGTGCAGATACTCCTCAGATAAATGGCTTTACATATGATTTTCACTGGTTGCTAAGCCACCAGTGAGTAGTTTTTTTCCATATTTCCTAGTCTTAGCAGCAAACAGATGGATAAAGAATTCCACATCCTTGCCATGAAACTGTTTGGCTCTAGAGCAGAAAAGAGGATTTTCATTTTTATTCTGTTATATAGACTTTCTTGCATTGAATGCATAAAGGTGGTCTATGTGATCATGAATTAATTTCCTACAACCACACTAGTTTTTTTGACAAATTACTTCTAAGTGTGCAGTGTCAGAGTAGAGCATTGCATAATAAATAAAGGTATCAAAAGGGTTCTTTGGAATGGTACCATATAACAACGACTTTTGTTTTCCTGAATAATTTTTCATCTCTATCTGCCACATCTATAGTATATAGTTGCTTATCATGGACAACAATTTAGACATTTCACCCTTCTAAGGATACACAGTTGGACCAAATTGGGAATTGGCATTTTTTTGCTCAAAACACAAAATCAGCAATCGGCTGGTTTACTGCTTTTATTTCGACAGATCTGTGTTGCAATTTCAAGGCGTAAATAGCATGAATCAAGCAAGTTCACTCACACTGTATCTGAATGCTGACGCTACAATTGTACCAAAATGTTGTAGCATAATTACACATGATTCATCACATTAAATAGCCTCTTACTTTGAATGTAGCACTTTATTTGATTCATGTTATTGAAACTGATTGGAAATTGAACAAAAAATTGCCATTTAAAAAGCACATATTGTTGATTATTGTTGTTCATAAGACTGGCTATTACAAAGTTCATGTGTTCATTCACCCCACAAAGTGTGAGCTTTGAATTTAAAAAAAAAGGCCAAATACAAATCAGTCAAAAAAACAAACAAACAAAAAAAAAATAGCCATCAGCCATATCGGCTGTAAAGAATTCAAAATTGGCCATAAAAGTTGATTATCCCTGCCTTATGCTTCATAAAAAAAAAACAGAAAACTTTTCATAAAGTCATTGAACGACATGTTTTGAGTCAAACAGAATGCTGCACAAGGAAGACCATCTAAATTACTGTGATAATCGACTATCGCTTGAGATTTGGCAGATAGAAATTAGGTTTAAAAATGCTCCTTTAAAGATCCAACCATTGGAAGGTTTGATAAGGAATCAGTGGTGGTTCTATCAGAACCCTTTGGCACCTTTATTTTGAAGAGTCCAAGCAAAGCAATCAATTTCCAAAGTGAAGTATTCTCTGGAATTAGGCTTAAATGACCTTGTAATGTATACAGTACCTGTGACCTGTGCGCTGCAGCAGCTGGAATCCCCACTGCACTGCTCTCTAAGGGTCGAAACTTCTCCTTCCAAAATTTCCAGCCGGTTCAGAAGCTCTTTCAGTTCAGGAAGGCCATCTGTGCAGCTACATGCCTGCTTGGGGATGTTGATGCGGTGAGTGAAGACAATCTGATTCTGCCCATCTAAGGTGTAATCAGAGGCCTCTGGTCCAGACGGTGCATCCTTTGGCTCAAGATCTGAACCGGCAGGAGGATCTAAGTCCACCGAGCAGAGGGCGCTCTCTGGGACATTAATATTATAGACATGGCTGAAGATGACTGGCTTTTCAGGGCTGGGATGGGTGACATTGTCTGTATTTTGAACTGACACAACTTTACTCTGGTGATGTAGAACCTTCTTTACCAAGCCGGCTTGATTCAACTTCATCAGTGTGGCGAAGAGTAGACATCTCAGAACCAAGCCTTCTGTCCTCATGTTACTGGAGACTCAGAATTTGCCACAATGGAACTTCTAGGCAAAGTTGAGAACTGGAACTATCTGTTAGAACACCAGAAAACCTAAGAAAAAAAAATTATTAATTATATTACAAATGAATAGTTCAGCTGGTTGGAGTGCATGAAAACATCCTAAAACGTGATCTCTATTTCATGATCGAAGTAAGAAATAAAAAAAGAGAGTTATGAGTTAAAAAAAGGACCAATTGCACCAATTTATTAGACATTTCTAGCATCTGTTAGCCCCCAGCCCCTCAGCCTGTTACAATTAACCCCCCCCCATGAGGTAAGTTGTAACAGGGTTGGGATGTACTGGAATACAAGTATTGGGAATCTGTATTCAGAATACAGAAATTAGGCATCTATGCAGTCCAAGTTAAGTATTGTAAAGGCATTATTTAGAATACAGCGACTTTTTACAGTTTCAGGAGAATATTCTTAGAATACGTATCCACTAAATTTATTAAATATATTCCATCTTTAAAAACCTCAGGCGTATCACATATTAAAGCTTATTATTCAGTAACTACGGGGTCTTCATTGCAAACAGGATGAGCTTTTCTTTGGTTATAGACGTGTGTAATAAAACTTTGGGCTTGCTGGTGGGCCCTGACCATTTAAGGGATTTAACTCCATTTCCACTATGGTGGTATGTGTAGTGTTGTGCTTAAAAATCCATCTTCTTGACTGAAAGCTGTACAAGGCGTAGCCTACTTTTTGGGGTTTGCCTTTGTTTATTGCTAGGGAGCTAGATTATGCTTTTGGATTTTTGGATTTTTATTTCCCTTTGTTTCTATTGATAGGTAAGTTAATTTATTAGAAAGCGTTGCTGGCAGGAAAGTTGGAGAGACTTCATTATGTTGCAGCCTAGCCTAGACAGGTCGTAACAGTCATCATGACAGATTTTGGTTAGTAATATAACAGCGTCATGTTAACATTAACAGTAAGTGTCGAGATATGTGGTTACTGCCATGACATGTTTAGAACATGGTTATGTCAGGGTTCAAGTAAAGTGTTGCCACTTTCTATGCAGGGTTGACCGAGGATGTACTCCCTCAACATTTGGATATTTAAGAAGATACTCTCAGTGGCAGCAACTGAAATAAATATCTGTGATTTCCCTAAATTATAATCCAAAAAGACTGGATCTTTATGGCTTTTCCTTGTCCTGGCAGCATTGAGGAAACTTTCCCACATGGAAAAGAGGGATGAAGAATGTTGGCTTCCATCTCAGGCCATCTGTTATGCCTGGTCCACAGCAGCACAGACCTTGTGTGAGTGTGTGTGTAATGCGCTCAGAATGGAACAACCCTGGTCTTCAGACATTTTTTACAATTTGTTACATTTCCCCCTGGCAGGCGTTCAGTAATAGTGTGGAATTCTGCAGCTTAAGGAAAGTCTGCTTATGACTATTCTCAGACAGAAAATATCCAGCTGTTGGCTGTCTAGTCAGTTTTGGCCATTATATCTGTAAAACGTCCTATGTATATGGTAGCACTCTTGTGAACTGGTAAATAAAAGCCTCTGATCTGTTTTCATGTTCTTCCTCTCATAGGTCTAAAAGGATTAGTGATGTGATCATCTGAAGTACTACTACAAACCCAATTCCAAAAAAGTTGGACAGTATGTGAAATGCTGATAAAAAGCAGTGATTAATAAATTCTGTTTTAACGTATATTATATAATGAAAATGGTAAAAACAAAAAAAAAAACATACACACACACACACATACCTTAATTTTACCTTATTAACTTCATTGTTTTTTGTAAATATACACCCATTCCAAATTCAATGCCTGCAACACATTCCAAAAAAGTCAGGACTGAAGTTTGTTTACCTCTGTGTTACATCACGTTTCCTTGTAACAGCACTGAATAATTATTTGGCGACTTCCTTTAGCTGTGCAACTGTATGAGGCTTTTGTTGTATTTTGCACACGTTTTCATTAGTAGGCAGGCCAGTCTGGCACCTGCACTCTCTGATTATGCAGCCATGCTGTTGTAATGTGCAGAATGTGGCTTGGTGTGGTCATCTTGAAACATGCATGGACGTCCCTAAAAAAGATGGCATCTAGAAGGCGGCATATGTTGCTCCAAAATGTGTTCAGGAACTTTACAGGAGAGGGCAAAAACGTTCTTTACTTTTAATGTAAGTCAATGGAAATAGATTTTTTTTAAGCAATTTTGGTGCATTTTGATTGGTCCATTCATCATGAACTTTTCACACAATGTAAAGAATGGCTGCCATGCTCAAATGATGTAGAAAAGTGAAAAAATGTCAAAAAATCGGAAAAGATACATATTTTTCTTTGGACAGTGACGACTTGTGGATGCAGTGATGAATGGTGTTTAGTTACAACAGTATGTCAAAGTATTCTTGAGCTCATGTGGTAATATCCATCACAGAAGCATGCCAGTTTGTAATGCAGTGCCATAAGAGATTCTGAGCATTCATTGTGATTTTTGGCTTTGTCTTTTACGCTAAAATTTCTCCAGAGTCCCTGAAACTTTTGATCTTATGCACTGTAGAGGGTGAAATCCTGATCCATTTTTGGCACATGCCTTTCCTGGATGCTCCTTTTGTACCCAAGCATGACAGCTTCACCTGTTTGACATGTTTCATGAACATTTCACAATATTCCTAGACTTAAATTGCCCCATCTTAACTTTTCAGTTTCAATTATACATTAAATATCTTGTCTTTGTACCATTTTCATTCAAATACAGGTCAAATGCATTTCACCTACTGTCAGCTTTTTTGGAATTCTTGTTTGGGACTGCTGCTGTCACAACAAAACCTCATAACTCTAGAATGATAACTTTGGCTGTGTCTGAAATTTACTAAATGCTCCCTACTCAGACAGTATTCTGAGGCACCCAGTCATGGCTGAATAGAATGTGTGTAAGAAATGCTGCCTCTTGAGGTTCCTCCGTTTGGCCGTTTTTTTGAAGGCAGTGTAGATGCATCCTTTGCTGCCTACATATCCCATAATCCTCTGTGTCAGCACTGATGCGGTTAGGAAAAATAGCAGAAAACACCAGCACTGACTCAGAGGACAATGCTGCCTTCTAAGGCACTGACTTACAAGACAGCACAGGCAGGAAGGCATCGAGTCAGACTTAAACACGAATATGAACTTTCTAATGTTTGCACTCGTCCTTAGAACATTGAGAAAAAGAAACTTACATGTGAACTTACAATGAACTAAAATGAATTATATAATAATGAAATGTTTGTTTGTTCATGTGTGTTCATGTTTCTCCCATTGGTGTACTCTTACACCAGGCCTTAGAAGTCATAATCTGAACAGTTGAGTCACATTGTTTAGTTTGCCAGGAAAAAGTGCGATTGAAGATTGAAAGCATACAGTTCACTTGGGAACACAAAAGCAAATCATTTGAAAGAACCTGGACACCAGCTCAGTCAATGTGTTCTCAATCATATTATCATAAAAAAGGGATCCTGACTTTCTCTCCTGTGTGTTCTGTGACTACCATCATTACTGTACCATTATGAATGATTTTTACATCTTAATGACTCCAGGCTGAAGTCTTTGTTCCTTAAGATTTGCAGTCAGAGAAGTAATTACACATTGCTTTTCTCTCTATTTGACGATTGTCATGGTGGCTCTGAATGTCTAAAAGCATGTGCTTCTCTTTACAGGAACATGGTGATCCTAAAGCATCATCAGTCATTGGGGAAGTTTTTTAACACTGATTCTTGTTGTACGGGTTTCTGTTGGAACTGCACTATATGGCCAAAAGTATGTGGACACACCCCCAATGATTAAGTTCAGGTGTTTCAGGCACACTTCTTGCTAAGTGATACATCAAATCAACTGATCAACTGTAAGAGCTATTACCCTGAAATGTAACCATCTAGGAGCAAAAGGTCAGCCACAAAGCAGTAGACCATGCAAAATTGCCCATCCTCTGCTGCATCTAAACTGCCTCTGAAAGCCACGCCAGCACAAGAATCTTGCATCAGTAGCTTCAGGAAACCGTTTCCATGGCTGAGAAGCAGCACACAAAATAACTATGCACAACGCCAAGCAACAGCTGGAGTGACGTACAGCACACTGCTACTGAACCCTGGAGCGCTGGAAACATAGTGTCTAGAGTGATGAATCGTGCCTCACTATCTGGCAATCTGATGAACGAATCTAGTTTTGGCATATGCCAGGAGAAGAAGGTGAAGAAGGGAAAATGGTCTGCTTACTCAGGGTTTGAGTGAGGTGTAGATGGTTTAGTTCCAACGAAGGGCAATGTTAATGCTACAGCTTCCAAAGACATTATATGCTTCCCACTTTGTAGCAATAGTTTGATGCAGGCCCTGTCCTGTTCCAGCAGGACTGAGCCCCTGTGCACAAAGTGAGGTCCATAAAGACATGGTTTGATGAATTTGGTGAATAATAATTCCAGTGGCCAGCACCGAGCCCTGACCTAAACCCCACTGAACACCTTTGGGATAAACTGGAACATCGATTGCGAGCCAGGCCTTCTTGTCCAACAGCAGTGATGCTCTTTTGACTGAATTGGCACAAATTCCCACAGACACACTCCAAAATCTTGCGAAAAGACTTCTCAGAAGAGTAGAGGCTGTTTACAGCTGCAAAGAGGGGACAACTTAATATTAATGTCCATGGTTGTAGAAAGAGATGTCAAACAACTCATGTAGGTGTGATGGTCTGGTGTCCACATACTTTTCATACTTTTTAGTATAGGCAGAAAGCTCTGGCACTTTTAGGAGGTGATTAGTATTACTACCAAGCATTGTTCCACTAGCAAAAACAAGCTAAACTAAAAAAGCTGCTTTTCATGATAATTTTAATCCATGCTCAGTACTCAACCAATGCAACACTAAATCCCTCCTCCATCCTCTGCCACTGAAGACCCACCTTCCGTTTGATCTGAAGTGTTCATGACGTAGGCTAGCTGACCACTTTGAGTTTTCACCCAGCCTGCCAAAAAGTGGGCCTTTCATTTCAGAAACAATTGTAATGCCATGTGAACACCCCCCCCAAATATCCCTTTCCCCCACCCCCCACAACCCCAAAACTTAG